ATAAATTAAGGGGTCAATTAAAATGAACCTCAAGGTGATAATAATATTACTACTACTACTAATAATGGAAATACAATTACTAATAATGGAAATATTCATAATGAAATACCACTTTCACATCAAAATTTACTCTTAAAAGGATCTATATTAAAAAGTACACAATTTGTCTATGGAACTGTAATCTATACAGGATCTGATACTAAAATTATGAAAAATATGCAAAAAGGAAAAGTTAAATTTAGTTTTGTAAATGCCATGTTAAATTATGCAGTTGGTATTTTATTTACAATTCAAATTGCATGTTGTTTATTATTTGCTGGATTGGGGGGATACTATGAATTCACACAAGCTAAAACAAAGGCAACATATACTGGTCAACCAACTCCAATTGGAATTTCAGATACTGGTTTTGTAATTTCATCATTTTTAACTTATTTCATTTTATTAAGTTTAATGATTCCTGTTTCTTTATTTGTTTCATTGGAATTTGTAAAAATGATTCAAGCTTGGTTTATTACAATGGATAATAAGATGGCAATTTATGAACAAGATCCTCATGATTCAGATAAGAAAATATTTTTAAATTCACTTTCCATTTCGAGTGATTTAAATGCTGACTTATCACAAGTTGATATCATTTTTAGTGACAAGACTGGAACATTGACTGAAAATTCAATGGTATTTAAAAAGTGTTGTATTTCATATGATTATATTCATGATGATTTTACTTGTAAAGGTCAATTAGGATCAATTTTAGATAAATTGAGAGATTACCATACTAAGAAAAAACATACTGCTCATGAATTAACTCAAAATGAATTGGATTCAATCATTTCAGAAAGAAAATTATCATTTACCAATGAGATGGAATTCTTTCAAGCATTTAATACTTTGTTATTACTTTCACTATGTCATAATGTTTCAGTTAGAGAGAAAATTGTTAAAAATAGAAAGAAATCTAAAAAGGAAAATCAAACAGAACAATTGAAAACTATTTTTGAAGGTGAAAGTATTGATGAAGTTGCACTAGTTTTGGGTGCACAAAATAATGGATTCCTAGTCAAGTGTTATTCTGAAAAAAAGACAATTTTGGAAATATTTGGAAAGGAGTATCATTTTGAAAGACTTGCCGAAATTCCATTTACAGCAGATAGAAAGAGAATGTCAACTATATTTTTATTTCCTAATGAATTTTTAAATGATTATCCCATTTATAGAAAAATGGCAAACTTTGCAATTCCAAATATGGAAACTAATAATGGAATTTATGTTTGTTTTACAAAAGGAGCAGATAGTTTTCTATTTCCATTCATTAAATCTACTGAAAATGAAAAGGATAGAAAACAATTAGAACAACATATTTTAAATTTTGCCATTGATGGATTAAGAACTTTATTATTAGCATTTAAATTTATTGAACCAATTGAATTTAATACTTGGTTGACTAAATATAATTCATCTAAATCAATCATGTCTTCAAGGAGGAGAAAACAAGCCATTGAAGAATGTGAATTTGAATTGGAAAGTAATTTAAATATTGTTGGTGCAACTGGAATTGAAGATTGTTTACAACCAAATGTTCCAGAAACTATTAAATTTTTACTTGATGCAGGTTTACAATTATGGTTATTAACAGGTGATAAAAGAGAAACTGCTATTAATATTGCACAAATGTCAAATTTCCTATCAAAGGAATCAAAAATTTATTCATTGAATGGTGAAGATGGAACAATTCATGACGAAGTGTCATGTTCTAAATATATATCACATTACATTCAAGAAATTGTAAATTTGACAATTGACAGTTCTAAAATTGATATTGCCTTAATATTAGATGGACATTCATTCACTTTCTGTATGGAAAATGAAAAGACATCAAATTTATTTATTGAACTTGTCAAGAAATGTCAAACTGTCATTTGTTGTCGTGCCACACCAAAACAAAAATCACAACTTGTTGATTTGGCAAAAAAGAAATTAGGTAAAAATGGTTTAGCAATTGGAGATGGTGCTAATGATGTTCCAATGATTCAAAAAGCTAAAATAGGTGTTGGTATTATGGGTAAAGAAGGTTCACAAGCTAAATTAGCATCTGATTATGCAATTCCTAAATTTTACATGTTAAAAAGATTACTAGTGACACATGGCAGGTATTCCTATAAGAGATCAGCTCAATTTATTCAATATTCATTTTATAAGAATATTGTAATATCATTTGTTCAGATATTTTATGCTTTTTATACAATGAGTTCTGGTCAAACTATTGCTGATTCATATGTTTTAACTTTTTATAATTTAGTTTTCACTTTATTGAATCCTTTCGTATTTGGTTTATTCGAAAAGGATGTTAATGAAGATTTATTGGAAGATCCAGAGATTGGTCCAAAGTTATATGCTCAATTGAGAACTGATTACATTTTTAATTGGTTTACTTTTATCAAGTGGATTTTAGGTGGAATTATTCATGCTACTATAATATTCTATTTTGCTATTTATGGAAATAATTCAAGTTCACTTTTAACAGATGGTAGAGATGATGGACTTTGGTCATTATCTACCTTAATTTGTTCAAGTGTTTTTATTGTTGTTAATTTGAAATGTTATTTTGAAATGGAAAATATTACAATTATTCATCACTTATGTATGATTTTATCATTTATAACTTATTATGGTTTTCAATTTGCCTATGCTGGTATTGAATTCATTTCAACAAGTGCTAATTTTACATACTATGTTTGGTATGTTGTCGTTCAATCACCAAAGTTTTGGATTGTTCACTTGTTGTGTGTTGTTACTCCATTGGCATTTGATTTTATTTTCTATGGTATTAAATATTGGATATTCCCAGATTATTATCAACAATTGAAAATGAGTGAAAAATATCAAAAGAACACCACTTCATACAGCAGTCCAAGTAATAGTGGAAATAGTATTGATGACTCTGAAACTGTTATCAGTAGAATTCCATCAGAAAAGTCAATGCTAATGGAAATTTAATAAATTGTTAACTTTGAAAAATAGAAAGTTATCAATTAGAAAGAAATGAATGACTGTTGATCATCTTTTCATATTATAGATCTTACATTGAACAGGCCAAACAAGTATTATTCAAACAATTGTTAAATAAAATTACAAAATTATTTAATTTACTCTTCATCTTCAGAGTCTTCTTCTTGCATTGTCAAAGGAATTGGTAATTTTCTATCGTACACACCACAATCTCTCAAAGATTGAGCAAACTTTTCAACTGTAACTCTTCTTTGTGATTCATCAGCATCAGCTTCATCCATATCAGTTCTTGTGTGAGCCATTTCAGTTACTAAGAGTAGCTTTTTAACTGGAATTTGATTTGGAATCAATCCCATAATATTCTTCATAGTTTCTCTATCTTGATCAGAATCCAAATTGAAACATCCAGAAGAGAGACAAATATTTGAAATGTCTTGTCTTGATGAAAGACTTGGTACATCAACTGTAACGTTAAACATTCTGGTAATTTCCAAACTATCAAGAATATCAGCCATACTTGTTGTACCAACAACGAGTAACTTTCTACCTGCTGGTGGTGGTTTCTTAATCAAAACAAGTAAAGCTTGAAGAATTAAATTGGAGAATCTTGGACCAATATGAACCAATTGAATCAAACGTTCAATACTGTCAACCACAATGATACTCAATGGTGATTTGTAAGCATCGTGGAAAATCTTGTTAATTTGTGTACAAATTGTTTGTTCAGAATAACCAACCATCTTATCTGCAGAAATAATTTTAACATAAGGGAAACCACTTTCAACAGCCAAGTGAGAAGCAATTGTAGTTTTACCTGTACCAGTAGTACCACTAAGTAAAATACTCAACAAATTAGTTCTACTACTTGTTTCAACTTGTCTGATAAAAGATTTGCAAGTATTCATCAACTTTTGGAATGGCTCACCATAATTAATCAATCCTTGATTCAAGTAAGCTTCCAATTCATCAGTAGAAACACCAAATGCTGGTTTAACTTCAGTAAGAGCCATTTCAAAGTCAGCTCCTGTAACCTTAATATTCTTTTCATCGAATTTCTTCTTATTTTGTAAATCAATTTGTCTATTCAAAGCAAATGAAGCAGCTGATTTAACTAAACCTTCAATTTCAGCGCCTGAAAAGTTCTTTGTAGTTTTAGCCAAATATTCAAAGTTAATATCATCAGCCAAATATTGATTCTTTGACATTTCACGAGTGTGAATCTTCAAGATTTGTAAACGACCATTCTCATCTGGTAAACCAATTTCCATTTGAACTTCAAATCTACCTGGACGTAAAAGAGCTTCATCAATCATGTCCAATCTGTTGGTCATACCAATAATCAAAATATTGTTAAGTGAGTTGACACCATCAATCTTACTCAACAATTGGTTAACAATAGAATCTTGAACACCGGTACCATCTCTAACAGTACCACGTTGTTTACAAATAGCATCCAATTCGTCGAAAATAATCAAGTGAAGTTGACTGTCATCTCCCTTTTCTTGGAATTCAGCTTCAGCATCAGCAAATAACTTTCTAATATTTTCTTCTGATTGACCAACGTACTTATTCAAAACTTCTGGACCGTTAATAACTTTTGGTTCCTTACAATTCAAAATTTTACCAATTTGTCTGGCAACAAGTGTTTTACCTGTACCAGGAGGTCCAAAAAGAATAATACCCTTAACGTGTTTAACACCAAGTTTTGCAATAACTTCAGCTGGATAAATACGAGAAGCAAAAGCTCTTCTGAAAACATTATTCAATTGCTTATCCAAACCACCAATACCTAATTTTTCAAATGTAACTTGAGTATTGAAAATATCAGTTGTACCAGCTGATTCAGATGGTAAATTTGTAAGTTTTACAGTTGATGTCTTTGGTTTAACAACACGAATACTGGTATTCTTTGTTAAAATACCCATAGTAGCAACTTCTTTAAGTTCTCCTGAATTTGTTTGCAATGTTTTAGTATCAAAAACTTCCATTTCCTTCAATGTAACAAGAATCATATTTCCTTCAAAATCAATGACAAACTTTTGTCTATCAATAAAGATGTGTCTATTATAATTTTCCTTGAACGATTGAATTAATCTCTTTCCGTCAACTTCATTATCTGTAACAGTATTTGGACTAATAAAATCAATTTCTATTGTATAAAATTATCGTCATTAGAGTAATAAATATTAATTATTAAAAGATAATTTAAAATTGTGATGATCAAATAATTCATCATCAAAATGATCGGTTTAAAATTTTCAATAAATCAATTAATATATCAAATAATAAATCACATATACTTACCGAAAAGTACAAAGGAAAGTTCAAAGTTATGTTTTGGTACATGGAAAACCTCACATTCAGCATCGGCATTGTTTGGTAAGTGAGCACTTTGTCTTTGAATTTTGTTCAAAGCAATAGATCCAAATTCAATACTAGGATGTGATTGAGCAATAAGAACAATATCCTTCACTCTAATATAAATTGGAAATTCAGGAAATTCCTTTTCATTGACATAGGCATAATTAGTAGCAACCAAATTCTTACCAGGAGTATTGGTTACTTTAAGTCTTTTAACGCCAGCTGGTTCGCCAATCATTTTGTTGATTATTATTATCCTAGTTTTTGTCGGGTGATGAGGTTGAGAATCTACTAAACTACAACAGTCTGGTTGATAGTGTGTAGATAATTTTTTCTTGTTGGTTTTTTAAATATCAAAGGCTTGGTGATATCAATGTTCAGCATCATCACCCACTGAGAGTCTATTATTACTAATTGCCAACGTGACTATTCGTTACAAAAGATGATGCAACAATTTACCGTTAACTAATCTAAAAAAAGTAATAACCACACTTGATAGCACAATTCTTCTGATCGTAACTTCAATACTCCTCTTTCAACCAAGTTGTTGCTTTCTTCCAACAAATAAAAGAACTCTTAGCACAAGTTTTCTCTTCTACATCTGATAAAAAATTCCAATTCTCTTTGGAAAAAAATGCCAGAATACAATATTAGAGGTGAGTTTTATTCACCCCATCATGATGATTTTTAAATTCATAAATATTGATAATTGTGATGATGATCGGACCATACTATAATATTATTATTGCATCAATTGATAATATCAAAATAATAGGAGTTCCTGTACATTTTCCGTATCAAGCCTATCCTTGTCAGGAAATGTATATGGAAAAAGTTATTCAATGTCTACAGGAATCAATGCAAGAAAGAAAAGATAATCCGACAGTTATTTGTGTAAGTTTTTTAAAATTAATAATTTATTGATTCCATTTCTGCATTAGTCTAGAAATGCTTTATTAGAATCACCAACTGGTACTGGTAAAACAAGTATGTTAAATGATAATTTAATATTGTTATAATAATAATTTATTGATAGTGTGTTTATTATGTTCTTCATACGCATGGTTATTGGATTATAAAAAGAGTATGTTTTAATTGCAATTAAAATTTATTGGAATTATTTGTGACATTTTACAGAAATGAATGGACAACATGTTGGACCAATTCCAAAAATTATTTTTACATCTAGAACTCACTCTCAATTGACTCACGCTATCAAGGAACTTAAAAAATCAGCATATACTCCAGAAATTGTTGTTATGGGATCTAGAGAACAATCATGTATCAATCCAGATGTTATATCTTTAAAAGGATTTCAACAAATTTCAAAATGTACATCACTTGTAAGATCTGGAGGTTGTAAATATTATACAAATTTCACAAGCTTGAAAAAATCTGGAGAATTATTCACACATGAAAAGGAAGATGAAATTGAGGATATTGAGGATTTATTGGAAAAGGGATTGAAAAGATGTTTTTGCCCTTTCTTTTATTCTAGAGAAAAACAAAAAGTTGCTGAAATTATATTCATGCCATACAATTATTTAATTGATCCATTATTGAGAAAGAAAGTCAATGTTGATATTTCAAATTCCATTATAATTTTTGACGAAGCTCACAATGTACAAAAACTATGTGCTGAAGCAAGTTCATTCGATTTTTCTACAATTAATATAAGCAAGGCCATTGCAGAAATTGAAAAATGTAGAGCTGAAATGGATAAACTTACAATAGATCCATCCGATATTCAGAAATCAACAGAATTGAGATCTGATTGTTTTGACGTTTCATCTGCTCTTTTAGATTTGGATATACATATAGATGAAATGGAAATACCAGAAGAAGGAAGTACATCAACTGGTGATTCTATTTATGAAGTTTTCTCATATGCCTCCATTCATCCATCGACTTGGGAAACATTTAATGAAAAAATTAGAAGTATCATCACATTTTTACAAAATAAGAAACAATCATGCTCTGGACTGGAACGTGTTAAAGAAGCTGTTGAAAGAGTATTCAATGAGGCAAATTGTGAAGAAGTATTTAAAAACTTTTACAAAGTGTATATTTACTACTCAAAGAAACAACCAGGAGTTATGAATACCAATCTATCTTCAGAACATTTGCAATTCTATACTGATGCTTTGGCTACTAGAGATAAGAAGAAAGATTTTAGAAAATCAAAAACTCTTTCCTTTTGGTGTTTCAATCCTGGTCTTTCAATGCAAAATTTAGCAAAGGAAGGTCCACTTTCTTTCATATTAACATCTGGTACTCTCTCGCCAATGGAATCCTTTGCTTATGAACTTGGTTTGAGTTTTCCTATCAGATTGGAAAATCCACACGTTGTAAATAGAGAACAAATTTGTGTAATGGCTGCTCAGTGTGGCCCTGGTGGAACCAAACTCAATTCAAGTTTTACAAATAGAGCTTCTGAACCATATCTTAGAGAAGTAGGAACAACACTTTTAAATCTTTCAAAAGTAGTACCTGATGGTTTATTGGTTTTCTTCCCCTCATATACGCTGATGGATCAATGTATTGAAATTTGGAAGAAATCTAATGGAGGAGCTAAATCAACATGGGACAGTGTAACTCAAAATAAGACGATAATTACTGAACCGAAAGAGTCTTCCAAACTAAATCAAGTTATTCGAGAATATGAGGATAGTATTAAAAATAGGAAAGGAAACACAACAGGTGCATGTTTCTTTGCTGTTTGTAGAGGTAGAGTGAGTGAAGGTTTAGATTTTATCAATAGAAATGGTCGTTGTTGTATGATTGTTGGATTACCATTTCCTCCACTTTTTGATTTGAAAGTAAAATTAAAGAGAGATTATCTTGATGAAACAGCTAAAAGGATTACAACAGAAAATCCAAACGCTAAACCAATAACTGGTAGTCAGTGGTATACTCAAGAGTCTTCTAGAGCTGTCAACCAAGCCATTGGTAGAATTATCAGACACAGATATGATTATGGAGCTGTTGTTCTATGTGATGAAAGATATGCAACCCAAAATCAAAGACAGCAGCTTTCCAGATGGTTACAACCTCATCTTAAAGTAGCTGGGCAATTCTCAGAAGTTAATAATGCTCTCTCTTTATTTTATAAGAATGCATTCCAAAAATTTGGTATTGAAAGTGAAAAAGTCAAACCTCCACCTCCTCCACCAATTAAGAAAATACCTAGATTTAATCTGGATCTAAATCAGCTCTATATTTCTCAAGCCCCAATGCAATATAGAAATATTTATCATGAGGATATTGAGGAATATAGAAATGAAATGGTAAGCGAGAATGACACTAAGATGAAAGAAGTTGATGTACAAGCACAGCCACCAAATTCTACCTCACTACAACATTACAAAAAACCTGTTGAATCGAGTGAACCAAGAAGATATATTTCAAAACAAGTAGTTTATGATAAGGGTTCAAATTCATCTTCAACTGCTTCCTCATCTAGTAACTTTGGTAGCAGTGCTATCAATGATAATTCAACACCAAAACGAAATGTTGTGCTGAATACCTATATTAATCCTCAATCGATTGAAAATAAGAATTTGGTGAATACTCCTCCAGCTAGAGTTGAAACAGAAACTCCTCCACCATCTGCAAGTAGGAAACAATCTGCTGAATATCTTGAATTGGTGAAGAAAATGTTACCTTCCGAAAAATATCAAGAATTTAAAAAGCTGTTAATTGAATTTAAAAAGCAAAATACCTCTAAAGATTCAACAAGTACTAATTCATTCAGTATATTGGTTGTGAAACTTGTTAAACTGTTTGGAGTGAATAATTTGGATGCCATTCAAAAATTCAAGAATTTTATTGCACCAAAAATGACAGACCTGTTTGATGAAATTGTAAAGAAACAAATTATCCTACAAGAGGAAGAGTTATTGGAATCCAACTCTAAAAAGAGGAAACAAGAGCAGGTACAATTCGATCTCGTTACAGGTGCTGTGGTAAAAAAGACAAAGACAGTAGCATCTTCTAATTCAATTTCCAGACCAATTCTTCTTGATGATCCAGAACCAGTTACTGTTGTTAATCAAACCTTCTCTGATATTCCTCTCACCTTAGAGACGAGCCTTATTGGTCAATCAACCAGCATTCCTACACCAGTAGTTCAACAACAAGAAAAATCAGCACCTCCACCTCAAATAATAGAAGAAACACCACCAGTTGTTTCTGCTACTCTGTGCAGTATCTGTAAGGAAAATTGTAAAGAACCAACAGCAGCCAAATGTGGACATGTTAATTGTTACAGTTGTTGGCAGCAATGGTTATCATACAAGTTGGAATGCCCTACTTGTAAAGCAAAAGTAAGACCAAAGTTATTAACAAGATTGTACTTTTAAATCCTCACAAGTTTATAATTTATGAAATGTTTAATAAAAACAAATTTGGATTTGTCATGCAGAATCTTGAAATAATTTTTGCTTTCAGTTTTTCAAGATTCTTCTTTTTTTGTTCACTGATCTTTCTTTTTTATTGAGTTTGTTTAAATGTTGGTAATCTTTCTTCTGAATCAACACAAATTACAAGATTTCAAAATTTTAAATTTATTTAAATTTCAAATAGCACCAATCACTACTAATTAAAAATACTGTCGGAAAGTCTTCAGTCAATGGATGATCGAAGCCTTCCAATTCCAGATAAAAGAACAAACTCAGCAGAGTGCTGTCTCAGACATTCATCAAGTGACCACCATCTAAAAAGCGCCAAGTAAAATAAATCACAAAAAAATTCTCCCTCCCAACAACATCTCACCTCCAATTTTTAGGCTAGCGAATATTTCTCTCTTCCCAACAATCAATATTGAAGGCTTTTAAAGACTTCTAAACTACCAATTATTTACATCACTTACATCATCATCTATTTATCTATTTGGATCATCTTTAAAAGAAAATGACCAACAAACGAAAATCAGTGCTTGGGTATATTGGAAGTGTATTTGGAATGAAAGGCACGGAAAGTACATCTAACAATACACCAAGAGTAGAAGCTAAACCAATATCTAGAGAGGATTTTAATAGTGAAGAGATCTTTCAAACATTTATTGATTTGAAGACAAAATGGGAGGTGTTTTTAAACGAGTCTAATCTATATTCCGAGACGGATACTTCACTTTATAATATTATAACCCTATTTCAAGAAGTATTTTATAGTCAAACAATGTTTCAACAACATTTTCATCAAATGTAAGTGAAATTTACAAATATTCAATGTTCTAAATTTTTAATGATAGATTCAAAAACACACAAACTTTTACATCAACAGTGACACATAGAATGAAAAAGGATATGGAAAACGCTTTGAAAGAAACTAGTAATGTCCCTCCACCTTCACCTTTCAACACCACTCAAATTGATACTAGTTTCGATCCAAGCTCATCATCACTACCAAATAATCTCAACAGTGTTAAATTATCTATTATACATTATTTAATTTCAAAGGAAAAACATTGCTCTGATATTGTAAATACTTTGAACATGTTGGTTTCTAATTTCGAGGAAGTTTCAGCTCCATTTATTATGGATTTTAAAATTATCACATTGATTATAAATATATTAGATATAGTTTCAAAGATGACATCAAAGGATATTGAACTTTACTGTCAACAATACGTACAAGATTTTGATCCTTCAGATAAAACCAGTTCTCTACTTATCACAGTTGATGATCAACCTTTACAAAAAAAACATGAATTGACAACAAGAGAATCTATTGAAGTTGTTTGTCAACAATTAGTATCTTTCATACACATCTGTTTAAACAATAGAGAGTTGACTGAAACTGTAAAAAAGAGCGAGGATGTTCTCACTTTGGTAAGAATTCTCACTAACTTCCAATGTGAAGAAGGGTTTAGTTTCTCTCAAAAGTTAGCTCTTGATATACTTTCAGCTCTTCTAATCAAGACTGATCTTGTATTGGTTGACAGTTTACACAAAAAGAAAATTATTTATTTATTATTAGATTCTTTCAAGAATATCAAATCAACAGATTACAAAATGGTTTCATCAGTAATAGAAACTATTGTTTCAATTTTAAAACAAACTATTTCAACAAGTCCTTACCTGTACAGAGATTTTAATGATTCAAATGGCCATCAAATACTTCAAGAGGCCCTCATAGAATGTGAAACTCAATTTGAAACTGATATGGAAGTTATGAAAGTAGCACTTAAAAACTTTAGCGATCTTCTTTGTGTTGGAGAAAAACCAACAGAGCCTCCACAAGATTATATTCAACAAATGAACTTCTCCTCAGCAAATACTAGTTTGGAAAGAAGAATTAAGAATATTGCAATTTATCAATCATTAATTAATATATTCTTGAAAACAAACAAGGATATTTTAAAACAAGAAATTATAGAAATACTTCTTGTAGTCTTTGCAGATAATTCTCTAAATTATCCATCAGTACATCACTTACATAATATGGCTATTTTGATAAGAAATTTACCTGACCTCTCAGAGAAAATGCAACAATCAGTTTTAAAACTAGTTGAATTCATATTTGCAGGTTTGAATTTTTCACCAATCGAAGAGTTGAAGATGCTTGGAGAGTTATTAACCAGTAGAGAAGCAGCTCCTAAATTAGTTTTGAACGTTCTCTCTCTTATTAACAAACTGTTAAACTTTGATTCCAGATTTAGTATTAGGTTCAAGGAAGCCTACTTGTTTGAAAAAATTGTTGGTATGCTTTGTGATGAATTCGAAAGCATTATCAAGTTGGGGCAATTCAAAAACAATGATGAAAAGAATATGGTTATTTTGAAACTCTTAGATTTAACTATTCAAGTTTTAATTTCCATGCTTCAAAAGACAAACGATAATGTACGTACATTCAGAGAAGTTGGAGGTGTGTCAGTCCTTCAAACAATGTTACTTAATGACATGTTTAGAGGGTATGCTTTGAAAGTGTTCCACACTATTATTGTTCAAGATACAGTCCAACAAAGTATCGATGTCAATGTATTGATTGAAATTTTACAAACATCAAAGAGATCTAATATTGGACTCAAGATTGCTATTTTCAATGCTCTTACTAAAATGTTTAAGAGTAATGATAGAGCAAAAGAGTCATTTAGAGACGCCGGTTTTGTTGCTAGTGTTTCTATCTTGATTAATACTCCATGCCCAACAGGTTCAGTTCTTTCAAAGCAATTGAATAAGCTTTTAGAGGATTCAAACTCTGAGAATGATAATACTGACACTGAGGAGCTTTACGAACAAATGGACGTAATCAGATTAATGCAATCCATGTTTACTGCTTTGGCTACATCTCTTCAGAATCATCCAAGGAATAAGTTATCATTCTTACCTAAGATTGGTGATAATGCCATAATTGACGCTTTAAATGTAAATGGCATAATGAACACTGAGTACAAGAAAGAAGTTTTCCAATGTTTGATTGATTTTGCAACTGAGAAATGTATTGAAGAGTTTGATCAAAATAACTCTTCTGGTAATTTAAGCTATAATAGCATTTCCTCTGGCAATATTTCTTCTCTGGCTGTTAGCCCAGTTACACCTATTCCCCTTAGATCACGAGATAACGACCTCTATCTGAATATTGGCGGTCTCACAGTTTCAAAATGCCCAATTCTTCATAATCCATTTGGTCTTTTGTTTTGTTTAAAACTCATCAATCATGCTAGTGAGGATTTACAATTGTCCATTTTGAAAGTTACCGAGTTAATGTTAAAAGTTGGTCCATTGAACCTAGAGGGTTTATCCAATATCAAGGTTGTTGATTTTATTTTGGATAATTTATATGGACAAATGGTTGACACTAATCACAAGTTTAGTGCTACATTACTAAACATTTGCGAAAAAGTTGCATGTTACAGATTATCACAATTGGAGTGGAGAAGATTATTATCAATCTTTGCAGACAAGGATCACCCACAATGTATGATGAAATTATTGATGAATGCTGCCAAGAAAGGTATTAGCACTCCATTTGTAGAATATAGGCCGGGATCTGAATGCCCAATTATTAATCTAACAGACAGAACTTGGAATAGTTCAATGACAGCTGGATATACTTTCTCATGTTGGTTCTACAATACAACAGATGTCTCTGCTACAGCCCAAAAGAAAAGAAGAACTCACTCTCATCAAAGAACACAATCCAACGCAAGCAAGAGATTATCAGCAACAACCTTTGGTGATCTCAATGTTTTTATTCTTCTTAACATTCAATCAGATGATGGCAAATCATTCCTTCAATTCCACGTCAGACCAGATGGTTTTCTTGAATTCCAAAATGGACCAAAATCAAAGAGAATTTTATTCTCTAAGGTTCAATTTGAATCTGACAAGTGGCATCACTTGGTTGTAACCCATCAAAGAAACAGATTATCGAGCAGTGTAATGTCGATTTATGTTGATGGTAAATTGGAAGAATCACAAAAAGTTGGTTTTGTTAATCCGTATGCTGCAGGATCCAAAGTTACTGGTATTTTGGGTAAAAATAGTGCTGATAGTATTGATGTTTGGAGAATGGGACCTTCTTTCCTTTATGAAGATGTTCTTTATCCAGAGACGGTTGCATCTATTTTCGTTGCTAACAATACTTACACAGGTTATTTCCAAGGATCCTATACTCCACACATGGATCTTCTTACATATCATCTCTATCCAAACTATATTAAATTATTGCAAAGAGTTGCAACATCTAGAGAGATTTCAACTGAAACCGAAGCAAAAGAAAGCATTGTATCAATTTCTGCCTCTAAATTATCTCCTGAGAGATTGGTATTCGCATTCAACGCTCATAACCATTCCCTAAAGTCATTGGACCAAGATAACAGAAACAATTCACTGGTTTTAGAAAGTTTACACGGCGATAGAAAGTCACCAAAAGTACTCTTACCACAATTAGACAAGAGTTTTGTTTGTTGCCCAACATCACTCTCTGACAATATTCTTAACTCTGATGGTATTGTAGTTGTTCTTGCCCTCATTGATAGAGCTGAAACTACTCAAGCTCTTTATGATTCATTAATGCTCTTGTACAATTTGATGATGGACTCTCCATTACAAATTGATGAAGTAGAAAGAATTTTGGGATACGACATTATTGCAAGTTTCATTAGAAAAAAGACATCTTTGTTGGATAGCAAGATTCTTCAACTTTTATTCGATTTTGTACTTATGGGTAGTGGTGAACAAAAGGAAATTGTAACCAATCTGAAAGCATTTATTTGCTTGATCATTGATTATGATATTTGGAGAAAGACAGATACAGCTATTCAACTTGAATTATTCCAAAAAATTGACAATCTTGTTTCGCAAAGTTATTATACTCATTGGAATGTTATTAGACTCAAGACAACAGGCATTGTTACCAAATTGTTGCATATTTTGAGTGAATCTCCATCCATTCAAATTATTGAAGTTATTTCTGGTATATTAGCTCACTTATTCAAGCATAGAATGTCAGATAATGATATGATATCTATTTGTAACTTTTTGCTGAGTTCTCTTGATGATTCTGCTCTCATATCAGGAAATAGAAAGATACAAAAGGCAGGAAGTTGGGTTATGGTTAACACCAAGTCAAACAACTCTTCCTTCTCACTTACTCAAACACCTTCTCTGTCTGATGTTTCCTCATCAAGTTCCAAGAAGTTAAGACGTCAAAGTGCTACTACCCTTTCATTGAGTAATGTAGCAGCAAGAAATTTATTATTGAAAATGTTATACGATTTAGCTAGTTCAGATGTTAATTACCTTGAATTATTTTCAAAACATGTTGATGAAGTTTGGTTCTATCAATTTGTTGGAGAGAAATCTCATCCTATTTCATTGATATTATCTCTCCAATTACTTTGTCTTCTTCTTTTACAAGGAAAGATAAAGCCAGATAATATTTTACCAAGTTTAAAACGAGGTTTAATACCATATTGTAATCAACCAGATGTTTATTACACCTTATTATTGTTGATGACTAGAACAATTTTCGCTTATCCTTCATTGAACGTTGTCTCAGAGGCTGATTTGAAGAATTCTTTGGATCAAGTTTCAGGAATGTTTAATGAAAAGGGTATGACAGATATTATTTTCTGCAAGGAAGTTATTCCAATACTCATCGAACTCATTTCTCATAACTATGCTCCTGATTCTGAGAGTGCATTATATGGTGAGGTTTCAGCTGTTTCTTATTTTGCATCTTTTAGATCAGAAGAAAAATCATCACAAGCCAACCGTAGATGGAGTTTATTGAGAAACGTTGTTTCTTCTGTTGGATCTTTTAAAGCAGGTATTGAACAAGAAGAAGCAAGCCCAGTTACTACAATAGATTTGAACTCAATTAAATTGGAAGAAAGACCAAGAGAAAATGCTATTACTAAAGAAATATTATCTGTATTCAAGAGAATATGGAGATTATCTAGTGATGTTAAAACTCAATTTAGAAAGCCTGAAACGCTTCAAGCATTATCAATTATGCTATTTTCTCTAGAGTTGAACAAAAAACCAAAGGTAGATACAGATGCCTTCTTAACTAATTCTATTGCTTCATCAGTTCTTTCCATTCTGAGAGCTATCACAACCTATGAACTCTCCAACTCAAGCAAAGGTGTTCAAATTGTTGAAGATATATTGAAATCTCCTCCAACTCAAGCTAGTGAAACTTCAACCTTGGCATTTAGATCTTCATTCTTAATGTCATTAATCAAGGTTTATTCCAGCGAGAAGATGGTTGCTTGGGTTCAAGCAAAAGATAGCAAACTTGGAGCAAACCTTTCAGTTTTCTGTTCTTATGTAGTTGATATGCACTATGCTTCTATTTTACCAAAAACTCACTACATTGATACTTTGAATTTCATAATCCAAGTAATTTCAACAACCAAACAGTTGGACGTATCATCCAAGTTTTCCGTAACAAATCTTTTTACAACTGGAGTTGGTATGAAGAAGGAATCTTCAGCATATCCATTTAGATCCCTTAACAGAATGATTTTATATTCATTTGTTCAAGTATCATCTAGCGATTTTACAGAGAAAGTTCTCAATTCAATGTTGGATACTCAAGCTTTTATAACTTCACTAGATCCTAACAATCTTGATTTTGAATATTTTAATTGTATTTTCTTCCTTTTGTTTACACTAATGACAGATGATTCCGAAGTTTCAATTAAGGATACAGCAGTTAAAATCTGGAAGTTGATTGTTGCTGCCCATCACGATACAAATTTACTTCCAACAATTTTCTTGGTTCCAAAAGAGAAAATTACAAATGAAACTCTTCAAGCTGCCTATGACTTGGGTAATAGTATTGTTCAAGGATTCAGATCTTTGTTAGATTCTGATGTATCTATTTTCACAAAGTGGTTTAATGAAAATAACGAAAAAGTCTCCAATTTCTTTAATAATAACTTGGCATCCACTCTCACTGGATATATTGAAGGTGAAAATAAGCATACTCATAATGCATTGAACATGTTAGAAGGAGATTTAATGAGAAACAGATCTGCCTCAAGAAGTGAAAGAAAATTAGGAGAAAATTATGGTTTCTTGCTTGGAAATGCCAAATCCCAATTAAAACACATTATTGAAATGGAAGAAGAAAGAACCCAAGTTTTGGTTGAAGAATCAATTATTAGATTAAAATTTGCTGGAGAGACATGGAACAATCTTTACGAATTATTGTTCATGGAAAGAGGAACATGGTCTCATAGAGCTAAAGAAGACAATACATTGGCATGGAGATTGGATTCAACTGAAGGTCCTAAGAGAATGAGAATCAAGTTAGAAAAATTCCATCTTGAAAAGGCTTATGAAGTTGCTATTCAATCCGATCCAAACAGAGAACAAAATAGTGTCCACGCATCTAAGAAGGAAAGAAATACTACTGTAAAGTCCACTGTCAATTTAATTGACATGGACTCTTCTCCTAAGCAACCTGAAAAACCAGCCATTGAAAACCTTGAAAAGTTCCAAGAATGGAGCTATTTGTCACCTGCAAAGCCTCGTGAAATGTTACAACCAAAGAAGGAACTTGATGACAAGGATCTTGAAGCACTTGCTCCTCCATCCATTACTCTTGATACAACAGATATTTCTCTTGAAGGAAGTCCAAGACCACTTGAAATTAACAGATCTAGAGGTGATTTGGAATCATTGGATGAAAGTATGGAAAGTGATAATACTCATGAAGGAACAACTCTGGAAAATGCTACTGCTGATGAAGTTGATGATGACGATTTACTTACAATGTATGAAGAAGAAATGGGTGAAGATTTCAAGATTAGAAAACTTATCGAACCTGGTGATATGATTTTGTTCAGTTATAACAGTTTGAGAATTAATGGTCTCGATGGACAAAAGTCTCTATTCTTGATTTGTAAGAATAATGCCTACATTATCGACAACTATGTACTTACTGATGATGATAAATTAATAGAAGTTAAGGGAGACCACTCCACATTGATTGAATCAAGCGCACAACAGGCAGTCAGTGAAAATGAACTTTCTGATATTTCTCATGAAACAATCAAGATTCCACTAACTGATATTAATGACATTCTCAAGAGAAGATATTTATTGAGAGAAACTGCAGTTGAAATATTCTGTAGTGATGGTAGAAACTTCTTCTTAGTACTTGAGAAGGTTGACATGAACAAAGTGTATGAAAAACTCAAATCTTCAGACAAACATCACAAGAAGGCCTTCCCTTCACTCAAGACTATGCAATCAAAGTGGCAAAAGGGAGAAGTTGATAACTTTGAATATTTAATGTACTTGAACACTTTAGCTGGAAGATCTTTTAACGATTTAACACAATATCCAATCTTCCCATGGGTCTTACAAGATTATAGTAGTGAAGAATTGAACTTTAATGATCCAAAGATTTATCGTGATTTATCTAAACCAATGGGTGCTATTGATGATGGTAGAGCTAAACTTTTCCGTGAAAGATATCACAGTTGGTGTGATCCTTATATTCCAAAATTCCACTATGGTTCTCACTATTCAAGTGCAGGTATTGTACTTTACTACATGTTGAGAATTGAACCTTATACATCTCAATGTGTTGAATTACAAGGAGGCAAGTTTGATATTGCTGATCGTATGTTCCACTCAATCAAGGAAACTTGGGAATCTGCATCAACTGATTTCTCTTTATCAGATGTTAAGGAATTGATTCCTGAATTCTACGTTCTTCCTGAATTTTTGATCAACAAGAATAACGTACAGTTTGGCTTGAAGCAAAATGGTAATCCAGTCAATGAAGTAGAGTTACCACCTTGGGCTCACGGTAATCCTGAATATTTTGTAAAGATGATGAGAAAAGCATTGGAAAGTGATTATGTTTCTGAACATTTGCATGAATGGGTAGATTTAATATTTGGTTTCAAGCAAAAAGGTCCAGAAGCAGAAAAAGCATTGAATGTTTTCTTCTATTTAACATATGAAGGATCTGTTGATATTGATAATATTTCGAATGAAATCGAAAAGAGAGCTATCATTTCTCAAATCAGTAACTTTGGTAATACTCCACAACAATTGTTCACAAAACCACATCCAAAGAGAAATACCAATCAATTAATTGAAAAGCAACCTACTATTAGTCCAACTCCTGAAAATATTACTGCTGCTGATCAATTACCAACTGTTGGTACACAAACTACAGGTGGTGAAGCATCCGATGGCAATGTTGGTGCACTTGTTGGTAGCTCAGGACTTATTAGTAATCTTGTACTTGCTGTTAACACACAACCAGTCGTATTACCAAGTTTTAAGAAGGTTCTTGATCCAAATGTTATTTGTGTTTCTTTCAACAAGCTCAAGGGTATTGTTGCAGATGATGTAACATATGCCAATGACGCAGGAAGTACAATTGTTGCCGATTTACAAGGAGGTATTGTTGCTCCTTCATTTACTGCAACCCTTGGAAAATTAACAGGTAAGATCAACAAGGTACTCACATACAAGGAAAGTAGTACTGTCTCAGACACAGGTGTTGTAGTTACAACACCTTTCTCTGGTGTCAACACTTTTGAACCTGTTACTCCTCAATTATGGGGTCCATTAGCTGTTGGTCAAATTTCTTTAACTCAAAAACAATTAGTTAATGGTATTGTTGCTGTGAACAAGAATTGCTTCTTTGCAGATGCTAAGAGTTCAAAGTACTATTCTTATGGACATCCTGATTACTCATTAAGATTATTCAGAGACAGTAACAGTGAAACACCAATAGTAGTTCATGAAAGACTTCATACCTCTCAAATTAGTCATGCTACTATCACTAAAGATCATCAAGTGCTTGTTTGTGGTGGTGAAGATAGTGTTGTCAGTGTTTTCAAGATTAAGAAACATAAGAAGACTGAAATTTTGGAAATTCAAAAGAGATTGTGTGGTCACACTGATAAAATCTCTTACGTTACAGCTAGCTCTGAATTCAACATCATTGTTAGTGGAAGTTATGATGCAACATGTATTGTATGGGATCTAAGTAGATTGAAGTATGTTCGTGAATTGTCAATTCCATCAGATGTTGAAGACAAACCAATTTCATTTATTTCTGTATGTCCATCCACTGGACAAATTATTGTTTGTCAATGGACCAGAGTAACTGTTTATGCTATGAATGGTGACATCTTGGCTTCAAAGAGTTTAGGAAGAACACCAGCTACAACAGCTCTTAAAGTTATCAATCCTTATGACGGTAGAGAACACTTGCTTGTTGGTCATTCAAATGGTGAAATTAGTATATTTGATATGAATTACACTGTTTCAAGTGAAACAAACAAGAACGAGCTCACTTTGACCAAGTCTGTTACTCTCAAAGATCTCAAATCTGCTGTTACCTGTCTTTATTTAACTAGTGATGGTAAAAAATTATACTGTGGTGGTGAGGATGGTGTAGTTTACAAATATACTTGCCAATTGTAATTTCAATCAAAAGACCTTTTCAACCTTGTTTGATCATAATAAATTATTTAAATTATTTAAATCCACTTTAATTGTTTCTGTAGAAGTTACTTCTTCTTATTCTTCCTGTCATAGATTTGCTTAATCTTAATTCTGCTCATATCAGGTAATTCCAAAAAGAAAGAGTTGGTGCTTAGTGTTGCATAGTTATTGGCAATATATTGTTCACATGAACATTCCAGTGTCTTTTCATTGTAAAGAACTGCTATCTCATGTATTGTCCACACATTATTATTGTCTACTAGAGATGAAACCATTCTTCTGCAACAACTGGCCAAGTCACCCAAATCTAACATTAAGCAATAAACCAAAATACCTAAACAGTTTCTTGGACTTAGTTGAATAATGTCAGTGTACAAATATTTTAACAAGTCCATCATGATCTCCTTTGAATAGTCTGTCAAGTGCACAACCTTCTCTTTGCTTTCCAACATACCACTTGTAACAAACATTCTTGCAAAGAATGGAGATCGTGAGACAATCAATTTGTGTACAAAAATTCCAGAAGAAGGAATCTTACTGTCTGAAAGAGGTGAAAGCAACTCGTCTTCCATTGAGATTTCTTCCATTGGAGGAGGTTGGTTAGAGCCATCATGGTCCAATACAATCACTAAATCGCTGTAGGTCTTATCATCGATCAAACTTGTAAAATCTTTGTGCATAACTTCCAAAATTTCTCGTGTTAAACTCAAATCCTTTCTCAAATCCATACTACAAATCTTTTGAATGTATGGAAAATGCTTTACTTCAGACACTAACTTGACAAATTCCAAAAATTGATTTACCTCTTTCGAGTTACTCAAGATTATTGTGCCTGTGTATGGGGGAAGCATTGATTCAACGTTGATTTCAGTCCAAACACGAGTAGATGTGTCAAATACGTACAAGTCATTTAACAATTGATTTTTAGCACTCATTCCACCATAAACAAACATCAAGTTAGCAATAATACACGATGAATGTCCAAATCTAGCTGATGGCCAATCTCTTTCTCCTCTTCTTGGCTTTTCTACTTTAGCATATGCCATTGGAATTTGATTATTTACATTATTAGGAATATGAATAATGTATAAATCATCCAAGATTGAATTTGCTAAAGTTTTCCCACCAAAAACAAAAACATCAATACCACCCTCAGCAATGGTACTATTAAATGAGAAATGAGTTCTTCGTGAGTACAAGTAAAATCCTCCATACCATGAATTTAACATTCCAGGAGTAAAACAAATTTCCTGTGGTTTGAATATTTTCTGAATTTTGTAAACAGAATCCCCAAAAATATAAATATCTCCATTCATTTCAATCATAAATTGACCAGCCAAGATAGGATTAGAATTTGCATTCATCTCATTACTAACTCTCATAATATCTCTATAAATATTTAATCTTCCTTTAGTAAGGTCATAAACAATCAAGTCATCATGTTGAGTATTTGCTGTTATTCCACCAGCAATGAATAGATATTTGTGATCACTCGAAAGACATGTCATATGATCTGTTCTATTCAATAATTGTTGTACAATATTAAAGGACTTGGTATGTGAATATTCCTCAGTGACATATTTTGGTTCTGTTACTTCAATTCTGAGCACATCTTCACGAAGTTTTATATCCCCTTTTCAAGCATCAAGTCATACCATTTGCAAGTCACATAATGAAATTGTGTTTCATGAGCCTTTGATCCAGTATAAATTGTAACAACACTTGGATCTACATCTTCAAAGAACATTTTAGAAGATTGCAACACGTCCAACTTGAAATTAACTTCCTCATTCACTTCCTCTTGTTTTTTCAATTTTGGTCCTTCAATGCCATAGAGTTTCAAATTTTGATAGTCTTGTATCTCTTCCTCAGTCATCGTCATGATCTGAACTTGATTCATCTTCGATCTATCTTCTCCTGTTGATGAAGATGAGGAAAGTTTAAACTTTTTCTTTCTTGTCTTGTTCTTTTCCGAGAGAACCTTCAATGTTATATTCTTTTCAATTTCTTCCTTATTTTCTATATAACTAGATTCATTGTTTGGTAATTCTTCCTCATCATTGACATCATCACCCGATAATTGATGATCATCTTCATCGTCATCTTCATCATAGCTATCATAATCATCATCTCCTATGAGACTCTTTAGCATTTCAGACATTTTTTTGTTCTATTTTGAAATTGAGTTTAAACTATTGGTTTACAATAATGCAGAATTAAGGTGGCATGGTATGGTCAATTAATAAATTACAATTTTATTTAAAGTTGAGAAATCAAACCTTCCACTTGTTTAGCTCTGAATTCCCAATATTTCTTTCTAATACCATCAAACTTTTGCAAATTATGACAAACTGTAAGAGCTTCTTCCAATTGACCTCTTCTCATCAAACAAACAAAGAGTAAATAGTTAGCATGTGGATTAATAGAAACCCTTTCCAATACAGATCTTGTCTTTTCTTCTAAATATCCAACAATTTCTTGATATTCAGGAGATGTTTCTTTCATCAAGTGGCTAGCCATTCCCTTTGCATAATTCCAAGGACTTTCATTGTTTGGTGCTTTGAGAATGTATTCGAAAGCAACATCAATTTCTTGTTTTCTTACTTGGATATTTGTTTCAAAATTTGGTGTAGTATGTTGAATTAAATAGAAACGATAATTCCATGCACTATTGTTTCTCAAATCTTGATTAAATAGACGGATAGTAAAATCTAATTCACCTTCCCATAAATTAAACTCCTTGACAAGCCATTGTCTATAAGTCCAAACATGATAATTCTTTGAATCATCACCAAACATTTTCTCAACAAAATCCTTTTCACCATCAACAACTCTAAGTTTTTCAATCAACGATTGACGATGATACCAAATTTGATAGTTTTTAGGGTTGTCTTCGGAAACTTGATTTAAATATTCTATTTCTTTCGATAAATCCGCATTCAATCCATCAAGTACAATACGTCTATAATGCCATGCTGTATAATTTGCAGGATTTAATTCAATAGCTTCAGCAGTAAGTTCCAAAGCACGTTCAGAAATTTCATTATTTTGTATAACTGCTCTGAAGTATCCCATCACTTCTTTAAAATCATCCGAGTAGGCAATTTGTACAACTGGATTTGGTCCTTCTTGTGCAGGGATTGGTTCGAGATCAGCGAATTTTTCCAGAAGGTTTGATGGCATTTTTTTAATAATTATGATGTAATTAAAAATAGAATCAATTTACTTTTTAATTAAAAAATTAATATGAATGAAAATGAATTTGTTGATTGACAGAAATTCATGAAGGATGTAACTGTAAAGAATAATTAACATGTCTCAAGAGATTGTTTTATTTACTTTTCCTTGAAGAGCATAGCAACTTCTTGGATGAGAGAAGTGCTCAGGTTGTCATCAGTTGTTCTGAGTTCAACAGAAACAGAGGTTGCTGATTTGGCTTTAACTAAAACAGCCAAATGATGATTTTGACACGAGTTACCATACATTTGATAAACAGTGTCAGCAACATAATCAACAACAGTTAAACGAAGTTGTCTGGCAATTTCCTTAGCAGCATCATTTACATTGGTAATCTTTTCGTTAAGGGTACAGTTGGTTGAAGAAAGGTGAGGTAATTGACCAGTCTTGATCAAGTTGGCAAATTCTTCAGTAGTTACACGTTTTTGTACAAAGAACATTGAAGATGGAATCTTCATAGTAAAGTCCAATCTACGTTTGTCTTCAGTACCAAGAGTATATTCTACAAAACCTGTAACTTGTTGTTGTCTGACAAATGATTGGAATGTGAAGGATGGATTGAGTGTGTTGGTTGACTCTGGGGCAAGAGAGAATCCACAACGAACTACACCAGTTTGTTGCATTCCAGGTCTAATGAATTTGAGATTCATAGTACTGTCAATATTGTAGGCAATAGCGTTAACATCTTCATCAGAAACATTTTCCAATGAAATTGGAATTGATAAAGTGGTACCATCCAATGGGAAGGCCTTAGTATTGTAATATACCTTAACATGTTCGTCTCTACACAAGAGTTTCAAACCTTTCTTTCCTGCACTGGCCTTCTTTTCAGACTTTGGTTCAGAAGAAGCCTTCTTCTTGGTAGTCTTCTTTTCAACCTTTGGTTCGGAAGCTTCAGGAGTGTCAAAGAAGTCAATCAATTGCTTGCTTGATTCTGGAGCCTTCTTGACAACCTTCTTCTTTTTCTTGACTTCTCCTTCAGTAGCACCTTCTTTGGTCTTCTTAACCTTCTTCTTTGTGGTGGTTTCTGACTTTGCTTCCTTGGTTTTCTTGACTGGAACTTCCTTTTCCTTCTTTGGAATAATTGGAGATGATCCAACTGGATAAGCCTTGATTGTTGGCAATATTTCATCAGCACCAATTGGAGCAGTAAGATCAATCTTACTGAGAGCATCTTCAGTTTCGACAGCCTTAGCTTTTGGTGGAACATAACCTTCAACTTGTTCAAATTCAGTACTGACTTGCATTGGCTCTTCATTTTCATCATCATACTTCTTAGTCTTCTTGACCTTCTTTGTGGTAGTCTTCTTAACTTTCTTTGGTTCACCAGTAGTAGCAACAGGTTTCTTCTTGGCAGTTCCCTTGATGATAAAGACATCTCTTTGTCGTTGATAGTTACTAACTGGAGCATTAGGATCTTGATAAACTTCAGATTCCTTTTCAGTGTCCAATGAGAATTCTGAAGATGTAATAATTCACCAATAGTCCAAGAAGCAGCATACAATACATCAAAAACGCTTGAAGTTTCAGAGCTTTCAGTGAGCAAGTGAGGAGAAGTCAACAAGGAGATCATTTCATTGACACCATGTTGTCTGAGACTCTTAACTCTAATCAAGACATCCATAATGTGTTGAGCAATCAATTTACCATGTTGAGCAGACTTAATGTTGGTCAATTGGATTAAAATGTCCAAATACCACTTAAAGTTGGCAATAGCCTTATAATTGTCCTTTGAGCATGAAGTAATAATTCTTTCAATGAGGAAATCTCTGTAATCACCTTCAGCCTTTTCCAATTGCTTCAACAACTTGCTAACAATACCCTTAATATTCTTTTGGTTTACAACGCCACATAACAAGTCCAAAGCTCTATATCTAATGGTGACATCTTGATCTTCCAAACACTCCATAATAGTATCCTTCATATCAGAAATAACTTTTGGATATTTAGATAACAAGTTATTCAAACCAGCAAGACCGAGGTACTTGAGATTTTGATCCTTATCTTCAACAAATGACTTGAGTTTGTCAACAGCCAATTTGACAACTGTCATATGTTCTTGCATACCGATAGTAACAGTAATAAGACATTCATAGAGCAAACTCTTTGCTGGAGTGGTTGAAATAATATTAGCAATTGGTTCAACGAGCTTCTTGGCCAATCTTGGTTCATGAGGAGCCAATGAGCCCATCAACTTGACAATCTTGATTAGGGTCCAATTGTTAGTTACATTGGTCAACAACTTGTAGAAGATTGGAGCCATACCAAGGTAATTCTTTGGATTCTTTCTAGCCAATTCACAAATAACATTGACAGCAGAAGAAATAACAGCTATTCAATAATGTTAATTAGATAATATGAAATATCTAATACCTACAAGGATGAGAATCACTCAACTTTTCCTTAAGTTTAGGGAAGGATGGTCTCAATGCATCTGGATATTGAAGGAAAATCTTGTACATACACAAGACAGACTTCTTTCTAATATATTGTCTAGATGAGTTGAAAAGTCCCAAAATTTCCGATGCCAAATCCTTTGCCAAGTCTGGAGTAGCAATATTAGCAATAGCAGAAACAGCAAGACCTGTATCATATTGATTAGCACTCTTCAATTCCTTTCTAAACAATTGATGAGTAAGTAAAATAACATCAGTTTGTGGTGTAAAACCAAGAGAAGCAGCAAGATAACCAATTCTCTTGTAAGTAAAGATTGGACTACTCATAACTTCCAAAATATGAAAAGCTGCCCAATTCATGTCATATCCCAACATATGTAACTAATAAAATTTAATCCTACGATCATCAACAAATAACACCTACATAAGTTAATTTTTGTACAGCAACAGCCTTCTTTTTAATATCATTGGCTCTGAGTTCATCTTTAATTTCAGAAACACATGATCGAATATAAGCATCTTCGGTGGCTTTATTGGCACGAATGCCTTTTACCATATCTTGAAGACTCTTTTCGAACATTTTTTTAAATATTTTAATAAATTTGAAAAAGATTTTTCAACTCCTTCGTCATCTCCTAGCGTCAAATAAATAGTCGTTGTTATTGTTGCTCTTTTTCTAATCCATTTCTAACCTATGATAAAATTGCCCCACAAAATGAAAATTGTCTAACTATCTAGTAACAATAACAACAATAATTTGCTTGAATTTGTTGATCCTTCTTCTAGATGAAATTTCTCCTTGTCTCTCCTTCCTTGAAGCTAAATAAACAATCTTTGCGCCAAAAGCTTGCGATCGGAATAAAAAAACAACTTGATAAAAAAATGTTCAATGGATTCTTTAAGAAACACAAACAAAAATTGATTTGGACTGGTGCTATTGCATCTGTGCTAGGAATTGGTGGAGGGTTAACTTACTATTGGTACAAGAAACGAAAGGATGAAACAAAGGAAAAGGCTAAAAGAGAACAACAAATGAAATATTTATTTTCAGAGAATAGTAATGCTGCCAAGTTAGCCTTGATTTCTGTTTTACCAAATGTATGTGGTTTTTATTGATAATATTGCTGATCATTGCTACAGATTTTTAATCATTTAAATGAACAATATCCAATTGAATCACTTGTGGAGGAATTAAAAACACAAAAAGACATTTCGGCATCAAGAAAGAAACAAGTTTGGGAAAAGATTAAAATTGATTCTTTGGCAAGGACAATTTCATCTATCTATGCTCTTTGTTTAATGGATACAATTATTTCAATTCAAATATCAATGATCGGAAGACATTTATATATGGAGCATACTTTTAACAATAAGAAAATAGAAGAAGGATTTGAAGATGAAAAATTGAAAAACCATTTGTCACTTTCTTCCGATAGAGTTTCACAACATAGATTTTTAGGTTATGCAGCTTATTTCAATGATGTTGGGTTGCCAAAATTAATTTCTCTTGTAGAAAATGTTGTTAAAGCTCACGTTTTAGATTTATCGTTAAAACATCAATTTGCCACTAATGATTTTAAGGAGCTTGTAGAATCTATTAGAAAGCAAATAGATCAAAAATTGGATAATAACGAAGAATCTACTAGTGAATTTAAATTACCAAACTTAATCTTACCTGATCTTTCACAATTAGCCAAAGACAAGGGTGAAGAAAATGATAAGGTTCAAAAATTACTCTTTGAATTGTCGGATTTGATTGAATCTCCTGAATATGGTAACGTTTTTAGAGAGACTTGTAATTGTGGATTTTCACTCTTGTATGACAGAATTGAGGAACACATATCCAAGAATGCAAAGAGAAATGATGAAGTTTCCTCAGCTCCATTACGTTTACATATGGTCAATGTTAGTTCATGGCTTACAAAAGAATTTAAAGTTGTTATGAGCAAAAAAGAAGATCAAGATATGAGTGAATGGGGTCATGTCTACGTTGAACAAACTCATGCTTCTCAATTCTTAAACAAGTACAGTGTACTCATTTATGCACGAGATTTGTTATATGAATGAAACTGTTGCAATCTCAATTATACTTCCATATGATGTTTAAATTGATTAAGTGATTGGAAAGAGTTTGAGATCCGAATGTAAAACGTGAAACGAGAATGTAAAATCAAAGAAATACTAGTAATAATTAAATTCTCTATTATTTATCAATTGGATCGGATCATTTATTTGTGAAATTGTATAAATTAATTATTATATATTTACATATGATTAGTGACACTTATTAACTAGCTCCTTTCTCTTCAAGAATTATTGTTTCTTTTGAAGAAGAGTGCACCAATCGTCAACAATTACGGGCCAAGCATCATTTGAATCATATCTAGAAAGATCATCACCAACATTATGAACAAAATCAATGAAAAGATCCCAAGAGTCCTTTTGAATTGCTCTCTTGTAAGTATTTTCAATATAATCACACCATTCGTTAATCTTCTTATATCTGTCACTTAAAAGTAAACGCCATGTAGCAGAGGCCATTTCGCAAGACATTGACTTTGCACCTGGTTCTTTTGAGTAGTTGTAACACCAAACGTAAAACTTTTTAAATTCAGTATTGTTGCTAGTAATTGGTTGTTCCCAACTACTAACTTTGCTCTTCATATCACTCAATGATTGACAGTTATTTCTCTTAAATCCATCAACGAATTCTTTATGTTTAACTTTGTATTGTTCAGTTGCTCCAATTTTATAGAGCATAATCAACATGATTCTTTGCTCCGGATTAATTCCTATATCCTCAGCTAATTTAAGTAAACCTTCAGTTCCTATGTAATCAACATCATCTTCAGAATCTGGATCTTTAACGTCCATTGCAGCATATTTAGCATATAATTTTTCCATTTCGTCTCCACTCTTGACACTATTTGTTGTAGAAGATGTATTATTTGTTGTTGTAGTAGAAGCAGCAGCCGTAGTATTATTAGATGTATTATTATTACCACTATTATTTGATGATTGAGTTGTCTTGGTTTGGTTCGATGTATTAGAGTGATTGTTGTAGGTACTATTGGTTGTTGTCGATGATGATGAAGATGAATTGCTTGATCCTTTTTGTCCCATTTTTTTAAAATAATTGTTTGATTGGTTTGCTGATGTTTTATCAGAACGCAGATGAAAGAGGAATTAAAGTTCTATTCATTTTCCCTCTCTTCAGAGTTCATTGTACATTGAAGAAGCTCATCATAGAGATGTTTGTGTGGGTTGATATTTTGTTGTAGCACTGTATTGGTTGTTTGGTATTCAGAGGTGATAGGATTAGTAATCGTTGGTTGGAGAATGTTTGACGTCATTTACAAAAAATTTCTTCTAATTGGAATCGAGAACAAAATTTCATAGATAGAATGACATTAGAGTAATAATAGTCCTGATCTTTTATGAAACGTGTTAATTGGCCAGAAATAATAACTCAAAAACTCTAGTTTTTATTAACAAATTTAGCAACTTTTTAACTAATTTTTATTGGGGAATAATTAATCAATAATAATTGTTCCCTTTCTTATGAATGCATCAGGTCCAATTTCATCCCATTCCTTCTTTGTTATCCATGCCTCATCCATCGTCGATATTGAAGTTATTATTGAACCACCAATAAAACTCAAACATTCCTTATCATGGTAATGAGTCGAGTGAATTTTAATTTGTTTTCCTGTGAGTGATTTCATTTCTCTCTTTAATCGATGTTCTATTCCAAATAATTTACAATTTCCACCTGTTAGTACAACATTAGAATAGAGATCTTTTCTAATTTCTGGTTCACATTTGAGAATGGATCGATGTGCCATTTGATGAATACCATGGAAACTCTTATCTGCTAATTGATGTTTGAAGAATAGTTCACCGCCTTCGAATAGTTCATTTCTCAGAGCTACCATTGTTCCATCTGGCAGTTCATAAGGTTTACAATCACTGTGAGCAAGTGGATCTGCCTTAATGAAACATAATTCTTCCTTAATATTTTTTATGCATTGTTTAATTTGATTAATTTTCAAATTATCCGAAAGATTAATTAAACAATTCATTAAAAATTGATCCAAATCTTGACTTCCAAAATTAGAAACTTCAATTGCATCTCTTAAAGGAATTCCTTCAAAGAATGGAATAGTATGGGTGATTCCATATCCTGAATCAATTAAAACGCCTGTCAATTTTCCTGCCCCAAACATTGACAGAACAGATTGATGCTCGAAAAAGAGACTGGGCACTTTTAGAGATTCGAATAATATTTGAGCACAATGCTCTCTCTGTCTATTCTCTTCAGGATTGAAAATATTATCAGCAATTAACAAATTACAATCACTAGTTGAAACTTTCAATTCAGTTTCATACATGTAATCCCACAATTTCTCCAATTGTTTCAAATCTTTGAATTTTCCTCTTTCCACTGGATGAAAAAGAGCCATATTCATTGCACTTTGATTCTTAATTTCCTTTCCAATCATGTATTCCTTCTTGGGTGAAACAAGTGGATTCTGTAAATGCATTAGAACATTTCTAGTACTGGAATGTGTAATCTTTTGTTTGGCAAGTAGTGTTGCAATTACTCGAGGAGTTGACTCTCCATCAAAGCCTGCTTTTGTGTGCAATGAGCCAACATCAATAATTACAGAGCGAGGTTTGTGGTGTGGCATTCTTTTTTCTGTTTTGGTGAAATTCAACGATGCCTCAATGTTTAATGATGTCAAGATGACCATTGAGGTTGATTGATGTAATTCTTAGAGATATGTTAATATGAGGTACATCATTTTACATTTTAGGGAGTAATCAGCGACAATTAAAGAAGAGAAATTATTTTCCTTTATCCAGAATTTGTATGGGTTTCAGTTTTGATACAAAATTTATTAGTAACATTTACTTCCAACACCCTTTTGGCATATTATCATAGAAATAGAAAGCTTGATTCATGGCTGGCATGAAGATAATTTCAATACGTGGGTGAACTTCCAAATCGAATGCCATTCTAAGTGTAATATTGAATTAATAACATGATGAAAATTAATATAAAACTTACGCAACATCACATTCAATATCCAAGTGATAAATATGGGAAATCATTGAACCTTCAGTACTTGGGAAAATGTTTGCTGGTAAACCATAATTCAATACATTATCATGTTTTGATTTCTTGTCAACTCCATTGAAAACATTACGATTGACTTCTTCTGAATATTGAATTGTTCTTCCCTTACAATTGAGTTTAACATCACGCATAAGTTTAACTTTCAATTTGTCAACATTCTTCTTTGATTGATTGTCAATAATAACTCGGACAGGAACTGTTTCACCTGGAATGAAAACATTCTTTGGAATGGTAGCATCCATGAAAAGCTTTCCTGAACCACCAAAGAGGAAACTCTTTTCATTGTGACAACTAACTGGTTGAGGAACAGTCAAAGATCTAGGAACAATTGACAAGTATCTCTTATCCTTAATATCCTTTTCATTAACATTATCCAAATTGGATTTAACTTTGTAAATAATAGCTGCTCTATATTCATTTCCGAATTCAGTACGATGAATGTTGCATCCACCTGGCAAATCAGCTGGTAATTGGAATTGGAAAGGGAATGAATAAGTACCTGGCATTGCCATTCCTCCATTAAAACTTCCTATTAATTTTAAATAATTAATTCATTGCAAATATAATTAAATCATCATCACACATATTAATATTTTGCTCATTAACAATTTTTGATCATTAATAAAAACTAACCTAAAACCATTTGAGTCTTGAAGAAGGTCTTTTCTTGTTCAAACTTATCATGGACTGTTCTAGTTTCTGTTCTACCACCACCAGCATCATAAGTCTCCATTCTAGAAATAACAAACTTGGTTCTTTCCATTCCTTTCCATTTAATAGTGAGGGCAGCAGCTTGTACAGGTTGAGAAATATTCACCTCACAATTACCAGTAATTACCTCTCCGGCAATATAATATGGTTTATCTAATGCCAATCTGATGGATCCTTTTGTCATGTTGTCTTCTCCTTATTGATCGTTCTATTTTTTTTTATTGTGAGGAGATTTTTGCTTCTATTTGATATTCATAAAAGTTATCTTGAGGAACTTTTTTGTTCATTTGGTGTTATCCAGGTTAAAGCTTGAAAATTGATTTTAAAATCATGAGGTAAATTAATTATTATCGATGATTTTTATTTATTCTCATTGTAATGAGTACCACCAACCAAGGTAATAAAACCACCTCCCATGACTTTGTTATTGTGAATTAAAATGATTCTTCTCCATCGTTCCTCACTGAATAGTTGAATGCCCTTATGACAACTAAATCTCAATCTAACTAATTCGTTTTCTTTACAATTGCTTGGTTTGGAAACAAGAGGGGTCTTTGTCTTTTTGTTCAACCTTTCCACTATTTCAATAACTCTACAGGCCTCCCCCACACAAGTTGAAAATACTATGGGTGTCACTCCAACTTTCCATCCTTTCTTTGGTGAGTGTGTTATGTAAACTATGGCCTCAAATGTATGACTTGGATCTATTCCAATCAAACTACCTCTTGTAATGTCAACCATTCTAACATTTTTCAATGCCACCCCACAAAAATCTCCTCTATTCACTTTGGTTTGATTCTCGTGAAATATTTCTAAGCTTTTCACATTTGAGAGAATTGTTTCTGTAATTTTTACCTCTTGATCAAATTGAATAGAACCAGAAATTACTCTTCCAATCACTGTAGTTCCAATCCCTCCTATTTTCTCCTTTCCCATAACTGCATACACTAAACTGTCTCCTTCATTATTTTGGGTAATCTGAGTATTTTCAATTTCTTTCACAATTTCCTTTCTGAATTCAATTATTGCTTCGGTACAAGTTAATTTGGAAAACAATGGATGAGGCATCCTTTCAAATGGATCCAATTTGGAGAAATTGGAATTACCTTGAATACCAACAATGTGAATATTTGACATGGAAAATTCCTTCAAAATTTTCTGAATTTCTTCCATCAAATCATTAAGTTTTTCAAATGTTCTATCAAATTCTGAAATATTTACAATTATCATACAATGTTTTCCACTCATTTTTGCAATAAGAAAATGCTCTCTCATTGTTTCAATGTATTTTTTGGAGTTAGTTGAATATTGATACTCCTCCAAATCAATGGCCACAATATGTCCATCAGCCATTAATGAAATCTTCATCAAACTCTTTAATTTTCTATTATTTTCATATAATATTCCCATTTTAAATTCATCATTCATTTTGTCATATCTTAAATCAAATGTCTTATCCCTGTATCCACTCTCATTCCACATTATATCAAAGGCAGTAATTCTGAAATGTCCTCTCGATTCATAGGCAATCTTTTGACATTTTTCAAAATACCTTTTATCCAACCCTTTACAATGATACAACATTCTGGCCTTGAGCATGAAGAACGATTGAAAAGAAGACATTTTGCTTCCGATCATGGCTACAAGTGGTAATATTGTAGAATCAGAATCACCTGTTACCGGACAAGATTGTGTTTGCATTTTTTAAAGTTATTTTTATATGTTTATTAAGAAGTGAACTTGTGGAATTGAAGTTCATACTCTCTAAACAAAAAAATGTCTTCAAGTCAATTCAACCATCCAATAAAAATACCTAAAGATAAGAAACATAGAGAGGCATTGTCAGTTGTTGATTCATCTTCTCTTTTGGAAATTTTGAAAAGTTTTGGAATAATTGTCAAGACAAAAGTCAATTTTTGTGGACGAAAACAGGATTTTGAACATCAACTAAAAGAATGCTTTATGGATAAACAAAATTATGAACCAATTATCGAAGGAACAAATGAAGACTTTAGGCTAGAGAATGAGCTCTATAATGGCAGTTTATATTCAACAATTTATAATGATAATAACATTTATACTAAACAATCCAAGATAATTATTCGATTCAAATGTGATTTTGATCATTTAAATAGAATTGAAAAACAGAGTTTCAACAAGGCAAATAAGAGTACGAGGGGGGATATTTTCAAAAAGATTGTAAAGACAGATAGAAAGAATGCTAACATGATACGTATTGAATTTGATTTGAAATTCAATTCCATCACAGAAATTGTCAAATATTTGAATTTATCCAGTTCGAAGGTTATGTTAGAGAATGAAATACTTTCAAGATTGGTCGATGTTCTTGATGTTGATCCAGAAAAAAAGCAAGTTTATATCAAGCTCAAAACGTTTGATTCTTGTAAAACCACAAACTTGACTAGTTACCTACTGATGGGGAAAATTGATGGCAGCAATTCATGTTTCATGTTGGATTTAACAAACCTCAAACATTCTTACAATCTCCTCACAATTGACCAAATTTACAGACATTTTACACCTAAAAAACTGAAAGGTAGAATTTACAATAAGGGAAATCCTAGTACTTTCCACGATTGTAAAGAAATTGGAGTGTACAGAGTCTTAATTGGATGTTTCTTTGTTTGCATGACAGATACATTAGCTGGAATCTACACCAAAAGAGAAAAACTTCGAGTAATCGAATCATCCACCTTTAGTCCAGATATTGTGGACACTAAAAAAACAACTAGCACTTTTGAAATGATTGCAGAGCACACAACAACGTTCGATTATTTCTATTACGATCACTCTTACTATGGAGGTATAATAGATACTGGTTATTACAAATTTGAATTGAAATCACCCTGTAGATTCTATTGTGATTATGGTGATTTAAAATTCAGAAGAGAATTCTATCACTTTTCATTGTAAACTTGAAATCAGTTATGCTATCCAAAACCATCATAATTCCTCTCATCAAAGAATAAATCCAACTATTGGGAAACTCCCTCTAATCTAACCTCTGTTTCCTCCTATTAAACTGCAAATGAAATCTGTTTTTCTTTGATTCTCCTCAGGAGAAGAAGAACATTGATGTAACAAGCTTCAATTCTCACTCCGATCAACACCAAGTAAAAAAATGTCTCTGTTAGCAATTCCCTCCATCGGTGATGATTCTACTTCTCGGAGAAGGAATGTGCAGAGTAGTGGTGCTGCTGCTCGTTGCAGGCTAGGGTTCCTCCTGATTATTTTAATGATTTTTGTAGGTGGAGGATACTGTGGTGTGATGAGTGATAGTTATAATAGTAATAATAATAATGATAGGCTTGATAATACAATTAGTAGCAGAATAACAACGCCACCGATACAATTTAGTATGAATTCGAGAAGGAATTATTTTGTAGATATTTCATCATTTGATGATAGAGTAAATGATTATGTAATTGATTTGACTAGAACATTGGAAACAAACAAATCAATTGATGATAAGCCAAATGATTCTAATGTAAATAATGGAACTATTGTGATTGATATGTCGCAAGGCGGTGTAACTTTTACAATTGTAACAAACTTGTCTATTGGATTAATATTCTTGATTATATTCTTCCTTTTCAGACCTTTCTTACCACTTTTTAATTTGAAAGAAAAGAAGAAATTATTGAAAAATGTAAAGGAAAACATCAGATCTAGAAATAATTATATTAACTATAAGGATAAGGGTGGTGATATTTATCCAACAGTTGACGAGGACTTTTTAGAAAATTCCTCAATCATTAATAGAGTCAGATTAGATTCAAAATTTATTAATTTATTGGATTTGAAAGATGAAGACTCAGAAAGTGAAGATGATGATATAGATCAAGAATCAAATATTACAAATACTCAAAGCAGTCAATCAACATATCAAAGATCAGAAAATATATTTTCTAGATCTCCAACAAGGAAAATATCAATGGCTATTCCATATATTCCTTATCAACAAACTGTAGCAAAATTAGGAACATTCAAAGAAAAGTTTATTGCCTTTGCCAAGGAAAAGTATGAATTCCTTGTCGAATTTACAAACTTTGCAATTGATGTTTTGCTTTCTTTTGTTTCAAAGACACATAATCATGAAGATATGGAAAGACTTTTAAACAGATATTCAAGAGATGTTGCTGTTTATTTGCTCTTTCAAAAAGAATTCATTTCCGCCATGTTTTTAATTGCTCTGTTGTGTTCTATTGTTCTCCTTCCTCTTCACATGACACAAAGCACAGATATTAATGACATGAAGTTTGACTTTAACGGATATACAGTTGCTCCTAGTGATTATCCTCTCTTGAGAACTACAATTTCAATGGTCTTAGATAGTCCATTCCTGCTCTTGGTCCACGTATTTCTCTCATTTGGTGTTTCATTCATATTTGGCTTGTTCTTATTTAAGTTTTCAAGACACGATATTGTCTCTAAAGAAAATTATGGAAAAGCCAAAACTGAAAAACAAGAAAGTATTCTACTCAGTTCTAGAAGTGTTCTAGTTCAGAATATTCCAAGTGATTTCAAGAGTGAACCTCAATTTGAAAAAATGGTGAAGGAAGAATTGTGTCCAGGATTGAAAGTACACAAAGCTGTTCTTATCTATGATGTTTATGATAGAATTCAAATGCAAAATGATTACCAATCCATTTGTGATCAACTTGAACATTATGAGTTTCTGCAAGAAATTCATCTCAAAGAAAAGCACGCTTTTTGGAGACGTGTTTACAGAGATCACACAAGCAAAATCGGTCAGTTGAAAGAAAGAAAACGAGAGTTAAGACTTGATATGCAACACTGGGATAAAATTTATGCTAGTGTAAAGAAAGATGAGTATGGAGCTGAACATGATATCATTCCATGTTTAAGATATGGATTTATTGTTTTTGAAGCAGCCAAAGATGCAGAACAATGTTTGGATATGTACTACAAGAGAGGTGACATCAAAATGCCAATCAAAGTTTCCACATTAAGTGATATTCAAAGTGAAGGAGATGTTTTATCTGTCTCAACTGTTAGAAATATTACATTCCAAATCAAGCAGGCATATGAACCTGATGATATCAACTGGGAAAATATGTTAACATATACTGGCTTTTTCGATTCATTTAGAAATATTTTGATGCAATTCATTGTCATTTTAATATTTGTTTTCTTGACAACTCCTATGGCTTTGTTCTCATCTCTTGAATCACTTACAAGAATTCCAATAGTTCACATCTCATTGTTTAGAATTAAGGGTACGTTGTTATTCATTTATTTATTTTATTAACAATTCCATTAGAAAGTGCTGGTGAATTTGGTTCAATTGTTTTCCAATATGCTCCAACTTTAGCCCTTCACTTGTTCTCTATTTTCCTTCCGTATGGTGTTTGGTATGCTCAAGATTTTTCCAAATTCAGATCCAAATCCAGATATATGAGAAAGATTATTGCTAGATTGTTCATGTATCTCGTACTATCAACATTAATTATGCCAATGTTATCTCTTACCAGTTTCGATGCCTTCATTAACTTGATTCAACAACAGGGCAATATTTCACAAATGTTGAGTAATATGTTTTTACCAGGTGCTGGTTCTTACTTTTTTAACTTTGTTTTACAAACAGCAATTCTCAAAAACTGTGAAGATATTTTAAGAATTTACAACTTGATCTATTACTTGTGGGGAACTAAGAGTCTTCCAAAGACAAGTCCATTGGAAAAGTTGAAAGCTTGTGAATTATCTCTTTTTTACTTTGAATATGAGTATTCATACATGTTAACCATTCTAGCCATTTGTATCACAAACTCTTTGTTTTCACCATTGATTCTATTGTGTTGCTTATTTTACATGATTTTCAAACATCTTGTTGATAGATACGTTATTATGTATATCTATGGACATGTTTCAGAAGGAGCTTGTAAGGGAGTGCTAACTAGTAATTTCAAATCTCACAGAAAACTTGTTACTCTTATTTGTTCCCTTGTAATGTCAATCATGGCAATTTATCATGGAAGTATGACCTTATTCTTTGGTATTAGAATCAAAGCTAATGCATGGTTTATAATGCACACTGTATTTAGTGGATTGGCATTTATGGGAATTATGGGTGTATGGTTTATGTACTTTACAAAGAATACTACTGCCAAGACTTTCATCAAACAAAGAATTTTCAAACCAATCAAGAACCTGTTCATTTCAAAAACCAATAGAGATAGAATTATCTCAAGAGAAGAGGAAAAAGAGGCAGAAGAATACCAAGAGTTTGGTAAATCTGAGGCTATTTATTACGGAACTAGTAGCAACGTTATGTCATCATTCAAAGTAGAAGGTCCAAATTCTCAAGAAGTTATTGAAAGAATGAATAGAGCTTATGAACCACCATTCAAATATTTCGTGAATGAAATCGAAGCAGACCAAAATCAAGTAGGCACACAACTTAATTAAATCATTTCAATTGATTAATATTTATTCAATTCCTTTTCTAAATATTTAGTAACATTTGGAGAGCAATGAGTACCATCTAATACCAATTCTTTTTTAAGGTTCTTACCATTATCAGTTAACATTTCATCCATAAAGTCCAAATATCTGAGTCCATTCTTGATACATTCCTTCTTGAGGTGAATGTTAAATAACTTTACAGTTTCTCTTGTAAAGTCTAATACAGGTGGTGCAGGATGGATGAACAAGTCATACTCCTTATTTACCTTAAGTAATTCCTTCATATAATAAGAAATTGTTGTTTCAATTCCTTCTTGAATATTCTTGTATCTGAATCTTTCAACAGAAACCCAAATACCTTCCCTGCAGTCAATTTCACCAAACATAAAGATAACAGTTGATCCTTTTGGAATTGAATTCAAAACACTGAAATAGTTTCTCTTTGGGTAAAACTTGGTATTGTCTCTCAAGTGGAAACATTTACATCCTGTTACAAGTTTAGGAAGGAGGACATATCTACTTTGTCTCCAATTGATAGCTTGATAGGATGATGTCATTGAGTGAGACTCACCAACAAGATAAATATGATTCTTCTCCACATCTACATTTTCAATAGGTAAGGTTTTGTAGATAAATTGAGATAAAAGTTGACTAATAGTACAAAAGTAAGCATTCTCATTTCTAATTTGGGTGCTATGTAAATCTCTTCCCATTCTCTCAAATTCTAATGCTTGAATTAATTCAGGTAAAAATGTTAAAAATCCACTAACATAACAAATCTTGACAACTGTGAATCCAATAGCCAAGAAATCAAGTGTAGAATTATCATCCTTTGACTTTCGCTTTTCTATTCTTCTCATAAGTTCATCTACATCATACTTCTCTCCTTTTCTGTAGAATATTGTACCATCTTCAAGTCGTTCAGCGTCCATTGTTCTTGAAAACTCAGCTGCATGCTCTCCAACATAGTAATTTTGAGAATATGCACAAGTATTTTGGATTGGATCGGATAAACTATCAAGGTCAAGTTTTTCCAAGAACTAAACTATGTTAGAAAACTAAATGCAAAATTACTAACCTCAAGTAAAACTTTTGTGGTGAATGTTCCACTTGCAACTGTTGGGTTATTCTTACAGAATTCTTTGATTTCACAGAGTGCATCCTTGAATCTTACATCAATTTCTAAAGTGTGAACCAAATTAAGCAAATAAGCAAAGTTACTTGGAGCCAACTTTAAAGCTGTTTTGTAGAGTACTACAGCCTCATTAATACAAGAATGTTCTTTCAAAATGAGAGCCATCCAAGCAAGACCAGGAGCAGCAGAAGTATCTAACTTTTCAGAACCTTGAGAAATATGGTTTAGGAGAGGTTCAACACCAAAGGTTTCAACAATTTCAGACAAAATATCCTTTGCATCAACATTATTTTGATCAGCAACAAGAATTCTCAAAGTTGCCGTAATACTATCTGAAGCATCCTTTGTCTCATACAATACATATTTGGCGTATTCCAATAAAGCAACCTTATGAGCATCGTTTTTCTTTAAAACACTGGCAATAAAGGAAAAACCTTGTTGTTTCTCACCTATAAGTGTTAAACACTTGGCCATATCCACATATCCATCTTGAATCAATTCAGTGATATCCTTCAATTTACTTTCGTCCTTAATCTCCTTTTGATATTTCTCCAAGATTGTCACTTGATGATAAAAGTTTTGAAGAGACTCTTTGTAATTCTTCAATCCAAAATAACACTTTCCAAGTAATTTGTAAATATTCTGATTATACTTGTCCATTTCAAGACATTTCAATAGGTATTTGAGAGCTCTATCAAACTTTGAAGCTGCAATGTAAACGGTGGCAATATTTGACATACATCCCATGGAATCAACATTTGATGCTTGTAATAATTTGTAAGCCTTTACAGCTTTCTGATAACAATGTTAAAATTCACATCATGAACAAAATAACTTACTCTATATTCTCTAGCCTGAAAATGTTTAACAGCACTATCAGCAAGAGCATTCAACTCTTTTTGCATAGTAGCAGATGGAACTTCTGAAGGCTTTGTGCTATTATTACTATTAGCATTGATGCTACTACTGGTAGCAATGGTATTAGGCTTTTCTATTGCCTTCTCTGTTTGTGGTTGTTGTTTTTGTTGCTCAGAGATTTGAATGTAAAGATCCATCTTTTCCTTTAATTGTTCCTTCTTTGTGATTGTTTTATTCCTTTCATCACGTATTTGTTCCACCTTTTTACCCTTGTTTTTCAAACCAAACTCTTCTTGAATCAAGTTGATAAGAGCATTAAAATCGGAGGCTGCAGAATCATAGATAATGACTCTGGTATCTTCCGAGATTTCATCATGGATGTAGAGTTTCATTTTTTTGTTGTGAGAAATCCATTGTGTACTCGACCAATCATCATTCTGAATGTGATTACATCAGCATTTATTTGGTCAATTCATGCAACATTCCGATTTTTTGTAAATGAACAATCATTCATGTTCTGAAAACAATTTACAGAAACTTTTTCAATTTTACACAAGGTTACTTCTAGGAGCAATTCTAAAATTGAGTTCCTTTCTAACTTGTTCTACAGGTTTTTCCAAATGATACTTTTCAAAATAAACTCCCATCAAGAATTTGCAATTTCTTCCAGCATCCAAAGCCCATGGCAAAAATACAGTAGCTAACTCTTTTTGTTGTTCAAAAGTTAGTTGAGTGAGAGGTGCAGCAGCACCTGACAATAAAGTCATCGGTAATCTAGTTTGGAAAAATTCAATCCATTTCACAATAATTTCAGCATAAACAGATGGTGGTAAATCAGCCAACACATGGAAATAGTCGTGACATTGTCTGTATCGGAACATAATAAAGGCCAATTCTTCGTCATCAATAAATCTAACTGGAGGTCTTTCACTAGCAACAAATCCATTAGTTGACATGAACTTGTAATAGGCTCCTCCGAAAGTATCTGGTGGAAGTGTGCTAATATATTCCCAAAATTTTGGATTTACTCTTTCATCAATATTTGGTCTTTCTTTAAGAATTTCATTTCCTTCCTTTGTTAAAACCATTTGGCTTCTAACATATTCCAATGCTGGTGTTCCTGTTGTTTCTCCCAAAGCTCCAACCATGTCTGTTCTCAATGGATAAAATGCTGAAATTAATGTTGATCCAGCAGTGATGAAGGTTTTTTCAAGAAATGATGTTGGATAATGAGTTGAATAAAGAGGTTTGCTTATCGATGGCGATAAAACAGCATCTCCGATAGCCTTAACAATTCTACTCATTTTTTTCTATTTGATTTTTATTTAATAATGGAGCGCTTTTTTGCCTTCGTTCAAAATATTAAAATTGGCAATTTACAGTTTTTTCCTTGTTTGATGATTTTAATGTGGTTCATTGTTGTATTCGTACTATTAGCTTTGAAAAACATGAGAACAATTGCTCTATGAATAAAACTCTGAATGGCTTATTGGCAAGTCATGTGAAGCTTCACAAACCATAAAAAAATAGCAACAATCGCTTATCTCAACTGTTAGTTGAAATCATCACCAGCAAACTTGTTCTTCTTCATCATAGTTTATTGTGTGTGGAGGTATGACCACTGCGTGAAGGAAAATACAAGTTAATATATCGGATCAAATTGTGTACAACTAGTACTAACCTATCATATTTTTGTAAATATGGATAATTCAGACAACAATAATTTAAACTTGTTGATCAACACGTCTGATATTACTTCCGAGAGACAAACAAAACACATGAAAAGTAAATCGAGCGAGGATGTTGATGCGAATTTTGTATTTGATGAGAAGGAGGAGGAAATAGTAGAAGGTGTTGACAACAATACTGCATCATCATCAACAAGAACAGGCAGTAGTAGCAGGTTCTTCTCTTCCATGTTTTCAGCTGGAAGGAACGAAAACAAAAACAAGAATGGTCCAGAGAAGGTAGCATCCTCTGTTTTGAATAGTTTTGAGAAGGAAAGAGAATGGGGAATATTCTGTATGGAAAACAAAACCGATAAACCAATTTATTGGGGTGTTAAAGGTCTTCACATTCACTGGAAAAAGGAAAATAGCCCGCTTATTTTGAATAGCAAAACTAGTGCTCCATGTGATTACCCTCCTGCCTACTATTTCTATAATCAACCTACTGAAAAACAATCACAAAACTCGAAATTTAAAAGTCATAGACACTTTTGCTTTTCCTCATGTCACACGGTTGACCTAACAAATGAAGGTCTCCCTGATTGGAATAATATTATCAAGTACAAAATAGAACCAAACACATTTTGTTTGGGACGATTTCCTTTTCATACATATTCAGACTACTTTATTCTAGTTGTTGGGTTGTATGATTCAGAAATGAACTCTTCTACAAATACTACACCTCCTACAAATGACAAACAAGAGACTATATTCTCTAAATATTTTGGAAATGCAAGAAATTCATACAATGGAAATAATTTACCCAAAACACAAACTTCAGTGGAACTGTTTGACGAGAATGAGGAATCTTCTGATAAAAATAAGGAAAAACAAGACAAGACAACAAAAAGGAAACAATCACCATTTCACTGTAAGGCCTATTTTATTGAGCATTTTCACAATAAGGATGTTATTCTCGGAGCTAATGTAAACAAGTCACTCTTTCTTTTTAGTGATTATTCTACATTTACATTGGAACCAATTACTTACAGATTTTTCCCAAATTATAGACCATGCGAAAACACATCAATTGATGCTATCAAACTTTCGAACAATATTTATTATGATGAAATTAGAGAAATATCCATTAGGAAGGGCCACAAGAAAAAGGTTAGTGAGGCAAGTTCGAGAAATGCCCTCCAATTTCATGGTCTTCAAATGTATGAAGACGAATCAACAAACACACTCCGTGAAAGTATTTTATTCTTCTTCCTTTTTTTAAGAAAGTTGGACGAAAGATTGAACATTTTACTGTTGCTGGATATTTCTGAAATAGAACAAAATGATCAGTACTTGGGAGGAAATTTGATGGAATATCTTATGAAATTCCTCATTGGTTCAACTACTATTGCTCACACAGAAAGTCAAAAAGGATATCTTATTCAATGGTTTCAATCTTGTGTGAAATTGATAGGATATAATATTGAGCGAGTGGATGAAGAAAATAGATATGTTTTATTCAGAAGAGATGATGTATGCTGCCGATCTTTCAGCATGTATAAATTCAAAGAAACTAGTACCGAAACAGAAGACTTTTTCAAGAATGAAGAAGATGAAGAGTTATTAAAACAAACGATAGAACCTCACTCAAATGTAGATGGGGTAATAGTTTTATCCACTGTTGGTAACAAGATGGAAAAAGGATTGAAGGACAAGCTAAAGCTTTTGGAAGGTTTTCCAACACTCTTTGTTTTGCATGGTCTTGATAAATGCACCGATATTTATGATGCCATCAAACGAAAAGAAGATGCTGAAATAGAAATTTCAAGCCTCTACTCAAACTCTAAACCATTCATAGTTCAACACAAATCAGGAATGACAAAATCTCAAACAGCTTCCACAGAACTTATACTTTCTCAATTCTTTAGAGAGGTCATTGATGTGGCTTTAGAACGGGTTACAGTCCAACATCCAAAACAAGATTCGTCGACCTCTATTAATACTGTAATGAAACTTTTTTCCAATTCTGAAGTCAAGATTGAAATTAAGGATCTTCAGGAGTATGAACAAAAAAGAAATATTTGGTTCTTTGGTTTGGATAACGAAAGAGAAACAGTATCAGTTGCAGTCAATAGCTTTTATTCTGCCAAGTCATATCTAGAGTCGAAGGCCAAAAAGAATCAAAAACAAACCAACAATATTCTAATTTGTGTGAGAAATAGAGAGCAATTCATGAATGGAAAAGATATTATACCAGAAAAGAAAATTCAATCCGTTAACAATTATGTTGTAGTCAGAAGGACCATCACAGATCTTTGGACAGGAATGAATGCTCCAACAAAAAGAAGAAGAAGCACAGATAGCAATCAATCATCTATGAAAAAGTCCCAGAGCTATGGAACCCTTCAATCTTTATCGTAAGTAATCGATTCTTATTGGCTAGTTTTTTACATTTTACAATTGTAGAAGGAAAGAAAGGGCTAAAAAATTGAAAATTTTCAGAACATCAGTAGAGGCTCCTCAACTATTGCCATTACCCAATGATAAGGGAATATTTGAAATTCAAAATAATGATGACAGTGAATCAGATACAGAGACTAGTACAATAAGCAACACTTCAGCCTCATTTACTCAAAACCTTGAGAGCAGTGATGATGAATTTGATGAAAATGCAATTGTCCTTGTGAAGAATGATTCGGAAGAGGAGGATAAAAAGCCAGAAGATATTAATCTGAAACAAAACGTAAATAATGAAAAGAAGACATCATGCTATCCTATACAAAAGGGTGACGTAGTAGTTCTTTGTTTGGAGTTATCTGGCAGAATACTCATCACTGGAGAGAATGGAGTTTATTCTAGATTCATTCAGGAAATTCTAACTTATACAGACAAGATTGTACTCTTTGTTGAAAGAATGGATAGAAGAGAGTTCAATCAACCAGCCACTATCAGGTTGAAATCAAATGCCATGTCAAAAAAACTATGTTGTATATTTGGTGATGAGGAAGATATGAAACTGGACGAAGAGCTTTGTCAATCACAAGATATGAAAAATCTCAAGTACAGATGTTACTATTTCAGTGAGAGAACAGAGGACAAGAACCTAGTAAGAAAGTTCTGGGAAAGTGTATTACATGGAAATTGCACAAAAATGGAATCTCAATAACATTCCATTTAATTTTGTCACTTTGGCCAAATAATAGAAAAAGTAACACAGGTCAGTAAGCTCTATTTGGTTCAATGCCAATGACATTGTGTTTTCATGCCTATATAGAATTGATAGAAACCAGTGAGACCAAAGTCCGAGTTTCCTCTTGGCGTGCACTCATTCGAGTCGGTACTTTCTACCTGCACAGATGTAAATCTGTAGTATCCAGAGACTTTCCCAGAAGCTTGTATTTAGTTGGAAGAGAGCTTGTACTCTCTCGTATGTTTGCTTCTATTGGATAACACTGACCAGTGCTACGAAACATTAATGGTGTTAATAGTAGGGCCAGGTAATTAATGTGAGCAAATAAAACGCTTTGTTATGGTTTGAACAATTTTTAAAAACCGCCAAAAAAAATGAAATGCAATGCTTGCTGGAAATCTGTTGAGGAGGTTTACTTTATCACCAGTTGTAATCATGTATTTTGTAAGTTGTTTCATTGATGAAGATTTAACCTTGATTAATGAAGGTAAGGATGATGCTATCAAACATTTCTCAAAGGATATGAGTTGTCCTGCTTGCGAGAAACCCCTTTCTTCAAGGGACATTCGGCAAGTGGAGTTGAGTAAGGCTAATATTGAAGAAAAAACTGTAAGTTAAATCATCTTCATCATTTGAGGAATAATTTAAATTCATCTAGATGTGCCTTTGTGGATTCCCACCTGAAGTTGTTCTTGAGGCTGCACAATCAGCCTTAAAATTCTGGGACAACCAACGACAAGTTGAAATTAAATACCAAGAGTATCTTCACAAGGAAACAATATCCAAAGCATCACAAATGGAAAAGTAGGTATAAATGATTTCAACTCTTTCAACATATAATTGATGATCAAGATCTTACTCTGATAAACTGAATGAAACCAAGCAAAAGTATCAATCAATTGCCGAAAAGCTACAACACAGTGAGGAACAACAAGAAATTACCAAGAGGGAATTTCAAACCATTCAAGAAAAGTACTCTGAAAAGGTCAGAGAAAGAAACAAACTCCAAGAATTGTACAATTCCCTTAAACGAAGATATGATCAAACTCGGGATTCATCAGGAAGAGCACCTTCTCCAGTTGATTTAGATCCTTCAGTTTCTCCTTCATTCAAAGAGAATCAAGAAAATCCACCTGTATCTTTATTGTTCAGAAAGGAGAGTTCTGCAGGAAGACCTTCCAATGTTTTGGATTTCAGATTGTCCAAATCACCTACCAACAACAGTAACAATAGTAAGGAAAATAGAACAACAATAGGTAGCAATTTGTTGGGTAAATCAAACTCTGTTCCTTCAAGTAAGTATTCAAATTGATTTCATTTCTCTAAATGTATGTTTAGGATCACCATTATTTACCCTTACTCAATCTCATAACAATATCCAAAGAAATGGTATTCTAGGCAACTCAACTAGTAATAATAATTCCTCAGCATCATCAAATCAAAGACCAAGTGGAGCTAGTGGATTTTTATTCAATAGAAATGAAGCTCAAAAGCTATTGTACACACCACTCAAGAGAGCTCGTCCATGTTCCCCAAAAGGAGGTAATAACTTCCAACTCAATCCTCTTCTTCCCTCAAGACGAAGTCCTTCACCAAAATAAATTTATTAACTTCTTTCTACAACTCGATATTCAATTCCTCCTCTCTTTGGCTCTTCCTTTCCTGCATTCTTTCTCCTTTCAATTTCTTGTTGTTTTCTCAATTCAAATTGTTTTTTACGTCTCTCATCCAATTTTTCCTCTTGTTTTTGTTTAATTTCCTCCGATGGTTCTGAAATTAATCCCATTCTAACATTTCTAATTATTGTTTGAATACTTTGTTCGTTTTCCTCCTTATCTAATTCTTCTTTTATTTGGTCAAATGCTCTTGGATCTCCACTTTTAATCATTTCTTGATACTTTTCCAATACTAATTTTGTTATTTGTTCCGAGTATGATGATGGTGGTTGTTCATCCTTTTCATTTCTATTCAGACATGACGTAGAAAAGTTTTCGTGTGATACTACTCGATTTTGAATTATTTTAAAAAGTTGTTGTCTTTTTGCAAAGTGTGATGAGGATAAAACACAACATTTCAACGATGATGATTTGAACATTTTTTCTCTTCGTTGAATCAAATCAAACTAATATATTATTAATATTATTTTAAATATGTGTTAATTCCACATTAGCACGTCCTGATCCTATTGGTGGAACAATGAAGATACTAACCTGTTACAATAAATTAATTGAACTACAGAGCGATAATAACAAACTGGTAACCTGGAGTTCTTCTCAGTTAGTGCTATTAATATCACTGATTTTTCAAAATCAAAAAAAACAAATTCATTACCCTTCATCATCATGTCATCCGAATTGGCAAACAAGATTCAGAGAGAAATTAATGAGTGGAAGGAAGCTTTCCAAGATGATTATTTCAATCTAGATGATCCGTGGGTGAGAAGATTTAATTTTAAATCTGATGATGAGTGGATTGTTACTTGCCAGGCTGATCTCGACTATTCTGAAAGTTATGAAACAAAGGTTTCCATCACAATTCCAAAATCATATCCAACAGGTGAACATATTTGTATAGTTGCAGAGGAGAGTCATGATATTCCTGGAGAAAATATTCAAGAGGTTCTCTCTCAAGTATTCCACATGATGAAAGTGCAGAGAGAAAAGTTTTTGGAAGAGATTCCTACTCCTACACCAGGAACATCACATGGTCATGGTGATCATATATTTGGTGGAGATGATGATATGGCCGATGAAGAGGCAGTATTTATTGATGACTCATCAATGGAAGATGATGAAAAACGTAAGAGATTTGAGTCTATTGAACATGATTTGACCGTTGTTAGAAAAACAAAAGGATGGCTCGGTTGTAGAGGTGCATCAGGAATGGATCAAATCAAAGTATATTTATTTACAAATCCAAATCGTTTGAATATTACTCCACTTCTTGCTGAAGCTTGGCAACTTGATTTGGAAAAGTGGATTTGTATTACTATTACTTTTTCAAATTATTACACTGAATCTGCAACTAAACCAGTTGTTGAAGCATTCCAATGTGGTGATGTTTCAATTAGGGACGCATATTCTTTGATCGATAATGGAAAGGTTAAATTTGGTCTTTATTGGACAGTTCAACAAAGACTTGAAAGAGATTTCTTTGCAATTTATTGGCCAATTGAACAATACAGAAACACTCTTCAACCAAAGACTGGAAAGAATTATATGGAATACTTGTTAGAGTATACTGAATCTATAATCAAAACAAGTCCTTCAAAATGTTTGATTTGTGGAAATAAGTTACCACTTGAAGGTATCAAACCAATGTGTTGTGAAAGTCCTCTTTGTATATTTTCTCATGAACAATATGGTTTGGGTATCGATCTGGAATCAGCTATTAAGAAGAATCCAGATGTTGTAGATTTATTCGTTAGCGTGTGTTATGCTGCTTCTGTATCATATGTGAATAGAGGATTCAATCCATTCCAACCATTCCCAAGCAATTTGGAAATCAAACTCAGAGATAAGACCTCTGGACAAGTGAAGACATATAACTTTTTGACAAATGATGGTAAAGATGACAATGCAAAGGTTAGAGAAGTTCTTGACAAGGTACCAAACCTTAAAATTTTAGAAGAATGGGTTGACGAAGGTAAACTTAAAGAAAGATGTGATGAAAAGCATCCATTGGTTTACCCACTTTTGCGTTGGATTTTGGCTTCTGCTCGTGTTCACATGAAGAAACTTGTAGGCAAGGAACAACTTTCTGAAATGAAAACAGACCATCAATACATCTTGTTGAGCAGTACTCCTGACAAGGAAAGAAGATTCCAAGAATTGAAGAAGAAATATGGGTCAATTCTTGCATTCCATGGCTCTGCCTTGGGTAACTGGCACTCAATCATGAGAAAAGGATTGTTGAACTTGTCAAATACAGGTGGGATGGTTAATGGAGCAGCTTATGGAGCAGGAGTATATTTGGCAGGAAATGCAAATGTTTCCTTTGGTTATATGAGATATCAATCAGGTTGGAACAATTCCATCACCTTCAAATCCAATCAAATTGGATGTTTGGCATTGTGTGAAATTTTGAAAGCTCCAGAGCTAATTCAAAAATATGGTGACAAGATGACTCCAAATCCTTACTTTGTCATTCCAAATGAAGAACACTTGCAAACTCGTGCCTTCTTCATTTACACAACTAATCAAAACCATAGCGTAGAAGGAAAGGATTTGAAATTACCAAATGTGTCATTCAATTAAATTTTCATTCATTGATTTCCTCTTTTGTTTTTGCATCGAGGTGTTAAGGGGCACCTAGTATATTGCCAGGATAAGACCGTATTTTGCCCATTTTAAGTTTGAATCGATAAGGTTATCCACCTCCAAGATCAAATAAAGAAAATTGGATCTGTCTTCAATATTAAGGAATATGTTGATTGATTAATAAAAGCATACCAATAAGAATGAGGTCTTTTATACACTTTATTTTGTTAATAAATTAGCACTGCTTTTAATTTCCAATGTTTACAGGTAAAGAGTTTGGTTTAGAGTTGAGGAAACCATTCCAAGAATCAACTTTAGAGTTATCCAATGTAGCAGCTTGACTCCATTTGTTGGCTTGTTGGAAAAGTGTTGAAGCAAGAGCAAAGTCCTTAGAAACGAGAGCAAGCATAGTCAATGATTGGTTGAACATTACATGATCGTCTTCACAAGAGGTTTCCATTTTAGTATAAATGTCTGATCTAATATCTTGCAACTTTTCTGGGAAGTGTTTAGCACAAAATATAATGAGGTGAGAATAGGTACTTGGCTCGAGTTCAGCTGCTCTTCTGTAGCTTTGTTCAATAATTTGTAAAATCTCTTCTGTAGATAACTCTCCTTCAATTCCATTAGTATTCTCTGATTGAGTAATGAAATGATTGTTAGAACGAGGGGATACAGCTACCTTATGAGAAGCAATTTTGTTCAACTTCTTTTCTCCAACAGATCCCAAACGTACAAACAAACGACTCAATTCTAAATTATCCTCTTCTTTCTTGTTTGAAGATCGAGAATTATCTTGTTTGTAGAAATATCTATTTTCATCCAAATAAGTTAGAGCATCAATACCATACTTGATGTGTTCATGTTCGAAACATAATTGTAATCTCTTATATGAGGAAAGGGAATCAATAGAACATGCTTCTCTGGTGTATCCAAAGGCGCACAAAAAGTCAGCCAAGTAATCATGAATTTCTTGAGCAATGAAAGGGATCCATTCCATGGCTTTCTTAGTTAGCCCTGCAGCAACAAGCATTCTAAACTTGATACTTGGAGTAATTGAAATATTATTGATAGTATGGATTTGTGACAAACCATCAATGACATACAAATTATCACCAACAACATCCATGAAAGAAATGTCACCTTTAGGTTTAGGTAATGGAATAGGGTCTAAACTACTTTGTTCATCCAATGGTGTCTTTTGAGATATTTGTGAATAGAATGCAACATCAGTACTGGCCAGTACAGTTGAGAATATTTTTCCAGTTGTAACGAAAACACATTTGATTTCAGTCTCGGTAGAGATGAGGAGGGTTGAATTCCACCAGAAAGCTGATTGAATCTTTTCTTCTACATAGTACTCCATTTTGAATGATGGTTTTGAATTAAAGATAGCATATGAATCCTGATAGGCCATCAAACACTTTCCACTCAAATTATCCCAAACAACGAATTGAGGTTTTGGAAGGTATGGTTCCGTTGAGGAACCAAATGCATCAACACCACTCCAATTATAAAGTTGGAATCCACTTTCATCAGTAAAATTAGAGTACTTTACACCAAGTAAAACTCCTCCATAAATATCATCGATACTTCCTCCATTGATAGATACATTTTCACATACTAACTTTACACTTGAATTTTCAATCTTTTTAACAGACACCTTTTTGGAAGTAAAATTGCCCTTGAGAATGGCAAAGGTATCACTAGAAGAACTCCACACAATATTTGAGCATTCTCTTTCAGAGGCAATATTTCTCCATGTATCTTTAGAAATATCAAACACAAAATATTCTCTCTCGCTTTCCCATAAAATAGAAACATATCTACCACTATAGCTTACGTCCAGTTTCACATTAGAAAGTTTACCCATATTATAGACAACTTTTTCTGATGAAAATTCTTTCTTTCCTTCTGAATTGGTTTCTACAAATCTTTGATAAACGTTCTTCTCTCTTACATATATACAATATTTTTTCTTTTCTTGATCGTTACTACCTTGTGAAACCTTTGGATCGATTGGTGTATCAAATGAAGGCATTTCAGGTTCACTTGATTGACCTAAGAGAGCATCAGCTCTTAAAAATCCAGAACAAATTGCTGGTTTTCTATTGTAAGTCATCTTGGCTAACATTAAACCAAAGCTTGTACCAATAAATATTAAATCTTGTTGAAGTGGATGTTGGTGGATAGTATAAAACTTTGGATCTTTGTTATTTGGAGGAGCATAACTGGTAACATCAATAATATTATTGTCAACAAATGCTGGTTCAAAGTTTAAATGGGATGGCATTCTAAAGATTTGTCTCTTTTGTTTCTTATTTTCAAGCATTAGTAGCCAGGATGGTGAACAATTGCAAGTTGTCACCATAGATAAACTTTTCATTGGTACCTTTGTTTTAGTTTGTTTGATTATTCTTCCTGAGTTGAGACTTCTCACTGCAATACTTTTATCAATACCTGCTGTGATCAAGTATCCAGAATTTGTATCTATGAACATGCTTGAAATACCTCCACCTTGGCATTTAGCTTCTGTATATTCAGCTTTTTCAGTATCCAAATTCCATAATGCTAAACTACCATCAGATGATGTGGTGACAATTCCTGGATATCTACTCAGAGGATCATCCCTCGGAACTGTTAATAATTGTGAAATACCTTTTGAGTGAACATTAGGGATAATCTTATTGAGAACTTTACGTTGTTGGAAGTCCCAGAATCTAATAGATCCATCACTACATCCAAGTGCTACAATTGGTTGTTTGTAAAGGAAATCGAAACAAACAATAGACTTTCCATCCAATTGACTTGATTTAACATCATCGAAAAAGAAGAGAAGGGAACTAACTTCATCATATCTCAACATGATAATTCTACTCTCAGTATGTAATACAATACATTTTGGTGGTCTGTCAGCATTTGCAAAACCAACAGCACCATTCACTCCTACCATTCTCGATCTTGATTCATCATCATTATCAACACCTCCAACTCTCATGACTGGAGATTGAACATTTTGAATTTGATCCGATCCACTCATGTTATTTAATTGCCTAAGTTTCCAATATTGAACATGTTCATCATAGAATTTAACAGATTTTAAATCTCCAAACTTTTCATTCTTTGATGATAATAATTCTTCATCATACCAGTACGGAAGTTGAACATTCTTAAAATTCTTATCAAGTGTTTTATACAAATTTGTTTCTTCCTTCTTACTTTCAAACATTGAATTTAATGAGAAGGTATGTAACAAGTCATTTTGAATATAATCAAATAAATAAACAGATCCTCTCTTATCAGCAAAAACAACCCACGATTTTACCGGATGTACATCGCAATAGTGTACCTTCATTGAAGAGAAGAATGCCTGACCATTGTTCAGTACATCAACAATAGGTGGTGCTGTTGGATCCAAGCCCTTGATTTGCTCTGGTGTAAGCTTGGGTGATTTGACGCTCATTTTTTTATTGTTGTGTGATGCTAGAATTTGATGGATGATTTGATAATTCTCTGTAAAATGAATTAAAAATTAATTTAAAAAATAAGATTTAATATTAAATTCAAAAAGAAGAAGATAATGAAATAATTTAAAATTTACAAAAACCAGGAGCACGATAAATTGGAATGGTTTCTCTAATATTTGGAATACCTGTCAAGAAGAGAATTAATCTTTCAAAGCCAAGACCAAATCCACCATGAGGAACAGTACCATACTTTCTCAAATCTAAATACCATTCATAATCTTTAGTATCCTTCATTCCCTTGTCCTTCATGTTTTGTATTAAAATATCGTATCTTTCTTCTCTTACTGAGCCGCCAATCAATTCACCCAAATCAGGAACGAGCAAATCAACGGCAGACATGGTCTTTCCATTATCATCAACTCTAGCATAGAATGGCTTGATTTCTTTTGGATAATTTGTTACAAATACTGGACTATTAAAGTATTTGCACAAATAAACTTCATGTTCACTATGTAAATTAACACCCCACTCAACTGGATATTCAAATTTAATTCCATTCTTTTGGATAGCATCCTTTTGTAATAATTCAACAGCATCTGTATATGTGAGAGAAACAAACTTTGTTCGCTTATCAGCAACCTTAGTCAAATCTTCCATGAGCGTATTCTTGTACCACTTATTGAAGAAGTGAATATCCTCTTCGCATCTTTCCAAAACTCTTGAAACAGCATGTCTAACCATATTTTCAGAGTGTTCTACAATTTGAGGTAAACCAATAAATGCTTGTTCCATCTCAACCATCCAGAATTCAGCAAGATGTCTAGATGTTCTAGAATCTTCAGCTCTGAATGTTGGTCCGAAAGTATAAACCTTTGACATTGAGGAGGCAAAAATTTCAGCTTCTAATTGACCACTGACCGTCAAATAAGCATTGACATTTTCTCCAAAGAAATCTTTGTGTTGTTCGGAAATTACTTTGAATTGCTCACCAGCTCCTTCACAGTCACTACTGGTCAAAATTGGGGTATGAATTTGTATAAAATCAAGGTTTTGGAAATATTCATGAATGGCCATCATGGCAGCATTTCTAACTCTGAGAACAGCAGCACCAGTATTGGTTCTACTTCTCAAATGTGAGATTTCTCTCAAAAATTCCACAGAGTGACCCTTCTTTTGTAATGGATAAACATCTTGAGGACAAGCACCAAGAACTGTAACTTCAGTTGGGTTGGCGAGTTCAGTAGTTTGTCCCTTACCAGGTGATTTAATTAATTGACCAGTAATTCTAACACTGGCACCATTTTGAATTTTAGAAAGTTCTTCAGCAGGACTTGATTGTGTAAATCATTTGTGTGTTATTCCACTTACATTGAATTCTTATCAAAAACAATTTGTAAATTTGGATTGCAAGATCCGTCATTGACTTCCACAAAGCAAACATCCTTTTGAATTCTTGATGTACGAACCCATCCTTCTACAAGTACTTTCTTATCAATATTTTGTTCCAAACGAGCTTGTTTAACACTACACAATTTTATATTAAATTTTGATGATGATGAAAATTTACCTCATCTTTTCAATCAATGAAGAATAATTTCTCCAACAATCCGATACGTTTTTCAAAGGAGTTTGAGCGTTTCTACTCTTGATCCATGATGGAGAAGAGGAAGGCTTGAGCCATTTCATAGTTCCGAGTCTTTTCATTTTTTTAATTATTTAATTACCTTGTTGTGTATTGCAAAACAGATCTATGGATTTTCAAAAAGGCACCCACTGAATTACAACAATTATATCTTCATGTTAATGGAAAAATTATTCCTCACCGTTTATTTATCATCATGAAAAACCTTTCAAAAAGATGATTCAAAAATTCTGCTGAAATTAAAAAAATTTGAAGATAAAAAATGACCGAATTGCAAAGACAACTTTCCTTTTTGCAGACAGTCTTTCCTCAGACTACTGCCACCAAATTAAAGAAGGGAAAGGAATCCTTCTTATTCACTGCTGAGAAGGCTGCTAGATTAACCTATGAGGATGTTCATGTTATTGGTGCTGACGGGTTGAAGGAATTAATTCGTTTGGATCAAAGATTCGGACCTTTCCAAGAATCACTCTTTCACCCTTCTTCTGTGGATAGAAATAGAGAGATGGAAACCAAGTCTGAAAACGAGAAATTGGATAAGCAAGTTGAAACTTTCATGTTACTTTTGTCACCATACTTTTTATTAAAAGCATCACACAAGGCTATTGAATATTTAGTCAGAAGATACAAGATTCATATATATAACGTTGATGCTATTATGGCTTCGATTATACCTTATCATGAAACAACTTTCTTTGCTCGTTTTGTCCAACTTTTAAATATTACTCCAACTAAATGGCACTTTTTGGAACCTATTCAAAGTAGTGGTGTTGTTATGAGTAGATCTACTTTGTTACAACGTTGTTATACAGATTTTTCAGTATTCATTTTCATTTGTGATGCTATGAAGGCTTATATTGAAAGATCTATTGATAACAAGTCATTCATCAACTTTTATGTTGTTCTCACTGTTGAATATGTTTCTGGAAACAAATTACAAGAAATTGCTTTGAAGAGAATTTTATCATATGTATTCTATGGTTTAAAGTCTTTTGATCCAGATTTGGTTGCAGGTTCATTGATGATTACAACTCAAATTTCCTCAAGTGTTACTCTTTCTGTTTCTGTTGTGGATGCCCTCATTGAAGTTTTAATTCCAGTAATGACAAAGAGTGATACGGATAGTGTTTTGATGTGTTTAGTTTTCTTGTTCCAAAGTCAACCTATTTCAAAGATGAGAACTTCATTTGTTAAATCATTATCAGAAATTGAAGGTTTTGTGGATTCTGTCAATAGATTGGTTGCTCTTAACAATATTGATAACTTTTTGAATGCCTTTTTGAATACTCTCCTTGAATACAGTTTCGAACAAAATAGTGTTACCCTTCTCGAAGAAATGGTTACTAAGATTGATTTCACAAATACTGTACCAAAGGTTATTGCCGTTTTACTTAATTTATTTATTTCTGATGCTTCATTCTCAGAAATTATCAAGAAGGTATTGCTTACATTCGAAAGAAGATATAGCTCGGAAACTGATAGAGGGTTAGAGTTGGGACTTCGTACTCTTGATGAAGAACAACATGGAAAAGCTCTTGAATTTTATTCATCTGTTTTTAAGGGATCTCAACATGAAATTATTCCAGAAATTAGTACTACCCTCTACCTCTCTCTTCAACATCACGAAAAGACAGTTCGTATTCTTGGGTTGAAACATTTAGGAAAGATTGCCAAGACAACAGTTGATGAACAAACTAAGTCATTTATTACAGAGTCTTTGTTGGAAAGACTTAATGATGAAGATCCAACAATTTTGAATTTTGTCCTCAATTTACCAGAAGTTTTGATTTATCTTACACCTGAAAAGATTGTTGATAAGATTGCCCACATTGTCAAACAAATTGAAGATAATAAGGCAGATGAGTCATCAAAGGTTCTTTCTCAAACTATTGCTGAAAAGTTTTTGATTGACAAGATATTCTCTGCTGGAAGTGTTGAAAAGATGTTAACCTTTGTTTTCAGATTCCTCTTACTCACTGCTGATTTCAAAGAAACCAATGTTAAGGTTATCAAATCTTTGCAAAAATTGAGCCATCCATTGTTCAAGAATCTTTCTAGTGTCACCATCAAGGATGCTGCCTCAACAAATACTCAAATTATCAACGCTATAGCTAAGAATATTGGATCTCAACCAGACCTCGCATTAATTTGTGAAAATACTGCTGTTAAGGAAGGTTTGGGAACCAAGGCAGTTTTACTCTTGTTGGCTTCTGCAATGAAGCAAGCCACCAAAAAGGATGCCAAACTTTTGATTGCTTCCTCCATTCTCAGATTGGTCAAGAAGTTCAGCTTAAAGTCTGGTCTTGCTATTTCTGCTAAGGACGTTTTCCATCCAAATCAATCAGCTAATGTTGACACTGGCCTATCAGTTATTAATTTAATGTTCTATGCTGCCTACTCAATGCTCGAAAACTTGGAAGCCGAATCATTGAATGTTAAGCAAATGATTAACCACTTCAATGGAAAGAGTGAATCCAAGTTTGAATATACCACTCTCTTGGCTGAATTCTTCCTTACAATCTCTGAATCAAGACTCTTCGACCAATTCACTTCTCATATTAAGGTTTTGATTGAAAAGCATTTGAAGAAACAATCCTTGCAATTCTTATCAGTATTCTGGGCTTCTGATTCTGAATTTGTTTCATATAAGCCAAAGATGAGAAGCTTGTTGATTGGTGTTATGATGATGGAAGATGATGTTGACTACCAATTCTTACTTCCAGGTCTCTTTATTGCTTTGCAAAATAATTTGTCAAAGGATATGTGCTCTGCAATTATTTCTTGCATCAAGAGAGTTCCAGGAGCCAAGCTTTATGAACACGATTTGAAGAGTCATCTCAAGCCATTATCTAAGGATACCTTGAAAAAGATTGCCACTACAATCGAATCAAGAAGTTTTGATTTGTCTGCAGATAGTTCCCATATCCAACAAATTATTACTGAATTACCAACTGAAGTTGCTGATATGATTTTGAAAGTCATTACAGTTAGCGAAACAACTTTTGAAAAGGTTTCATTACTTTCATCGCTTTCTCAACTTCCATCTACTAAGGTTATGTCTTCATTGTTCTCTCTCTTCACAACCTACCTCAAGAAGATTGAATCTGGAGAAACATTGTCAAGATTGGAAATTTTATTGGTTTCAAAATTGATCAAGCTCGTAGATATTGATCTTCTCACTAGCCAAAATCCACAAAAGTACTTTGAAGAAGGTTTACTTAAAGCTATTTCTATTGCTAAGCCAGCCACAACAACTTCTGCCATTACTTTCATCCCATCTATTGAAGTTGTCAACAATATCACAAGCCATCTCTTGAAGAATATTAGTGAAAAGAACCAAAAGGCTCTCTTTGATACTATTGCAAAAGTTTTGCGCTCATCCACTAACACCAAGTTGACTCAAGTTTATCAACAAATTCTCAAACAATTGCCATTGAATCCAGAAATCCTTAAGAATTATATTCCTACCACCACAAAGGGAATGGATACCAGTGATGATTCAACTGATAACTTGTCAGAATTATCAAATATTCTTGAACTTGTTCAAATCATGAAATCTGTTCCAAAGAGAGAATCATTGGCTCCACGCTTATTCTCTCTTTTGAAGGAATTGAGAGTAGAGTTGGATACCAACAAGTACAGAGTTGAATACCCAATTACTATGATCTTATCCGTGTTGTATTCAATTAGTACCAAGCTTGATGAAGAAGGAGAAGAAAGAAACGTCCTCGCCAAGAAGGTTGAAAAGACTTTCGATGTTGATCTCATTCTCAAGTGTCTTACTGAAAGTGATTCATCTCAAATCAGAAATCATGCTATTCTTTTGTTGGGTGAACTTGCCTCAATCTTCCCTCTTCAAATTATTGAACAAATTTTGGCTGTTATGAAGGCTGTTGAAGGAAGTTTGAAGGAAAAGGAAGGTTTTGCTTTTGATGCCATTCAAAAGACCGTCCTTCAAATTGTTCCAAAGCTCGTTGAACAAAATATGGACATTAAGTTTATTGTCAACGTATTTGTCAACTCTATGAAGTATATTCCAAAGGAAAAACGTCTTTCATTCTTCTCATCACTTGTTAAGGGAACATCAAGAAAGAACATTTATGGTTTCGTACTTCTCATGTTGACCCAATGTGTTAAAAATGGTGATCAAGAAGACAGTGCAATGATTACTGCTTTCTGCCACGAACTCGTCGAATATTTCCAAGTTAGCAAGCAACTTGTTGCTTTGGTTAAGTTGGTCAACATTGGTTTATCAATCTCAAAGGATGATGATCCAAAGAACTCTTTCTATACTCCTTCAGAATATTCTGATGAAGAACGTCTTGCTTTGCTCGTCTTTATTCTCGAATTCATTTCTGAACACTTATCATCAATGGAATTCTTGAGAATGCTCATTTTGGAAGAAGAAAAGGATAAGGAATCATCTCAAAGTTATTTGTTAACTGTTGCTGAAAACTTGAATCAAATCAGAGACAACATCAAGGAACCAACTGTTGTTGATTTGGTTGATGAAGTTTATGCTAAGAGTCAACAATTGTTGAGCTCTCAAAGCTTTGTTGCTATGATTAAGGCTCTCTTAGACAGTAGTTCTGTTACTATGAGAGAAAGAGCTCTCTTCATTTTAAACACTAGACTTACAGATGAAGCATCTAGAATGGTCTCCAAGTTGATTGAAGACGAAGATGTTTTCATTACACTTCTCAAGAGATTGAAGGCTATTCTTAGTGATGCCAAATCAAGCAACTTCCTCGTCCAAGGATCAATCATTTCAGTTGAACTTATGGCCAGAAGATTTGCTAAGAACAAACCAAAACGTTTCGTAGCTATCACACCAGCTGTCATTGCTCATTTGCAACACAAGTCTGCTGCTATTATCTCTTCTGCTGCTTTATGCCTTTCAACTTTATGTTTTGAATTGGGTAGTGATTCATTGGAATTCTTACCACAAATCTGTCCAACTTTCACTGAACACATTTCTGCTGTTATTGCCAAGGAAGAAGACATTTTGGAAGACGAAGATGAAAAGGATGATGCTGATTCTAAGCAACTCTTAGTTTTTGGTATTCTCTCTGCTTTGGAATTAATTTCTAGAGTTCATCTCAAGTTTATGAGTCCATACTTGAAGAGCATCATGAATATCTTGTTGAGCACTAGAATTATCCATTCTACTTCTAAGAAGATTGCTCAAAAGGCTTCTGACATTTTATTCTTCTTGGCCACCAATGCTGAAACCAGACATATCCTTGAACCAGTATTTGCCTCTTTGGAAGCTTCAGTTGCTTTTGGTCACGAATCAGTGGTTAAACTCATGACTGTTGTTTATGAAATTGTCAATGTTATGGATGCCAAATCAGTTGAATCATTCCATTTGAATATTATTGATTTCTTCTTGGAAGCTTTGGACTTGAGAAGAAAGGGCAAGTTCGAAGGAAAGGCTCTTGAAACAGTTGAAAAGGCAATTTGTTCTTCATTCGAAGCATTCGTTTTGAAGCTTAATGAAGATTTACTCAAGCCATCCATTAAGAAGATGCTTGATTGGGCAAGAGAACCTGTCTCTGCAAAGGAAGACTCTGCCAGTAACTATTTGGATTATGGTGATCACAAGTTTGCACCACCAGATGCTGCTAGATTGATTGCTTTCTATAAGATTGTTATTAGTATGAACATCAAATTGGGTTTCCTTTTCATTCCATACTTTGGATATTTATGGCAAAATATTATTAGAGATATCAAGGCTGTTTGTGGTGAAGAAGATGAAGAATCTGACGAAGAAGAAGAAACAAAGGAAAATTCAAAGAAGAGAAAGTTGAAGGAATTAACAACCAAGAAGCAACCAAAGCTCTGTATTATTTCGTCATCTGAAGAAAGAAATCAACTTGCCTATTTGATTCTCAACGCCTTAACACTCTGTTTCCTCAATGATAGAGAATCATTTGTTAGTTCAAATGATAGATTTGAACAATTAGTTGAACCACTTGCCAAGATTCTTGGAGTTGAAGAAGTCTGTGAACACAATTATGAACTCATTACCAAGACATTTGGTTCCCTTGCTAGTGTTGTTACTCAACAACAATGGAAACCACTCCAATACCAAGTTTTACAAAAAACTAAGAATGAATCAACTATTTGTAAGAGAACTGCAATTGGTTGCATTGCTTCATTCTATGAATACGTAGGAAAGGAATTTATTATCATGTTACCTGAAATGATGCCATACGTTGCTGAATTATTAGAAAGCGAAGATGAAGAAGTTTTGAAGGATACTCGTAACATTGTCTTGACTATTGAACAAAAGACTGGTGAAGAAATTTCACACTTCTTATCCGAATAAATTCATACTAAAGTTTCATCACATGAAATTGTTTTCGGCATACAATTAAAGTATTTCTCTATCACTGAACCATAGATGATCCATCAACTTCACTTGTCAAAAAATGTCTCAAAGTCTGCCCAAGAAAATTTTACATTATCTTCTTTACATAACATGGATAGCAGCACTTGGCTATCAATTGTATTTATTCATTAGTGAATATCATCAAGAACAAACGATCACATCCTTCTCTCATCATTCCGATCATCAAATATTATCAGAAAATTATTTATTTGTGATGGCACAAGATAGTAGTACAACCTGTCTTGAATCAATAACTAACAATACTCAATATTGTTGTCCTGCACCTTATCAAAGTGAAGCTAGAAAATCAAAATTGACCGCCTTCTTATTATCTTTCTTTTTAGGTATTATTGGAGTTGACAGATTTTATCTTGGTTTTTATTTGGTTAGTATTAATTTTAATAATAGAATTCAATTAAGTATTTCTGAAATAGATGGGTGTTATTAAATTGTTAACATTAGGAGGATGTTTAATTTGGTGGTTAATAGATTGGATTATGATTTTGACAGATCAAATTACAGATGTACGAGGTTGTGCAATGAGAGATGACATTAGTAGTTCTGAATAGAATCATAATATCAAGTGATTTCACACCAATTTTCTAACCAAATTTTCAATAAAATATTAAAAAATATACAAAATTTATGATTTTACTAATAATATTATTAGTAATATTTATATTATTAATAATAGTAATACAATAAATATTATTACTTGAACTTTAATAAAAACAAAAATCCAAAATAAAACAATAAAATTTAATAAAAACTCTAAAAAATTGAGAGCACATCAACAAGCTCCTTGTTGCTACTCACATAATATTGAACAATGCCAAATCAACATGCATCGATAGGAGGAGGAGGTAGTCATCACTTTTATTCCGCTTCACCATCAGCAAACACTCCAATATCTAGATCTTTTGCAATGTCTCCTCAAGAAGACGACGAAGAAAATGATGAATTAAAAGTGGATTTTTACTTTCCAGGAGCAGCCAGTCTTTCGGATCAATTAGATAGTAAATATCACTTAATTAATTTTAAATAACATTTCATCAAATTAAATAGAAAAAGTGATGGTAATTTTGAGAGATGGTAAAAAACTAATCGGAATTCTTCGTTGTTATGACCAATTTGTAAATATGACTCTAGAGAAAACTGTTGAACGGATAGTAGTAGAAGATAAATATGGTGATTTGGATGTTGGTTTATATATCGTTAGAGGTGAAAATGTAGTATTAATGGGAGAAGTTGATGAATCACGAGACTTATCTTTAAAACAAGTTCCAGTTGATGAAATTTTAATGTTAAGTAAATTAGAACAAGAAAAAGAAGAAGAAAGATCCAAATTGAAACAATTACATTTAAGAAATAGAGGTAAGATTTCAATATCAAGATTTAAATTATTTATTCTTTTTAGGTTTACTTGAAATAGGAGATTATGGTGGATTTGGACAATCAGAATGGTAGTAGTAGTATTAATTACATTACCATTATTAAAATGTATTATTTATTCAATTGTATGATTTACATAATCTTATTAATCTTCTCCGTTAATGAATTCAGTCACGTTTTTCTTCTTCATCTCTCTTTTCTAAATTTAAAAAGAACAACAAAAAAACGATCATTTGCTAATGGCCTCCACAATATCAAATTTATCTTCTCCGGCCTCTTCTCCATCATCTACAACATCAACCTCTAGTAATAGTAATATCGTAACCACACCTAGAAAACATCTCACTCCTCTTTCAACTCCCACCAATAACAATGTATCCATAACTACCATCATCACTCCTCCCATTAAAACCAATGACAATCATGTAACAACACAAGTTGCCAGTACAAACTCATTAACTTTGGAAAAACAAAATACAAATCTTCTGAGCACAAATAATGGCATTCACAAGGCAACACATAAATCTTCTAGTAATAATAATAGCAAACAAATTGTTATTACTCAACAAGTTTTAAATCATCCTATTCAAAAATCTAACCGTTTAAATAGACAATCTGAATATTTACATTCAATTGGAGATCATGGAAAAGCAGCACAATTGAACAGAAAGGGAATGTCAATATTGGAAAGATCAAAAAACTTAACTTGTGACAAGAGTGCTCTTGACTCAATTAATCATTTGATTTCTCATTATAAATCTGAATATAGATTCCAAAGAAATTTGGATGAAGCAACCACAATTACAAATAATATGAATGGATCGACAATACTGAATAATAGATCGAGAATTAATAATGGACCAATTGTGATGGAACAATACGGAGACAGAGAGATGATTATGCCAAAACAATATGATCTTAGTGAATCTATGATTGGACTTTCAGCAACTCAATCAACTAATAATCATAATTTATTGACTATGAATGATTTTAATGGACAATGCCTATCTCCAATAGGTCATAATGGAGGTGATACTCCTTCACAATCAACTCCAACAACCCCAGGAGTTACACTCTATTCAGAATTGTATAATTTGTTTATATATCCTTGGATTCAATACCAGAAAAATTTGGAAGAGGCAACCGAAAATGAACAATTGAGAAAGCTCTTCAATAAGACTCTTCTTTCCACTCAACAAAAGCTGAACCAGGTCATGCAGAAAACTCAATCTGCAGATGAGACTGATATGGCTAATTCACAATTTGGTAGTATGAGTGGAATGTCTTCACCTCTTCATCCTATGGCCAGCAGTACAGCTATGCATACTGATATTTCTAAAAAGTTGCTCTCATTAAGCTACAGTCTCAATGCCGATAAGGTTACTCGCCTTACTAACTCTGTTAGCAAAAAAGACAAAGAAATAGAATTGCTTAAAAAGAAAATCAAAGAACAACAAGAGATTATTTCCAAACATGAAGAAAATTGGAAATTAATGAAACAAGAGGCAATGGAATCGGCCATGAACAAGGCAAACAAATAATGTTTTTTCCATTCAATTGTTTTCAATACCGATGATGAATATATTGAGAAAAGAAAAATAATTCACTATTTAATCTCTCTTCAAGAATCGGCACTTTGGTGAACTGAGGTCAAGTTCAAAGCGGTTGTATGTTGGCGCGCAAATTTTGAAAAATCCTCTTACAGTTTTTGTTCTTAAAATAAAAAACAAGAAAGTGAAGGGACGGGTTATTACCCTTAAAAAATGATGTTTGGTAGCGATAATAATTCACTATCGAAGAAAATCAATGCCCAACAACAGAGAAAAGTTAGGAAATGGGGCAGAGGAGCTGGACCTATTCCAGTTACAAATGATCAAGAATATTTGGATGAATTAGCACAACAAGCAAAGGAAAAGCGGAAGCAACAAGAGGAGGATGCAAGAAGAGATAAGGAGGAAATTTTCCAACACTATAAGAATTATTCTTTAGGTACATCGTATGTTTAATATTCAAATGTTCGGATTATTGAAATATGTTGGAATTAATGTTTTATGTTGTATGATGAAAATATAATAGGGAAAGGTCGAAGGATTTATGGAACGAGGAAGATGAAGCGGAATTGTACAAAGAACCAACCCATACAGCTGTAAATACAAACACAATACGTGAGGATTTGTAAGTTGTTGTTGTGGAATAGTCTTTTAATGTTGTAACCGAAAACAGATTTGGAGGAAAAACTAATGAGGCTCAAGAATCATATAGTTTTAACAGGCATAGACCAAGACGTTTGGAACAATTAAATAATAAGAATATTATTGAGGAGGATGGTATGTCTCAACTCTCGAGTAAACTTTCACAAGGATCTCAACCAAAAGGAAAAAGAGAGGAAGCTTATGAAAAGAAGAAAATGATGAGAATGATGAAGAAGAATGGAGATGTTGGCTTGTTTGATGATGACGTTAGTTCAACATCTTCCAATCAACAACAACAAAATTTATTTGGATCTGAACCTAGATCTAAAAGTACTCCTAAAAACATTAGTCAACGAGATTTAGTTTACGAACAAAAAAGACAGGCATTACGAGAGAAAAACCCAATAATTCAAAGAAGAAAGCCTCAGGAAATTACCAATGATCCCGAGTCAGATTATGAGAATGACCAAATGAAATATGTGGATAATAATAAGCCTAACTATGCTAAACCAACGAGGAAAAAGAATCAAGATATTACTCATGACCCTGAATCAGATTATGAACACGAACAAGAAAAATATACAGAGCAAAACAGAAATCAAATTCAAGGAAAACCAAGACCTTTAAGGATAAAGAAGAATGAAGTAACTCACGATCCTGAATCTGATTATGAAAACGAACAAGATAAGTATCAATTCCAAGGAGGATCTCATATGGATCCAAAAAGACTCTCAAGAAATGGAGGAATATCTCATTCCCAACCAGCAAGCACAGTCGTAACACCAAAAAATGAATCAAAAAGGGCTAATTCGAATAACACTAGTAGAGATTATGATTTTGCATCTAAGGGTGGTAACATTTTTGATAAAATGGGATCAAATGATCCTCCAATTCCAAGAAGGAGAGGACTCAATAGGCTTTATAATGATTACCCACCTTCCCCTAGTAACAATAGTCAAGTTTCTCAAAACTCAACACCATTCCAACAATTACCTCCCCAATCACAGAGCGGATATAACAATAATGCTTTACAAACACCTAGGTCCTATGATGATAATTACCATCGATCGGTATCGAATAATAGCTCTAGACACCAAACTGCTGTTGCTAAAAGTCCAGAAAATGATTTTTATATTGGATCTTCATCAAACTCTACCTATAGCAGCTCTCCTATTTCACACACCAGAAAACAAGTGTTTAAAAGTGAGCTGTATGGAAAAGATGAGAATTCAAAGAAACAGCAGCAACAAGCTGAATATAGAATGCAACTAAGTAAGTATTTTTTCGATTCAAGATACCTAATATTGTAACAGTGCAACAAATGGAACAACGAGGAAATTCAAATAGTAAAAAGAAAGAGTTTCAAGAGGATGTCTTGCTGCCGTCTCAAAAATCACAAGAAGATGAAATGAGATCTCCCTCATCAAAATTCTCCAATCAACATTTCCACCAATTAGAAAGTAATCTTCCTTTTGGTTCTGGTGATGGAAAACCAATATCTCCAAATAAGCCTGCTTCAGCCATATCAAACATTGGTAGTACAGATGTATCTAAGCAAAAGCTACAAAAACAGATGGAATACCAAGCAGAGCTTCAAAAACAGTTAGAAGCAAAGAAAAGGGCTGAAGAGGAAAGAAAGAGAAAAGAAGAGGAAATGGATAGAAAAATTGAAGAAAATATCAGGATTAATGCAGAAAAAGAAAGATTGCAAGTGGAAAAGGAGCGAAGAGAGAAAGAGTCAAAAAATAATCCTCCAGTTGCTGTAGGTGATGTGACGTCCAATAGAAGTGCAGTAATAGATCCAGTACCAATGCCGATTGTACCAGATGTTAAAAATGATTTATTTGGAAACCCATCTGAAGCCAGAAGATCCAGAAGACAAAGGGATACAATTGTTATAGAAGATAGTGTCCCTCCACCACTCAATCCAGTTGAGGTGAATTCTGCAATAGCTGAACCTCCCCTTCCAAACATGCCTAATTTAAATAATTTCAATAACCATATGGGAGGTGGTATGCTTCCTAATATCTACCAAAGTCCTCAGATGAGTCAAATGCAAATGATGGATAATAGCAATCCTATGGTAGCTCAAATGATGAATCAGATGAAACAAACAGATATGATGTTTCAATATCAAATGGCAAATATGCAATCTATGATAGATGCAAGGTTAGATAAGAATCTCATTTCCTATTTATTGACTCAATTAATGCAACAAAATAATGGCATGGTTCCTCCTCAACAAGCTCAATTTCAACAGTTTCAACAAACACCACAACTACACCCTCAGGTTCCTTCCCTTAATATTTCGAGTAATTCACAGGAAGATGATAAACCAGAGCCTGTGAGTGCAAGATCAAGAAGCCTCTCAAACCCAGTAAAACCTGTTACTCTTGAAAAAGAAGTTTCAATCGAAGAAAGACCTATTCGAAGAAAACCAAAGAAAGTTGAGCAAGAAGAACGTTCAGATCATGATGAGGCTGTCATTCCAAAGAAAGAACCAGAAGCTGCTCCAATAAGAAGAAGGAGGAAGCTGAAGCCTTCGCTAGAGGAAGAATTTGAAGAACCAAAATCATCCAGCAGATCTAATCAAGAAGAAGGACCTCCTTCTGCTTCTAAGAAGAGCAAGAGGGTTTTTAAGATTGGAGGTCAAAAAAACGCTGAAGAGGACTCTAACCACAATGAGGAACAAGAAGTTGCAGCTCAACCTAAGATGCCAAAACCTGGACCTAGATCAAGACGTGTTTTTTCAGTTGGAAAAGGAAATGCGAATAATGAAAGTTCTCCAATCCATAGTCAACCACTTTCTGATGAGGAATATAGAAACTTAGATTCTGATTAAATTATTAATTTATTTATTTAAATAGCTAAATCTTTCCTGAGCTATATATTTTAGAGTTTACTTGCTGTTGCTTTATCAACAACACTTTCTCCCTTCTTGAATGGATCTACAAAGTTATCAGCATTATGTGTCACTCCAATTTTTATCAACCAATCTCTAAGTCCATAGCCTGTAGCTGCCTTCCATGGTCGTAATTTATCAATTTTAACCATTTGATAATCACTCAATTCATCCTTATCAATACAAATTTGCTCATCTTTATCTGTTCCATTAGAAAGCACTTGAACATGATAAACAATAATTAGCTCATTTCTCAATGGAAAATTGTAAACTCCAATCAAATCCTTTTCAGATACTTCAATATTTGACAAACCCAATTCTTCTTTAATTTCTCTCTTACAAGCATCAAGTGGAGCCTCCTTAGCTTCAATAAAACCAGAAACCAAGCCATACCAATTTTCAGGCCAAGTCTTATTCTGAATTAAAACAACATGTTCATGATCTCTCCACTCGACAATAGCTGCCACCACTGGAATTGGATTATTATAGAAAGTGTAGCCACATGATGGACAAACCATTCTTTTAAACACTTCCGATGGTTTACTACCTCTAGGAGAGGATGGTTGTTGGTGATTTGGCAACTTTTCAATTAACTTGTTTAATTCCTCATTTTCTAAACTAGATGAAGAAGAAGCAATCTTTGGGATTGTCTTTTCATTCATCTCGGTACCACATCTCTGACAATAACACTTTCGTGCAGACATTTTTATTGTGTTGGGTTTTGTGCGTCCTTTGAAAGTTTCGACGAAGGACAAGGAGATTGTAAATTGTGTCCGATTAATTTCTGGTTGAGTATTGATTAATAATTACAATTTTCCTTAAAATAATAATTAATAATGATGAAGGTTTATTTTCAAAATTGGAAACTCTCCAAATCTAATAATTGATCATCATGATTTTATAACATCTTTAAAAAAGTGAATCAACTCAAAGCTTGAAATGTTTCCCAAATTATTCAGTGTTCGAATCATCAATGAATTAGAAGGTGTTGTTGCTATTCGGGTGTTTTATGCCAAGCCAAACGAAACTCTTCCAATCTATGAAGAATTTCAAGTAAAAATCAATCATGCTCACTTGTTTGAAAAAATTGAAGAGGTGAATGAATTACAATCGAATAGTACTGTATCACCTCCTCTACAACCGTCATCATCATCTGCTTCTTCTACAGATAATCAAATGAATGATGAAGAAGCTGAAAAGGAAGAATCCAGATATTACATTGATAAAATTCAAGTCTTTCTAGGTGAGGGAAAGGAGGAGAGGATGTGGACTTTTGACTCACCTTTTCTCACCCAAGATTCACAGAAGGAAACATTTGTGCTTATTCGAGATAGGAAGGGTGAGGTAGAATTGAGACATCTTCGTGACAAAGATTTGAGAACAAAGTATGACTATTCACAAGTATTTGGAAACTCTGCAGATGACATTTTGGGTTTTTAACAATTTATAAAGAAGAATTGGATCACTAAACAATTGAAAATATTTGTGTGTGTAATAATTTATTTCTTCTTCTTGGTAATTCTTTCGAATTTTTGGAAATTACTTTCCTTATTTCTTTCTCTCTTGTTAAGTCTTCTTGGATCGAGTGGAATGTAAGCATAAGGATCAACAGCTCCTTGACCTTTCACTTTGGCTCCACCAAAGACAATCTTTGTCTCTCTCTTGTGTTTTCTCTTTTCCAGTTTGGCTAAGAAAAGTTGGTCAGCATTCAGTTCTTGTTCCTTCTTCTTTGAAACTGGTGCACCTCTAGCAATAGATTGCTTAATGAGATCAACAGTTCTTTGCTTTTCGGTGAACTTCTTTGATTCTTCAGAGTCCTTATCTTCATCTTCTGGTAGATCGTTAATAACCAATTTACCCTTATTGACAGCAAATTCAGAATCTTCCTTCTTTTCTGGTTCTTCATCAGACATTTCTTCTTCCTTTTCTCCATCCTTCTTTGTCTTCTTTACTCTGTGCATACTCTTGAAAGTATTCTTCAAAAAGTGATGACGTTCCTTTTCAGTAACAGTATCCTTCAGTTCATCAAAACTGAACTTTTTGAAAAGCTTAGTGACAAGGAATCTGAGTTGTACTCTCAAACTGGTTCCTCCTGATTTCTCGTTAGAATGGTTAAAGAATGTATTCAAATAAAGAGATACGTATGGTTTGAGTGTTTCCTTATCGAATAAGGTTACACATCTCTTGAAGAATTGCATCAATGATGAAACAACCTTAACATTTTCATCTTGTAAAACAATTGTCACAGAGTCGAAAACATCCTTCAAAATTGGTTGTAAATATTTAGAGTAAGAAGGAAGAAGTTCAGACAATGCGTTGATTGTAGAAGCAATCATGGAATTTGATTTACCACACAAACCTGGTAAAACTCTTCTAACAACAAAATCTATCACATTAGATTGTTTTTGTTCTTGTGTATATTTGTTATCAATGAGTGGATCAATAAAGGCCTTCAAAGTGGAAATGGATAAATCTCTACTCTTTTGATTTTCAGTGTTATCAATATTGAAAATACATTCACCAATAATTATTGTAGAAAGTGGATTATTGAAAATCAAGTCATGGTATTTAGTGACCAAGAGGTTGAAACACTTGACTCTGAATTTCTTTGACATGGTAATTTCAGCAATAGATTGGAAAATTGTTAAAATTTCATCGATAGTTTCCCTCTTCATTGCAACACCAGAATCTCTCTTCCATGATGAAAGTAAAATGTATAATCCCTTGTATGCTTTCTTTTGCAATTTAGGTGTGGTACTGGTAGTAATTTTAAGGTATGGGATGAGGAACTTGTAATAAATTTCAAGACAGGAATTAGGTACAGAATTAAGCATTGTAATAGATAAATCAAAGAAACCAAAGAATTTCTCTTCATCAGACTCGGAGTTAATTTCTAAAATCTTCTTAAGAACCAACTTGAAGTAGTCAGTAACAGTTGCATGATCACAAACTGAGAAGAAGGCAGTAATGGCCTTACCGACAGCATTTTGAAGATCAGCTGTTGTGGCTTTAGAGTTTTGTTCGACATACAAGTTGAAGAGGATTGGAATAAATTGTTTGTTAAAGTTAGCAACAGCACGAAGACCCTTTTCACAAATATTCTTATTCAAACCAAAGATATTGTCAGGAATTTTGCCAGTTGTTGCAATATTGTGATAAGTGTTAATAGTCAATGCCAAACTGTTACAACAAGCAATCTTGATTTGATAATCAACACCTTCCTTTGCACTGCTATTGATCATTTCACCCAAAAGTGGAGCAATAGTGGAAAATTGTGATTCTAAATCGATTGGATAACTACAGAATTGTGGTAACAATGCCCAAATCTTTTCATATAAAGTCAAGAAGGAATTATTTCCATGTCTATCAACTTCAGTAGTCTTGCTCTTATCGTAGAATGACTTGGCCATTGGTAAGAGAACGTTAACCCAATAAGCAAGTTGTCCATTAACACAAATACCAGTAAGTTTAGAAAGATCTTGTTCATCATTTTGTCCAATCTTCATGTTAGGAACATTTGAGTAATCAACTTTATGATTGATCAAAATACTCAAAACCCAACCATCAAATGTAATACCTCCTTCCTTGAATGCTTCGGCTGGTCCCAAAACACGAATACAGTATCCAACAATCTTTTCCAAATAATAGACAGATCTAGCATTTTTGAGTGTGGTTTGTTCAAGTGCACTGGCTCCTTCTTTCTTCTTATCAGATTCTCTCTTGAGTAAATCTTGCAAGACGTCACTAGTAAAGAGTAAAAAGTCCAAAACACAATTGTTGATTGATGAAACTTTGATACCTCTTGATCTAACTAAACCAATCTTCAAAATAGTATCCAAGGTAAGTTGAGAAATCAAGTCATATTTAGCATAATGAGTATTATCCAATCCAGTTTGCAATGTGTTAGCAATAGCCAACATTGGAGATTCTTCATCATCATCCATTGAGCTATTCTTGTTTCTTTCTCTAAAAAGTTCAGCATCAAAACAATTCCAAATCAAGTTTTGAAGATTTGTGAATGCAGCAGAGCTGGTTTCTTCTGATTCATTCTTTGCTAAAATAAGTGATTCAAAAATTAATTTGAAAAACTTGTGAACTCTACTAGCAGAAAGTTCCTTATCAAGTCTATGAAGACATTTGTGGGCGTGAGTCATCATTACAATGTAGGCAATAACCTTCTTTGGATCATCACTCTTCAATGTTGGACAAACTTTTTCAGTAAGGAAATCTATCACTTTAGCAATACTAGGGGCGGCAATATTCTTATTGTTATCAAAAATGTTTTTAAGTGTTCTATAAATTTCAGCACAAATATTGGCAGGTAAATTGTTTGAATTTCCCTTCAATAAAATGTCCAAAGTTTTTTGTAATACTACTACTATATTCTTCTCGCCTAATTTTTCACTCAAACATCCAATTCCTTTAATGACTGACATTGCAATTTCAGCATTTCTAGTCTTACTTGATGTTTGGTATTGTTCAATAAGATAAACTGAAACCATTTCGTCCTCAGTTAAGAATAATTGGTTCTTTTCCATCAATTGTTGGATAGTTTGAATACATTTTTCTCTAACTTGAACTCTAGTATCAAAAAGGAATGAAAATATTAATTTTTCTAATTGTTGTTTCTTTGGGAAAAGTGGAGATTGTGGTGGAACATCACCTAATTTTGCATTAATTTGAAGAAGGAGAGGAACGAGTTGAATTGTGACATATTCAAACTTGTCCATACTTTGGTGAATATTTGTCATTGCTTGTCCAACAAAGTCCAATGATGAGTGTACAACAGCAGGTTTGATACTAAAACTATTAGAAAATCCGTATCAATTTGAAAAAACTTACTGTTCAACAACAATTGAAAAGAGTTGAAGAAGTGATGCACAGTTTTTAGCATCGCTTTGTGAAGAAGCAAGTGTTTTAAGAATTGCTCCATAGAATGATGTCGGTTGGAGTGGTTGTTTTTGTTTGTAAATTGTTTCCGTTATAGCTTCAATAGATATACACATTGTTTTCCAATTTCCTGTATTAACATCTCTCTTCTTTAAAACAGATTCAAACATGGTAAAAGCAAGAGGGGCATTAGCCTTCAAAGCCTCCGAAAATTGATAATAACTTGATTGTTCTTGAGGAGCTGATGTTGAAATAACAGCTCTAGAGGCCAACTCTTGCTTGGTGGCTGTGTTACTAACAGCAGAAGAAGCCGATGTTGCAGCTCTTCCTTTTCGTTTGGCTGAAATTTTAGCACGGAGTGATGGAGTTGTGCTCATATTTTTTATTATTCACACCATCATCAAATATTTTATTGATAAGTTGGTTGAAACAAAACCACTATTTATTCTACCTGATAAGCTGATGGTAGCTAGTTCTTTCGTTTCTTATTACTTCTCCACCATCTCTGAATAATAATACATGAATTTCTCAATCGTTTGTACCACCTTCTCACTTTGTAACCTGTACACCAACTGGTCATTAGTAATAAAAGAGCATTCACAGTGTCAGTATTATATAATTGCATAATTAGTCTCAATCGTGGAACTTTTAGTGGAAGCTCAGCAACTATTTCTCTTGAAGTGGACATGAAATTATTAGGGTTATCCACAATACTCTTAATATTTGGAAATAGAATGGAATTGATACTTTTCAGTAATTGCTCCTCCATTGTGGACAGTTTCTTTTCTGAGAAGTATTCTCGTGTAACTGATACGTCCAAAATATTAGTATTAAATCCTTCCCGTTCCTTTAAGTGGTGAATGTCATCTATAAAATCTCTGATCATTTCCTCATTTTCATTACTAACTTTAAATTGGTTTTTACAAGCATCCAACTTTAGATCATTAAATTTGTACACCTCATGAATAAAGCTTGGATAGCTCTTTTCTTTGGATTGCTCTTCCCTCTTCGGTGGATCTTCTGAATCATATTTTACAAATCGAAGTTTTCTTAGTGGCATTGAGGTGACAAAAGAAATATTCTTCTTTTCAAAATTTGCAAAGAAACCTGTATCCTTAATATTATTATTTACACTCATCGAAAAGCTACTGCACGATGAACTGGTTGGAGAAGAATCCTCAAACAATAATCTTCCCATGAGAGGTGAGGAACCAATTAGAGTATGTCGAGCATTCATTGATGACATTGATATTCTCCTTGGTGAAGAACACTCTAATAATGATGTCGATGCAAGCAATGGTGATCCGATTGGTGAATCCGCAACTGATGAAGTTCCTAAACTTTTCCTCAAAGACTTTGCTTTTGGAGGATTACTCACAGAAAAACTCTGAGAAAAAGATCGGGCCCTCTCACCTTCTTTTGGCACTATATTTACACGAAGATGTTGCAACTTATTCTTCTTAGAATTCTCTGGTGAGGAGGCGTCTTTTGTTGGAGAGGATCTTAAGGGTATTACCAATCGATCATGTAGACTCATTTTTTTAAGGTTTTAATGGTAACAGTCGGAGGAGGAATATTTAAGAGCAGAAATTCAACTTGACATTCATTAGTAGAGTGAGGTATTGAGATAAAGGTATAATATGTCATCCATCGACACAATGTGCAATTTCAAAAAAAGACTTTTAAAAAAATGAATCACCTGTGTCAGCTGCCGGATGAGTTGTGGCTTTCACATATTTTCGAGTACTTGCTCGGACCGGTCAGTAAATACAAAGACGAAGTTGAAAAATGGTTATTCATCCGTACTCTTAGAGAAATTCAAGCTAAAATATTTAAATTTGATTTTGATAATTTGAAAGGAATTAATTCATTGAGTTGTATTTGTTCAGATTTACGTAATCGACTATTTGTTTCCGATTTTGATAATCTTGGAGATTTTACTGTTGTTGGTAATTTCTGGCTAAATGTTTCTAATTTAGTAGAATTGACAAACTATTTCACCAGATTTGAAGATTTTTCAGGCCTGTACCTTACATATGGAGATCTTTATGACCACGAAGCTTTAAATATGGCACTTATACAGACAACTTTAGAAAATATTGAAATGGGGATTCAAAGTAGTGCAAGTTCAATGGCTAATACATGTATTAAGGCTGACATTTACAATGATCTCTACGAGATGGAAGCAAAAACTGTAATGTCAAATATTGAAACTGATTTTGAAGAAAGAATGTCTCACATGATTACATCAAAATCCAAATATCTCAAAATAAGAGAAAAAACTGGAATTTCAGTTTATGAACTATTTGTTTATAAGGCTCACATTATGAGTTTGGAAATGGTCCCCAACTTTGATTCTGAAAAAAGAGTTGAAAGCTACTATCTGTCCTATCACAACAACGAACACACATTGTTGTCATTACAACTTAGCTCTAAAAAATTAGGAGAAGGATGTTTAGGATTAATATTGGATGAGTTTAATGAACAAGATTTGGAGATTTGTAAAAAATATTTATCGATTACTGCAGTCACAATTTGGTCAACCATCACTTCAGTTAACTTTTCAAATTCTCTCCAATACCTGTCACTTGTTATTACTTTACAGGAGTACAATGAAGTAAATGACATGTTACAAGGGTGCCATTTTCCAAATTTAAAACTTCTTTCAATTGCTCTAGAAGATGAAGAACATATTTCGCGTGATAAAGAAAGATACATGCTCATAGAAAAAAACTTATTGGAAAATATCAAAAAATCTACCTTTCCCAAAATTATTCACCTTAGTTTGAAACGATTCTTTGACTATGAATCAATATCAAAGATTGAAGTTTTAGATCAATTAATCTGCTTGGAACTCATTTCTGGATATTGGGGTTATAACGAGGAGCAGATCTTTGTTTGGAAAGATGGTCAAGTTATGCAGATGCTTAATGATACCTATTTCAAAGAAGGTAGTGATAATTGCATGCAATTGTTAATTATTTACAATACCATAGATACTAGATGGATTGATGGTGAACTAGAATTGATGGAAAATTTTTACAACAATTGCAAAGAAAGATGTTTTGCTGGTTCTATCAGCCACTCTTCAGTTAAGGAGTATTATTCAAATTGTAATGAGTAAATAAATTACTTTGTTTTCAAATTATTTAATTTCAATATTATTACATTTCCAAAAAACATTGGAAATGTATTTTTACCAACATAAAAAAAATGGCGCATAGAGACGATGACGAAGAGCAGGGTTATGAATCCAACGTATACAATCCTGATCATTGTCTTTTGGATCATGATGCAGTATTCGGAATGATTGAAGATGATATAAATGAAGAACGAATGGTATCTATGGAAAATTATGAAAATAATCCTCGTGATGATATTCCTGGTCCGATTTCTTTTCTCTTGAGAGGAAGTAATTCTGGATCCAACCATTTAACTCATCACCACACCTTGACAGCAACACAACAACGACAACCTTTGAATGCTAAAAAACAAAGAAAACCAACATTACATGAAATGGAAAATTGGAAAGAAATGAAAAGTATTGTGGAACAGAGAGGACAAACCAAGTTTCTAACGTCATTGGAAAAGATTCAAAATAATCGTTCTACAACCTCTAAAGAAAAGATTCCACTTTTACCAGTAATTATCAGACAAATATTACATTATGATAGTAATGAATCAGCCCATGTTCTTTTTGGAGAATTGGAATCAGATACTGAAATTGAAGGAACTATTTCTAAAAAAGCCATTGAAAAGAATACTAACATTTTGACTGTTGGAACTGTTGTTTTATTGAAAAAGATTCAAATATATTGTCCTAAACCTTTAAAGTTTCACCTGATTATTTCTGAAAAGAATACTGCCAAGGTTTGGGTGAGTGAAAATGAGGAAAATTCCATGCTTGTTGATAACAACAGATCGAACAAGCATGAAAGAAATGGTGATGAATTTACTTTTGATAGAAATATTGATAGTTTGGATGAATTTACTCCAACCAGATTTTTGAATCAGCACAAAGATGAGGAAGAAGAGGAAACTCTATCCTCTCAACCAGTAATAATGAAACAATTTAATCCACCACCAGTTCAACAATCAAAACCTATTTCACAACATCAACCTCCTCCAACAACTGGAAAAACCACCTTTATCAAACCAAAACCACCCACATTTTCCACTCCTCAACAACAAGACAATCCATTCTCTTCCAAATTTAAACCAGTTGAAACACCTCAAATTACTTTGGATGATGATAGTAATTTGGATTTATCCCAACCATTCACAACACCTCGAACCAACTATGCTGCATCACCAGAAGTTGTCTCTACTCACAAGCGTAAAGTTGACTCAATATCCTCACAAAACTCACTCAATGACAGTGGAGGAAAGAGAAGAAAATCACCACTCGATGAAGAATCTGCCCTACTCAAAGACTCTTTCAATGATCCACTCTTTGATGATAGTTCTAATCATTCCCTCTCTGTTCCATCCTCACCACCCCTTATCAATAATAGTGATCAACTAGACAACCAGCAGCAACTGGAAACTCCAAAACCAGCAGGTAATATTATTGTTCCTCCTTTCACACCTCCAATATTTAACAAGACTCCACCTCTTGCAACCAGTACTCCCACCAACAACTTAGCTAGTCTTAATCTGAGTGGTATCAGTAATCTCTCCTCTCAAAAGTCTGTTACCAATACTAAGCAAGTTGTTCCCTCAAGTAATCCCTTTACTAATAATAATAAGATGTCTACCAAATCGTCTTCCTCCAATACTACGGCTGCAACATCTAATCCTCCGAAAAAGACTGTTCTCTTCCATGACGATGATGATGATCCATTGGCAGGTATATTGGACGGAGAGGATTTATTTCCATCCAATCTTAGTTCTAAATCGACATCATCTCTATCCAGTAGTAGTAGTGGAAATATTACTGCCCCAACCACTATTCCAAACAAACAAACCTCAACAGTTGCATCCACAACAACATTTAAACCACCTCCTCCACAACAACAAGTGCAGCAGAAAGCAAATCTTCCGTCTTCAACAACAACCACTAGAAAACAACTCATTGACGATGATGACGATCTGTTGGCAGGTATTTTAGGTGATGGAGGTGAGTCTCTCTTCAATGATTCTCCACTCGTAAAGCCAAGCAAACAAACCTCAACAGTTGCTACTACTTTTAAGAAACCACAACAACAAGCTCCTCCAAAGAAGAAGACCATTCAATATGATGATGATTTTTAAAAATTGGTCTGATGTTGCAAAAACTAATAACATGGTTTTTTGAAATCCTCAGTGATACACTGTAGTCACTAATAATTGGTGAGTGTATCAATAACATTCAATCTAGAGGTGTATCAAATGCATTTTAATTTCTTGGTTTTTCTTGTTCATCTCGATATTTACTGCTTTGCCTTTTAAAATTTTTCATTGTAAAATCCAAATTATCCCCAATCAACCGATAAAATTTTTAATAATTTTGTTGAAAAAAAAATATCAAAAATGTAAGTTTGCATTCAACCTCATACAGTCTTCTTATCTTGACGCCTTCCTCTTCATAACAATTTATTTCAATCATATTAGAATTCACGATGGGCTCAGGTAAACCAAGAGGTATTAAAGCCGCTAGAAAGATCAAGGCTAACAGAAGAGATTCCAGATGGGCTGATATTGACTATAAGAAGATCGCTTTAGGTACTTTGGTCAAGTCTAACCCATTCGCTGGTGCTTCCCATGCTAAGGGTATCATCCTTGAAAAGGTCGGTGTTGAAGCCAAACAACCTAACTCTGCTATTCGTAAGTGTGTCAGAGTCCAATTGGTCAAGAATGGTAAGAAGATCACTGCTTTCGTTCCAAACGACGGTTGTTTGCTCTTCCTCGAAGAAAACGATGAAGTTTTGGTTTCTGGTTTCGGTAGAGCTGGTCACTCTGTTGGTGATATTCCGGGAGTCCGTTTCAAGGTCGTCAAAGTTGCTGGTGTCTCCCTCTTGGCCCTTTACAAAGGAAAGAAGGAAAAGCCAAGAAATTAAAATTCTGTCATTGCAATCATAATAAAACATAAAAATTATCAAATATAGGTTTTTATGGCAGCTTGACAAGAAATGTCAATTTTACTATAAATGGATTTGACACATTTCTAATATCTTTCACTACATTATCTGTGAAGAGTAATTTAATTGCAATCTAAGTCTCCCTTAATTAATGATGAAAATTGCATAAAAATTGAAGAGTAATTTTTAATTGGCAAATAAATTTATTTCTTTTTTGAAACAACAAATTCCTCATCATTTCTCTTTCTCTTTACCTCATTACCCTCTTTTCTTTCCTTATTGACCTCGGTATAAATATCTACAGGTGGGAGAATTGATGTTCTTGATTCTTCAGTTTCTAACAGATTTGAAGAAGCCTTGAGTGTCATGATTGAGTCGTAACTCTTAGTATCGGTTGGCCATTTAATGTTATGTCTAGTACACCATGCCTTTGCTGCAGTATAATATCTTTGTACAGAGCCGAACTTGTAAGTCTTATTATTAATGTGGGATTCTACAAGCCAAATCAACCAGGAATTGTAGGTGTCAGGATTGACATGAACGCCATCAATTCTTTTAGTAAACGGATCGAATGATTCGGATTTACAATAGCCTAAATAATTTATAATACCACTTTCAGGAGAGAGTAAGGTTTTTTCAGAGAGAGCAATATGGTACTTCACCTCCTTCCAGATCTTGGCTATGGCCTGTGCCTTCTCTTGTCTTTGGAGTGTAGACAGAGTCTTGCTATGACTCTCCATTATTTCATCGTATTGTTTTCTCTTTGGTCCAGCAGGAATATTTCCAGTGGCTTCTCTGAGTTTCCAATTCTTTGTTAGAGCCTCTATATCAATGATTGGTTGAGAATTAAGTTTAAGCAACATATCCTTAGAATTATTTTGGATGATTTCTAATTGATAACAAAGTCTTTCCTTCATGGATTGATTAATAGGAGCATTCTTACAACTATCAATAAGAGAATTCAATTGTGTCAACATGATGATGATATGTTCAACATTGTGTTCTTCCATGAAAGGATTGGTCATTATTGGAGGATGGAAGCCTTGATTGAATAGTGCTGGAGGAGATTCATTAAATAATGGATAGCAGTGTTGGAAGGAATTGTTTGGTTGTTGAAGGCCTTGATTGAAATTAAGAGATGGAGTTTGATTGAGTGAAGGATAGTTGGATTGATAATTCAAATGTTGATTCATGTTGGTATCATTTGCTTGATGCAAAAGAGAGTTCGGATCAGATGATTGAACAAGGTTATCAAAGCCTTGGTTGGCTGGTTGAGGTTGGTTGGTAGGTGGACCATTGAGGTTGTGTTCTACTAGTGGTAGGGTGTTAGCCTGTTGCAAGTCTAGATTTGAGTAACCTAACAAGTCTAAGAATGAGTGCACATCAGATACCTCTTCAGTGGTGGCAAAGATGTCAACTTTGCCTTCTTCATATTCCATGATGATAACAATTTTAATTTTTTTGATTTCAATAAGGTACAAGTGTGATTTTCATGATCTTTTTAAACTCATTCAACCCGCCAAAAATAAAAAAATGTAAAATGTTGTAAAAAAGCCATTCCGCTTCATCTCATAATTAGTGGAAATAAAAAGGAACGATGAAGAAGCAAGAGCCAAGAAATTAATAAAACAGACTGTGAATTTTTTTTACTTTAAAAAATGCTCCAGTTCATTGCTATAAGAGAAAGGGAAAACCAAGAAATTAGGTCTGCTTAGCTGTTATTAAATAAAACATAAAAATTATGAAATTACGACATTTCAATCCTCTTGACACCAATTTCGATATTTAATTTCAATAATTTTTAAAAATTTAAAAAAAAATAATTGAAAAAAAATGTTCAAAAAGTATGTAAGCAATCATTTCAACACCGAGATTAACCACTCTCGGAATTAAATACAGGTGGACCAAGGAGGATGTCGGAAGCGCCACAAAATTAAAGAGCTCTGTCGAAAGAGGTATCAGAAGATCGATCAGTGAACAATATCCAATGTTGGGTGAAACTTTGGAGGAAGAAATTCTTCCAAAAAAGGTTCCATTATTGTTGATCAAATGGTATGTTTATATTCACTCACGAGTATTCTTTTACATTGTTTTTTTATTACAATTTTTATCTTAATAATATTAACAATTACAATAACAACAATATTTAAACAATTCAAACTCTAACATTTAAAATCACCATTTTGAAATAATCTCGTATCTATTGATATAATATTACAAATTGATTATATTGATGAAAATAGTTCCGGACAAATCAATATTGTTGTTGTGAATAATGAAGCCAAATTCTTCTCTGTTCACGATGGACCATTCTTCCCACATCTTAAAGTTTTACATCAATGTACGTTATATATTCTATTCAAATTTTTCAACGATCGGAATGGTTAAATAGATCCACAAATGTTGCCACTCTTCCAAGTTGATAGAGGAGCTGTTAAATTCATTTTGAGTGGAGCCAATATTATGTGTAGAGGATTAACATCACCAGGAGCTAGTATGGATATGTCTGTAGGAAAGGATAAAGCTGTTGCCATCATGGTTGAAGGAAAGGAAAATGCTATTGGTGTTGGTTTTACTAAAATGACTGCTACTGAAATGTATGTGTATTTATTTTGAACATAATGGAATTAATTGTATATTTATAATTTATGAAATGTATAATAATAATATTAATATATCATTTATGGTGATGGAATATTGATTGTTATTAATAATAATAATAATTTAAAATCATTTAAATGGATATTATTTTTTAAATTGAAAAAACACAGTAAGGATATCAATTCTGGAATTGGTGTTGATAATATGCACTGTTTGGATGATTTCCTGTGGTCTCACATTTTCAATTAAACGAACTCTTTGTTTATTTATTATTCATCAAATAACACTCTTTTCAATTTTGGATAGACCTTTCGTAAAAGGTTTAATCGTGGATTGAACATTTCGAATGGAACAATAACCATCTTTTTCTTGTGGGCTTGTTTCAAAATAATGGCCAAATAGTAAATCACACAATCAATATGAAAGCCCTCTGCTATGACAACATGTTTGATATTTTCAATTGGAATGAAGAGTTGATGAGTTTTATAGCCGAGGAATGTCGTCTTTTCCAATTGAACACCTTTTCCCTTCATTCCTACAATACTCTCCGAGATGGTACTCGAGAGGAGTGAGTAGAACCAATAGAGCCAACATAATCCAATGAGAATGAATCGAGGGGATGAATTAAAGTGTTGCACTCCACTCCATCCCAATACTAGATAATGCAAGAGAAGGAGAAGGATGAGAAAACCCGAGTGCTTTTTAATGACATTCCATCGGGATAGATGAACAATAAATTCTTCCCACTGTGGAGATGTATGTTCGTTGTTTAAAGGAGAAGAAGAATTTGATGAATGGTCATTATGATGATACAATACTAGAGGTGAATCATTAAATTTGATACTTCTTGAATTATTTGATAAATCTGCCTTTACATCATGATTTTCATTGAATAATAAATTATTACTCATGCTTTTTCCAAAAAGTATATTTTCTAAATGATTGATAATCAGTATTATATTAGTATTATTGATTTGATCAATATGAAAGAAAAATTAAATCATTATTTTTTTCAATCGAACCATCAAAGAGACTTGTGATTCGCAATGATGAATCATCAAATAACAAATTAAAATTAATAAATAATCAAATCGAAAAACTATTATTAATGAAGAAGAATAAAAAATGAGTACATCAGCAACAACAGCCACTTCCAAGATTGCCCGTTCACGAGTGAGAAAATCCACTCCTCCTGATGAAGTAAACAGAATGCAAATTATTTACCCTGTATATATTGATAAGAATAAAACTTTAAGCCAAGGACGAAAGATCGCAAAGGAAAAATGTGTGGAAAATCCAAAGGCAACAGAAATTGCCGATATTTGTCAACATTTAAAAATACCATACGAATTAGAGGTAGGAATCATTTATCAAGATATTAATAATCGGATTTTATTTTGGAATTTTATTATCGGAATAATATAGAAAACAAAGAGATACCCACAAGAACCTTTTGAATTTGGAAGAGTTAGAGTTTTATTAAAGAAGGAGTCAGTTCCTCAATTAGAATGGACCACAAAGGCAGATTTATTGGAACATATTGCATCTTTAATTCCACGTCTTGAAAACAGAGTCAACCAAAAGAAGGAAGAAGCTTCTTCATCCACTTCTTCATCAACCGGAACTAGCTCAAGTGCTTCCACAGCAAGCCCATCAGCTTCCAAGGCCAAATCAAAGGGTGCCAAGAAGAATAAGAAAAAGAACTAAAAAATTGTACATTTTAAATAAATCCTTTCCATACACCACTAGTGTGTTATTATAAACATGTTACTTTCAATAGAGTGTCTATTCAATGCTAATAATTAATGCATTAACAATTAATTGATCTGATTTGGTATTAGAAAAAGTTTACCTCCACCTTGACTACAATTTGCTTTGAATTTTTCCCGCCCAAATTTTACACCAAAAAGAAAATGAAAGCATTTGGATCCTCATACTCGCCACAAAATTCAAGTGCTCTATTATCAGCAAACAATCATTCGCGGCAATCACCTTCATCCTATCATCATGAATTCGGAATGAATGGAGCAGGGCAACAATCCTTCTTGAATTCAGCTGGAGGAAATTCAAACTCTCCAAATAATAATTTATATCATCAATCTTCTTATTTAAGGGAGGAAACACAAGGTTTCAAATATGAAGAACAATCACCTAGAGTTTATGATGCTAGTTCCTACATTAGAGATTTGGGATTTTCTGTGGAACATGAAAAACAAAAGCTTCGAGATATTGAACAGACAAGAGAAAAGATAAAACAAAGAGAGTTTAATCCTTCAACACTTCCACCTTCATCAGCAATGAACCAAAATCCAACTTTTAATCCTTCATCAATTATGAATAATAGAAATCAAAATGAAAAGTTTGATTATTCAGATCATACAGCAAACATGAGACATCAATTTGACGAGAAGAGACAACAACAGGGATCAAACTTTGGTTATTATGAAGAGCCAAATAGGTATCACTTTGAAGAGGAGGAACATCACTACTCGAAAGGAAATGAACAATCAGTTGAATTTTTATCTGTAAGAATTGCAGCTCTGGAGGAAATCATTGAAATTCAAAATAATGAAATTAACGAATTCAACAAGGTGCAAGACGGGAAGGATGATTTTCTTAAAAAAGGAAAACATCAACTTCAAGTTTCAATTCTAAACAAGTGGAGACAGAAAGTGTATGCATTATTAATTCAATCAAAGATGGCCGATATTGAGGATGAAAATAAGGCCAAAGAATTCAGAAAGAAGGAATTGGAATATCAGAAAGAAATCAAACAATTAAAATATGAATTATCGGTAGCTAGGCATAAAGAGAAGGATCTTAAGGCATCGAACAATTATCTAGAAGAACAACTCAAAAAATTGGATATTACCAAGTACGTAAAAGAGATTGAACGATTAAATAGAGAAAAGGAATTTATGAGCAGAAAATTCGAACAAGATTTGAAAATTCTGAAGGAAGATAGAACATTGCTAGAGGAGCAAAGTAAGTTGATTCATTTTCTTTTTCTGTAATATTAACCTATACAGAGAAAAATCATATGGATGAAATACAAAGAAAATTCGACAGTCTTAATAAGGAGGTTGAAATAGTTAGAAACGAGTATAATCTCAAGTGTTCTGAAGTTGAACAATTAACTCTTTCTCTTTCTAGAGCAGAACAAACAATAGCAACTGAATTGGGTGTTGTCAAAACACTCAAATCAAAACTTAACGAGTACCAGCACCAAAATGATAAGGAAAAGAAGGATATTGTTTTGCATGCAGTGAGGTTAAAAGACGAAGAATTAACGAGACTTGAAATTGAATTAAACGAAGCAAAGAGTGAAAACACCAAACTCGTGTACAAGCTCAAACATTACGAGAGACTGATACAAGCAGAGCAGGAGAGTAAACAAAAAGAGGACAGGGAAAAGTTTGATTACTATGAGATGAAAATCTCTGTAAAGGAAGAAGAAATCAAACAATTAAAGAAGGAACGAGGATCTCTCCTCCTAACAATACGACACCAAGAAGAAATGTTAGAAAATAGGAGAAGATCGGACCGACCTTTGAATTCCCTTAACCCAACAGTTGATACTAAGGCAAGTTCAATAATACCCACCGAATATATGAGCTTTGGCAATAATTTAACCACACCCAACATTAGAGTATCACCTAAAAGCTCTCCAAAACCACCAACAGTATCAACAAACACAACACGATTGGCACCAAGAGAACCAGTTGTGAGCAGTCCCAATTCACTCTCTGAAAAGTTGAAGGATTTATCTTCACTGACTAAGAAATTTCTCGACAAGTCTAAGGAACACGACGATGAATATCTGTAAGGTTAAATCTCTAATCTAGGAAAATCTAGGAAATATATTTTGTAAATTAAGAGAATCATTTTTGTAATAAAACACCAAGTTGGAAGTAGAGTATTTCCAATTCCATGATTTATTCAAAACTGAAAATCTATTCTTCCTCATCCTCTTCATCATCCTCTTCTTCTTCTTCATCTTCATCCTCTTCCTCCTCTTCTTCCTCTTGTTCATTTTCCTCTTCATCATTTTCTTCTTCCTCTTGTTCAGTATTTTCCTCTTGTTCTTCATTTTCAGTATTGGCCGAACCACCACCAACATCACTACTGATAGCAGAATTCTTATCTACCAATGTAATTGAAGATGTTGTAGTTGTTGGAGCAGCAGTGGTAGTTGTTGCCGTTGTTGTTGCTGTAATATCCGATTTGGCAGATAAAGCAACTTGTTCATCATCAGCCAATACAATTCCATTCAAACTATTCTTTGCTGAGGAAATTCTTGAAGCCTTGGCATTCATTGCACTGACAATAGTTGATCTGTCATCAGAGTTAGGAAGACAAGCATTATACTTTTCACTATTTGGTTTTGAAATTGAGACACACTTGTAGTTAGAAAGACAATCTCTATCCGATGAACATCCCATGTTTTGAGCCAGAGTGATGGTTGTGGCAAACAAAACCAGCAGGACAACGGCCAGGAGAAATTTATGTTGCATTTTTTTATTTGATGGTTTGACATTTGATTAATGACTCAAAGAAATGACCAACAAGGTGCTATTCCAATAAGAAACAAAAACTCATTTCAGTGATTCAACAATTAAGCTGTTTTACCTCCAAAAATTTACGATATTTTACAGTTTGAATGTTATTACTAGTTTCGAATGGTTGTTCAACTTTCGTATAAACTCTATTCGAAAGATGTCTAAACAAATTCCAACCAATCTTCACCATTGAATCATATTAGAAATAATACTTAATAATATCACAATAAATACGACCAATAATCCAACAACAAATACATGTATAACAACAGAACAAAATAATTGACAGAATTAATTCAATTTCTCAGATACAAAGTTGACTTTTGACATCTTATCAACTAATGTTGTGAAATAGATCTATTGGAAAGTTGTTAGATGTAAGTTTAATTTGAAAATAATTGATCATTAAAATAACTGTTTGTCGAACTCTCATTGTAAAGTGTTCAATACTGTCATTATATTTAAGTAACACTATTTAAATGCTATTTTATTAAAAAATCAAAAAAAAATGTCTCAAGAACTTGAAATCAAAAATCATGACACTGCTATCCTATTAGAATTTCCCTTTTTAAAGTCTTGTTATGCCGACTGTGAGAATTTAAAATCTTTAAATCCGGAGAGGAGTGAAAATTATTTTGAGAGAATTGTTGAATTGTTGCGGTTGGGTAATTTAGTGAGAAGGACCTATGTGGTGGAGAGTGAGAAATTGAGGGCTGATTTTAAGATTGTTCAGGAAGAGTTTGTAAAATTGAGAATGGAAAAGATTGAACAAATTAATAAGAAATTACAAAATGATGATCAAAATGATGATAATAGTTCTTGTTTGAATATTGATGAGTTTTTGAGGGAATTGAGAGAGTTCAAGACTATTATTATTGAAAATCAGGGAAAGATCAATGATTTGGAGGAAAATCCGAAAATGATTGAATCTGCAAAATTGAATGAAAAGTTTGTTAGAGAATTGGATGAATTATCGAATGAATTGAAGAGTGCGAATATTAATTTACCATGGCAAGTTACTTATAGTAGTTCATTTGATTCGGGAAACGGAGGAGGTACTGTTGAATTCAACTCTGGGAAAATTACTGATCGATTTGGAGATAATTTATGGGAGGATCGATGTGGAGTTTGCGATTGGGTCATTCAATCAGGTGGTCTTGGAGAGGGAAATCCTAGATATCGGTGCATCTCTTCAAATGATAAGAATTCTGTCAAGTGTGAACATTGTTATGGTTGGATGAAAACAATTGAACAAGTTTGTTTCAAAAAGCAAATAGAGTTTGATATTAATACTGACACAATCAAATTAGAAGAAAATGACAGAGATTTATACGAAAAGATCAAAATATTGGATCCTTTCTTTGGTTATCCATATATATTGGAGAACAATGATGTAGTATTCATGAAATTGAATATTTTGAATTCTCCTAATCTTCACACTTTTGTCAATAACATGTTTAGAACCTATAATGACAGACCTTGTGTTGGAGTTAGACATGGAAACACATTCAAGTATAGAACCTACTCTGATGTTAGGGAGGAATTGTTCTATTGTTCACTTGGATTTTCAGGGTTATTATCAGGAAATCAGAATGAAGTAATGATTGGTATTTCAACAAATGAGAATAGATTTGAATATACCCTTGTTGATTTGATGTGTTCATGGAATGGATTTACCACAGTTGGGCTTCAACCTTCTAGATCCACTCCAGAATTGAACTCAATTATTGATACTTCTGGTATGCAAGTAATTGTTTGTGAGGGAATACTCATTAGAAAGTTTTTAGACGTTTTACTTGAAAAGAAGGGAACACAATTCACTCTTGTTTCTATGGACTCAACAAGTGTGAAAGAAAATGGATCTAATGTAAACATTATTACTTTGGAGTCCTTAATCAAGAAGGGAAAGGAAATGCACAAATCAAACTCACAAGCTCAAACACTCATGGGAATTAGATATGATACTCCAATTGTTGTTGAAGAGGACTCTCCCAAATATGCTGTTGCAGGTAATGGACAAGTTATCAACAAGAAATCAGATGATTCCAATAGTGAACTTCTCTACATGAACACAGATTCAAAGTGTGGTGCTCTTATATTCACTTCTGGATCAACTTCAAAAGCTAAAGGATGCATTATTGAGAACAATCATTGGATTATTGATATCAAGAAGCAAATTTCTCATGACAGATTGGTAGTTGAGGCTTCATTTAGTCCACAATCTCTTGGGGCTGACAGAGTGCTTGTTTATGGAACTCTTATGAGAGGAGGTAGATTAGCATATTGTAGAAGGGGAGTCAATTTATTTGAGGATTTGCCAATTGTTAATCCTACTGGACTAGTATTGGCTCCTTCCATAGTTAACTCGCTATATAACGAATATTTGATGGATTTGAAATCGTCAAATATTCCTCACAGTGAAATTGTTCAAAAGTATAGAAGACTTTTTGGAAAAAGAATTTCACTTATTGGAATTGGTGGTGCCCATGTTTCAACAGAATTAATGAACTTTTTGAAAGACACTCTTGGATTAGCGACTAGTAAGTAGAACTTATGTAGTTTTATTATTCAAATTTAAATAGTTGAGGGATTTGGCTGTTCTGAATGTGGAGGTATAGCAACCAATGGTATAATTCATTCAGATGTTCAATTTAAACTTCTTGATGTTCCTGAAATGAATTTCTTCAGCACTGATTTACCTCTTCCAAGAGGTGAATTAGCAGTTAAGGTTTGTAACAATTATTTTCTAATTGATTTTTATAACAAATGAATAGACAAGTTATACTATTCAAGGATACTATAAGAATGAACAAGAATCTAATGAAAATTTCACCTCTGATGGATATTATAAAACTGGAGACATAGTGGTATTAGATCCATCCAATAATTCAATCAAGATAATTGACAGAAGAAAGAACATTTTCAAGTTGGCTATTTCTGAATTTGTTAGTCCTTCACAGCTAGAAGGTCTATTTGAACAAATTGATCTCATCGAGAATTGTTGTATTTATGGAGACAGTAGCAGAGATTATATCATTGCAATTGTGCGTACAGTTTCTCAAGATGTGGAATCAAAACAAATCTTGAAATCTATGAGGAATTTAGGAAAAATTCATGGACTCAGACATTTTGAAATTCCAAGGGAGATCATTATAGACACAGACGATTGGACTATTGAAAATAATATGCTAACACCTAGTGGAAAAGTTTCCAGATTCAATATTTATAAGAAACATACTCAAAACATAGAAAATGCCTATGCAGATTTCTCATCAGATCTCACTGATTACGCAGATGCGAATATTGAGACAAATTTTGTAAACATGTGCAAAAATATTCTGGAAGTAACAGAGTTAGATATGAGCAAAAGTTTTACAGAAATGGGAGGAACATCAATTGTAAGTTGAAGCGATATCAATATTCATTAACAATGAAAAGAAAGCTGTTCGATTACTCTTTTCTATTCAGCGAGTATTTTCAATTACAGAGAATATTCCAATTAATTTGTTAATTCACGAACCATTGTCCTCTGTATGCAATCTGATTTCACTCGGATCTGGAAAGAAAATTGTCAATCATCTAATATCTCAACAACAGAAAGGACTATTGGAGGAAGTTGAAGAGGATTTACGTTTCACTGAACCTTTGATATTCTCTGATAAGAAGGAAACCAATGATAAGGAACATATTGCCCTCATTACTGGTGGAACAGGTTTTGTTGGAAGTCATCTCGTTGCAGAGTTAGCCAAACAAGGAAAATTCTCTAAATTAATTTGTTTGGTCAGAGCAGAATCTGACAATGAGGCAACTGATAGACTAACCAAAGTATTTGAAACTTACAAACTCTTATTTGATTCCAACAAAATAACTGTATTGGCTGGTGACGTTTCAAAAGAAAACTTTGGATTGGATTCAAATAGTTATGAAACATTACTGAATAGTGTAACATCAATTTATCATATTGCTGCTAGAGTTGAATTTTCTCAAAGCTATTCAATTCTAAAGGGCTCAAATGTTAATTCTATGAAAATACTTTTGAAGTTTATTTCCACGGCCAAACACTCTGTATTTTTACATCATGCCTCTACAATTAGTGTTTATGGAGATAATTTATCACAAAATCCAACTCTCTACGAAAAAGACTCAATTGGAGAAACGTTTTTACAAAGTGGAGTAAAATCCTCAGATGGTTACTCTCAAACCAAATGGGTTGCTGAAAAATTATTACAAAATTGCAAGGAAAAGTTTGGATTTAAAAAGTTCAAGATATACAGATTAGGTCTTTCTAGTTGGTCCTCATCAGGTATTGCTAATCCAAACGACTGGTTTACCAAGTTCATTCAATCCATTCATCAACTCAAATCCTACCCAGCCACCAATGAGAATGTGAGTTTAGTTCCAGTGGATTATATCTGCAAATCAATTATTGAAATATCTCACTCTGAAATACCTCATCAAATTTATCATATTGTCAATAATTCAAATCCAATTCCATTCAAATTATTCATTCAATATTTGGAAGAATCTCTCAATGAAAACTTGAGGAAAATGAATTATTCTGAATGGATTGATTCAATTAATGATAGAATTTCAATTTATCCACTTCTTCCTTACATTAAATCTTCATTCCCACCAACTCCCAAATATGACAATTCCAATTCTCAATCCATCTCAACCAAATGTCCACCAATTGACCAATCCTATGTAAAATACTTCCAAACACTTCAAAATATCTAACTACTACTATCCATTAAATACTATCCAAACAACAAACTAAACCTTCTCCAATTATATATTTAGATTGAGAGCTTTGTATTTCAAAATTCTAAACGTTGAAAACTTTCTTTAGAATTATAAAAAAATGATTAAACAACGTTCATCCATAACAAGTGATTTTAGCAATGCTGATGATGATGAACAATCCAATGTGGTTGCATCATCGGTTGATAAATTAATTGATCCTCAACATTATTTATCTTCTTCATCATCAACAGTTCAATCTCATCGCACGAATGGTATTTCTTCCTATGGTACTACTACTAATAATGATAGTGTTGGTGGTGCTAGTTATGAATTTAAATCATCATCACCATTGAATATTGTGGAGGAACCTAATCATGGAAAGGATGATCATCATGATGAAAGCATTTCGGAACGTCATGATGAAAGTAAGGAGGAATTTAATTTACCATTGCATAAACCATTGATGAATCAATATGGTTTGGGAAGTAGTTGTTGTGTTAGTACTACTTACTTGTTACAAAGTATTGCTCCGAGATCTAGCTGTAAAACTGAATTAATTCACGAGAAACAAAAGAGACAATTATGTGCCAAACATTCAATTAATAATTTATTACAACAAAAGTTGGAAACTAACGAGTTTGATAAAGTGGCTGATTGTATATTCAATACTGAGAGAGAATTATATTATGGAAGTTTTGATAGTTCATCAAGTAGATTGAGTCGATGGTTTAAAAAGAAGAGCATGTCAAATTATCATAAAAAGAAGATTCTACTATTGGGAAGTTTTGGAAATTATTCATATGAAGTTGTTGAAAGTATACTGACACAGAAACAAATGAAATTACACAATTTAAAACCAAGTGAATTGAATGAGAATAATTTATCAAATGATTTGTGGAATTTGAAAGATCCCAAGATGGTTGGCCTTCTTTTCAATCAACAATATTATGTACAGGTGGGTGGAGGAGGTTGTCTGCCATTCTTTGCATCAAAGAGACAGGTAGAGAGGAGACCTGCTTCTGGACATTGGTGGGCAGTTGGTAAAATCATTCTCAATGAAGAACGAGAATTGTGGTTCAATCATGACAGTAAACTAAAAGAACCATACGAAATTGAAACCATTGAAAATGTTTACAAATATGTATATTCCCTTTGTAAAGATAATCAAGATATTTTAGTTTGGAAAGTAGAAGGATAATTCCTAACACTTTAATTCCCTTAAATATCAAATTCACAACAAACAGCTCTAACATTCTCTAACAACTATATTACTAATTATTAAAACTATTTATTGAAAATATTTAATATTACAAAATCAAATAACACAGGAAAACAACATAGGAAAATTCAAAAGCTCAACTCCACAACTGCAACAACCGTAATTACGGAGCATTCTTGTGGCAGGACTGTGAATATGCCTTAGGATCAAAAATGGTAATCTTGATTGCGGAAATATTCTTCCGCTCCTAAACAATTTCAAAAACTTGCAAGCGATAACAAGAATCACAACAATTATAAAAAAATGTCGTCATTGATTCCTCAATGTTTAGTGGGTGGTGTTGGCTTGTTGCATTTCTACATTATGGCCTTGGAAATGTTCATGTGGAATACTCCTCGTGGACGAAAGGCATTTAATCTAACCGAAACCTTTGCAGAACAAACTAAAGTTTTGGCTGCCAATCAAGGACTTTATAATGGATTCTTGGGTGCTGGTTTAGTTTGGTCATTATTTTCAAAATCTTTCAATTATGAATTGCAAATGTTCTTCTTGTCATGTGTTGGAGTTGCTGGTTTGTTTGGAGCTGCAACTGCCAGTAGAAAGATTCTTTTTGTACAAACAATTCCTGCAGTAATAGCAATGCTTGCTGTTAATTTCCTTTAAATTAAATTTATTAAAATTATTAGAAAGTTTTTATTCGAAAGTTTATGTGATGATCAAATTGATTAGGAAGTTGTGTATAATGACCTAAACTATACAATTAATTATTCTTTAAGAATTGCACAAGTATACGAAACTAGTAAATCAAGTTAAATTCCAACAAATAATTCCTTCCAATATTTAACCGACTATTGACAAACTGAAATCATTTGTTATTTAATCGAAAATAGAGAACTAATTGATTAGTATTTAAGATTAGAATAATATCAACTAGTAAATCCTTCATCATAGGAATTTTGATATGTCAGTAAAGAATTGAGATCTGACACTTCTTGAGTGTGAATAATTGGAAAAGCAAAAAATGAATTGAAACTTACATGCAATCTTGAATTCAAAATTAAAGAATTGAGAAATGATAAGAAATTAATAGGATTGGAAATTATTCGAAAGTTAAAAAAGAAAAAAATGAGTGTAAAGGTAATTCTAATTGATTTGTGGATGGATAGTAGCAATGGTAGTAATACTAATCAACTACTAACCAATTTGCTCCGAAATAAACTTGACGAAGCACAAAATTTGATAAAACTAATTAAAACGAAACAAGTTAAATTTCAACAAATTCCATCCGAATATTTAACATATTATTCTATTGTTTATTATTTATTGGAAGCTGAAAATGAAGAAATTTGGTATTTTAAAAGATTGCCAATGAAATACAGAAATATGAAGGAAATTATTCTAAAGGCATGTAAACTAAATGGATATGTATTGAAATATGCCAATCAGGAACTTAGAAATGATAGACAGGTTGTCATGGCAGCTATCAAAGTAAACTCATATGCCATGAGATATGTCAGTAAAGAGCTGAAACATGACACTTCATTCATGCTTAAATGTGTAACTGATTGGAATTATAAAATGATTCCAACCGAATTGAAAATGGATTTGGAATTCAATATTCAATTAATTACTAGATCATTCATATCTTTTGACAATCAATGTAACAGTATTAGATCTAATCCAGAAATGGAAAAACAAATTCTAATTTATTACAAGTATGAGTCATTTAGTCGATATTATGAAAGATATTTTAAAGATAAGGAAGTGATATTGAAAGTAATGGATAGGTACAAAGTAAGAAATCGTGTTGTACCACCAATTTTAACATTCATCGACAAAACATTGAGAAATGATAAGGAAATTGTTGTCAAGGCAGTGAGGAGAAATCAAGTGGAATATGATCATATTGAGAATGAAGAATTGAGAAATGATACTGATGTCTTGGATGCTTTTAATAATTCAATAAATAAGAAATTAAAGATCTAATCAACCTTAATATTTACTTAAGGTAAACTGTTAAATAAAATCCTTGATCAATTCTTCACTCAAATTCCACAATTGATCTTGAAGTTCAACACTCTTTGATAATTCATATTCATTTGCTTTCTTACAATCATCATAATAAGATCCAGATGAGAGTTTTTCCATCTTTTCCAAAGCAAGATAGATTTGAGTTTGGGCTCCACTTTCAGGTGTTTTGAAAAAGTACCATTTCAATCCATTCAACACAAGTGAAACATAATATGGTAAATGTCTAAACACATTGGTATTCACAGCACCTACAGTTCAATAATTTCCAAAAATGAATAATGATGGAAAATGAAATAACTTACCTGGATGAAGACAATAGCATCCAATTTTAGTATTTTCCAACTGTCTAGCCAATGACTTTGTAAACAAAACATTACAAAGCTTTGATTGTCCATAAGCATTCACTGAAGTATCACTCATTGAAATTTCATCTTTTGTAAACTTCAAACTCTTGGCATAAGCATGTGCCATACTGCTCACATTAATAATCTTGCATTCCTTTGAATATTTAATACTGGTATCAATAATGAGTTGTCTCAAATAATGAACTATTAAAAAGTGAGAGAGATGGTTCACTGAAAATGCAATTTCAATTCCTTGTTTGGAAATACCTGTCATTCCACCAATTCCTGCATTATTGACTAGAATATCTAATCTATCGAATTTGGATAGGAATTCTTTTGAAAATTCTCTCACAGATTCCAAATCATCTAGTTCAACTTTCATTACAATTAATTGACCTTTGACTGTTGAACTTTCACTTTCAATTTCTAATTCTTTCTTTTCTTTTTCACTTCTGGAAACATCTCTGACGGCCATCACAACAGTAGCTCCCATTAAATACAATGCCTTGACAGTTTCATATCCAATCCCTCCTTTACTAGCTCCAGTCACTAGCACAACTTGTCCTTTCAAGTTTCCTTGTTTTAAGTGATCGGGGCAGTAAGTACCAAGGAAGAATTTTCTACCCCAATAAACTGCAGAAGCACCCACGACACCAAGCGATAACAATACTGGTGGTGTGGATAATGATTGCAATAGTGCCATTTTTTTTAAGTTTTAATCCCAGACCAGTTGGTGTAAGAGGATCAAAACAGGCAAATTAACCAACAGTTCTGAGGATGAGGTTCAAGTTGGGACAAATCTCACATTTAGAATTGAGAAAAGTTTGCCGCCAAAATTAAATCTTCTCAAAAAAAATGAAAATTTGAATTTACCTTAATACAAAATGAAATGGTGTAAAAATTGGTTCTTAATTGTGTAAAACCCATGAAAGTGTTCGGAATTGTTGAATTAAATTAAGCATTTCATATTTATTAACATCTAACATCTAGAGTTTGCTTGAATGGTGATCCCTTTACTGGGTATCCACAAATATTAGCATAGATCAAGTAGTCTCCCTTTTCAACTTCTGTAGTTCTGATAATAAGTTTGAATCTGTCTCCTTTCGAGTATTCGTCATCATCATTTGGTTGATGATTTTCAGGTCTTGGACACTTGATGATGGTTGGTGAGATGACTTTTCCAGATGGTGATTTAATCTTGATGAATAAGTCCTCTGGTTCATTGTCTTGAGCTGTTTGAATGTCAAATTCCCAATCACCAATTTCAGTCTTCAATGGTGAAATGCCAGGTGTAACATTGAGATGGAATGGAGAACCTGAAATGACTTCACCTCCATCTTCTTCATCACCCAGTGAACAAGTTACAATATATTTACCTGGAACCTTAGGATTGAGTGGAATCTTATATTTACCAGTGTTTGGATCAATGACTGCAAGGTGTTGAACGAGCTTTCCTTCAGGTGTCTTGAGCGTGGCCTTGAGAGGATCACCACCAGAGAGAATTGGATTATTATCCTTATCCTTCATTTGTACAAAGAAGTGACGTGGTTTGGTAGTCTTCATCTTGGATGGATTGTCAAATACTTGACAATTCTTGGCATATGGAGCAAACTCATCATCTCTGACAAAGATTGGAAATGGTGAATCTTTGAGATCTTGGCCATCATGCTTGATTGAAATCAAATGTTTTCCCTTAGCTTGAGGAGTGAATTTAACATCATAGGTACCATTATTATTATCTACAATTGTTAGTGGTACAATACATGAAACTCCATTATTATCAGCAAGATTGGCATAAAATTCGTGTCCACCAACAGAAATTGGTGAATTGTTGGCATCTCTTGGAAGAATAGTGAGATAGGTTGGTCTTCCCTTGTAAGCCTTCAACAATGCTGGACCCTTAACTTGGCAAAGCATTGGGTTGACTCCTTCAGTAACGAAAGCTTGGTATGGGCTGTCAGCAACTGGATGTTGATCTTTCTTATCAACAACACTAATAGAAATAGGGCCAGCCGTAGTTGGATTGTAAAAGACTGTATATTCGGCTGGGGCTGTATTGAAAACAATAGCTGGAATATCTTCTCCAGTGTTTTCATTTTTAACAATAACCTTGAAAGGTGTTGCCTTGATGTGTCTTTCCAATGCTGGTCTAACTTCATCAAGATCAACTGATTTAGAAAAGTCAATAGATTCAACTACTGATTCATCATCTAATTGTAAATCATATTGTGGATTCAACAAATCTGTAAAATAATCTGGTTCTTTGAAAATACTTTTGGCAAGTCTCTTGAGTTTCTTTGCTGAGGCCTTGACTGGTTGCAAGTTTGATTGAAGGTATGGATTACGATTATTGTCAATTGATTTGATCTTGAACATGGCAGGAACGCTATCCTTGGAGAATAAATCAGCTCCATTCAATCCAGGACCGAAAACTCTTGTCAAAGGACAAGATAAAATTGGTTTGTGTTGAACAGTGAAACTATCACCAACTGGAACGCCATCCATGAGAATCTTGGTCTTGTACTTTTGTCCAGCTTTGGTTGGCTTGAAGACAACCTTGAGTTTATCATCTTCACCTGGAACAATAGTTGCTGGAATGAGATTTCCATCATCATCTTCAACTAAGGCAACCAACTTGCAATTCTTTGCTGTTTTAACACCAAATGAGTCGAGAGCCTTAAGGTCAATTTCTTGTTCAATCAAGTTTGGCAATGATTTAACTGAAACAAGTTTGAGTTTAGAGTTTGGAGCAGAAGGAAGAGTTGAAATTTCTACCTTGAATGGACTTTGTGAAATATTTTCATCATTACACTTTACAGAAATGAAGTGAGTTCCAGCTTTCTTTGGTTTGTAATTAACAGTATAGGTACCATTTTGATTATTGGTAACAGTTAAGAAATAGTCACTTGGTTCAACAAGTTCATCTCCACTCAAAATATCAACTAAAATTTCTTCATCGGCATATGGAATAATTTTACCATTCTTATCATTAATTTCAATTGTGAAACTAGTGGCAACACCAGTCTTTAAACCGAAAGGCAAAATACCATTACCTTTGGCAACGCATTGTGCTGGCATGACTTTTTGTTGGAAGGTAACATCAAATGGAGAATTTCCTACTTTTTCTCCTTTGTTTGTCAAAACAGAGAGTTCATAAGAACCAGATGGGCAATCAGGAACATAGCTGATTGTATATGTACCATCAGCATTGTCAACTTGTTGAGCTTTAACTGGGTACTCATTACCAGTATCAGTATCCTTCAAGACAAGATCAAATTGCAAATCTGGAACACTTTGTAAAATGTTAGCTCCATTAGTATCTCTACATTCCACAACAAAGTCAGTAATTTCGTCAACATATAAATTATAAGGTTGAACGCCTTCACCAACAACAATACTCTTGGCAGGATCAAAGATTGAAGCATTTGGAACAGAGTGAGGAGTACCTTGAATACTTTCACCATTGACAACAATAAGTGCCTTCAAATCCTTAGCTCCAACTGGAACTACAAATGAAACATCATAGGTACCATCACCATTATTCTTAATGTCAGGTTCTGGAATTTCTTCGGAAACGTATGGACTGAATAAGTTGACAGTAATTTGATTTTCATCATCTTCAGTACTCTTTGGAATATATTTGTTCCCTTCTTCATCATAGGTGACAATTGTGAAATGAGTTGGTTGACCTGGAATTGGTGGATTTGATTCATCAAAAGCTGGACCTTCAGCAATACATTTTGATGGATCAATTTCTGGACGAATATCTTCAATAATTTCCACAACTGGTTCCTCAGGAACTTCCTCTTCTTCAATTTGTTCTTCTGGATGAAGTCTGTCATAATCTCTGAAATAGGAAATATAGGTCATTAATGAGAGTTCTTCTGGTGAATCAGTAATGTCCTCAGGATCAATAATTTCAGGAATATCCAATTCTTCTTCAGCAATTCTAATTGATTCTCTGTTAATTTCCAATGGTGTAGTATTTACAAAATCAATCTTTTTATATTTGAGTGCTCTTGGTTTCAAAGTACTAATCAAAGCAGCAAGTGCCTTACCATCTTGCCAACTTGATGTGAAATCCTTTACAAGGAACTCACCAGCATATGGAACCAATTTTTCTTGGACCCATTTTAATAATTCCATTTTAGCACTATCACCAGCATTTGTCTTCTTTTGAGGTTTTGTTGTATGTTGTTGTTTCACAGGTTCGACAACTGGCACTGCTTCCTTGTGTTCTTCATTACTTTCCACTTTCACTGGAGGAGTATCAACTTTAACAATAGGTTGTTCTAATAAATTGATATATTAATATCACACTCAAGTTGTAAACTTACCAATTTCCAAAGTTTTTGTAATTTGAAATCTCAAAATTAAAGTCCAAATTAAACCCAAGATTTGTCTCTTTTCTCCATTGAAAACTTGTTCAGCTGAGAATTGCAATTTAATACCCATTGTTTCCACAACTTGATTGATACGATCAATGACTATATTCAAATTGGCAATCTTGTGAAATTTACTCTCAGGATTGTTGTACATTTTACCAAGTTTTTCACCACTGATAATTTCATAAAGAACAAAAATTGGAACACCAGTTTGAACATCATTGATTAAATTCTCAACAAGAGCAATACCTTCACGTTTCTTCAGGTGAGAATTGACCCACTTTGTGAAGGCACGTGTTTGTGTTTCTTCCCAATTCGAATCACTCACTTTTCTCATCGTTTGTTTTGTACCACTCATTCTTATTGTTGTTTGTACAAATTATATAATATTTAAATATTTGATGTTAATCCCAATATTTTGATGATGTTATTTTTCCTTCTTGCTGTGATGATCACAACAAGACAATATTGTTGTTGATTTTTTTAAATAATATTACTTGATGGTTGACGCATCGATGTCAAGTCAAGAGATGTCTGACTTGTGTTTTTATTATTTGTGATGAAGGTGTTGAATTATCATCTTTGTTTCTTACTCATCATTGAAACAATAGATGTAATTTGCAAGGGAAGATTCTCTAGAAAACAAGCAATCTTTGATTGAGTAACTTCCGTCTCTTGTAGTAATTGTTGATGAATTTCATTGCAATTTTCAAATTCGTTGTGGATAAATCTCTTCAATGTGAGAAAGTCTTCCTCAATTTCCCTAATATTAACCAATCAACCCAAGCCTTTTATCAAACAATACTGTTGATTAAAATAAACTTACTCCAATTCACGAGTTGTCCTTTCAGTCAGTGTATGAGCCTCACTCAGAAAGTCTATTATTATTATTGTTCAATGGATGAATTTTGATCAAAGTTATCAAAGGCTTGTTTCTTCTCTTACCTTGGATATTTGTCATGAGTGTGATAAAGCCATTTGCTGAAGTTGTCTCTTCTGCCATTTTTTTGAGTTGTGATTTGTAGATTGAAATTGGTGGGAAATTTTAAAATAGGTTGAAGCCTTAATGATGAATAACAAATGGATGCAATATTAATTGCCATACTATTCGAAATTATTTAAAATTGGGAAGTTTACTGAAAGTATAATTTGGAAAACAATTGTTAATTAAGTCATAACAGCGTAAACAAGTAAAGAGGTGTTGTTGTTTTCTAATCTCGTCCATAATGCATAACAAAACTCCGTAAATGATAATCATTTACGCTAAAAAGTTCCGTTAATTATTTTTCGAAAAAAATGTGCTTCTCTTTAACAAATAATATTTATGATTACAACAATTAACGTGCTACATGGCTCAATCAACACGGAATTGATGTAACACCAATTGATGAGTCCTTTTCGAAATGATCTTTTCTATTTACATTTCTGCAGGGAGAGGAAAATTTACTAAGGGATTAAAGGATCAAAGCATAAATTAATTACCACAGTAGGTGGAGCGCTACATTTCTTGTACAGTTTGAACCGTAAAGCCAACTTATTTAGTGTTATTATTGACCAATTTAAAGGAAGATGATGTGGACTAAGGTGAAAAAGCAAGTAAAACAAAAAAATAGAGAGAAATGGTTTTTGTTCCTTCCAGTTGTAGTCAATTATTGGAAAGCAATGTTGTTGCCCCATCATCACTCAAGATAAGTAGATCTTCCTCAATTGGTGACAATACAGTCGCTGGATTGTTGGATGAAAGTGCAGAATGTGGTGCTGCTACATACTTTGGAATGGATCCATTTATCAATGTTAATTTCGATCATCCACATGTATTTACCAAGCTTGAAGTTAAGTGTCATATGGCATGTTATGATGGCCCAAACAGATTGAACGGAACTGATCTTTCATACAAGTTGAACGATACAGATCAATGGACTCCTGTGCTCACTATCAACGATGTTAAGGGAGGTCACTTTGTTCATATCTATGAATTTGGTGATGGAATCAATGCCAAGTTTTGGAGGTTATCAAAAAAAGGAAATAATGATTTTGCTATCGGAATGGCCAGATTTTATGCCATTGCTCCTTTTACTCCAATCATTACTAAGAAAGGTCAAGTTTATACAAAAGAGCAAGAGCTAGCTCTTTCCACACCAGCATACACAGGACCAGATGTCAATGTAATTGAACCTGTGAAAATTGGCGGATCAAAGATTGGTAGTTGGTCTGGCATTGCCAACACTATTGAAGGTTTGCTGGATGATACCGGTAATCATGGTTATTCAACAACTGGAACTATGAAAGCTCATATAATTCTCAGTTTTGATGCTCCGTATGTGGCAAAATATATTGAATACATGACACATATCAAGTATGGAGACTCTAATCAAATTGCTCATTTGAAAAATATCGATGTGTTCTACAAATCAAAGGATTATGAAGGATGGAAGTTAATCGATATGTTGCCAACACCAAAACCAAATCGCCATATTAATACCATGAGTTTTGGTGGGGACGGACTTGTTATAAAGCATTTGAAATTCGAATTAAGATCAGGAAGTGATGAGATTATCTTTGGTATGTTGAGAGTTTATGCTTTAGCTCCTTATCGAGAAATTAAGACCAAGACTGGAATTATTCCACCACTAGTTAAACCTGTAGAGAGCGAGATTAAACCTCCAGTTGTGTCTTCTCCAGTTGTTGAAACTGTTGTTCAACAAGTTGTTATCCAGCCAAATGTACCATCAACTCCTCCAGTTTCAAATGTTGTTTCGCAACCAACTGTTTCAGTTACATCTTCGCCAGTAATCCAACCTGTTGTCGCTGCTCAGTCAACTCCTGTTTCAACTCCAGTAGCTCAACCAATGATTGAGGAAGCTGTTGTCACAACAACAGAAGTCAACGTTATTGAACCAGCAAGCCTCAAATTCAGTTCTACTTCCTATTCTGATGACAACACTGTTCAAGGTCTCTTGGATGAATCAGCAGGTTATGGAGCTCGTACCTATTTTGGAATGGATTCCTACATTGATGTCAACTTTGATAAGCCTCACATTTTCAAATATATTGAAATTAAAGCTCACTCTAAGGCATCTGATTCTGACCTTAAGCTTAACAATGTTAAAATTTCATGCAAGCTAAACTCAGGCGATCAATGGACAAATGTAACAACCTTAAACGGATTGAATGGAGACCTCCATACCAATACTATTCAGTTAAATGATTTAAAGGCACAATTTTGGAGATTCTCCAAGGGTGGAATGGATAATGTTGTTTTGGGAATGGTGAGATTCTATGGACTTTCTCCATATATTCCAATCAAGACAATGAATGGAACTATTTTAAGAAAGGAAGAGGAATTAGCATTAATGAAACCTTCCTATACAGGAAATGAAATCAATGTTGTGGCTCCATTAAGAATTACAGGATCTAAAACTGACAGAAATGATAATACCATTGAGGGTCTTTTAGATGACACTGCTGATTATGGTTACACCACCGAAAGAGTATATGGAAGTCATATGATTCTTAATTTTGATGCTGTATATGTATTCAAACATTTTGAATTTATTGCATGTCCAATGTACGGAGATTCTCCTCAAAGAGATTATTTAAACAAAGTTGAAGTTCACTACAAGGTCAGAGAATTTGAACCATGGATTCCAGCTCTCACACTTGAAAATGTCAAGATCAATCGAGTCAAGAATACCATTCAACTTGCAGGGGATGGAGTTACTGCCAAATATTGGAAATTCTCCAGACCAAGAGGTACAATAGAACGTATTTCATTTGGAATGTTACGTATGTATGCCCTTGCTCCATACATTGCATACAAGACCAAAACTGGTGAGGTTTTGACTAGAGAGGCAGAGCTCGCAAAGTATGAACCTCAATATACTGGCAATGAGATTAATCTTGTTGCCCCTGTCAGCTTTACTTCAACCATGTTGGATGACTATTTCAATAATACCATTCCTGGATTATTAGATGAATCGGGAATGTTTGGAATGGGTACAACAAATACAGTTCAGCCTCGATTTTCATTTGATTTTGGGCAAGTTTTCAAGTTCAGATATATGGAATTGTTTGCTCATCAAAACTTTGGCTTTAATAGAGGAAGTGAATTCTTGAAAGATGTCAACGTTTCCTACAAGTTGAAAGAATCAGAACCATGGACATTGTTTACAACCATTCAAAATGTTGGGGAGAATGGTGAACATACCTTTGTCAAGTTGAATGGAACCAAGGCCAGATACTGGAAATTCGATCGTCCTCATTCAGGTGATGTGTGCTTTGGAATGTTGAAAATGTTTGCTTATGCTCCATACACACCAATACAAAATCTGATTGGTGTCATTCCACCAAAGAAAGAAATCGGAGCTTCATACCTCTCCACCTATCAAGGTACTGAAGTAAATGTAGTTCCAGTTAAGTTATTGAGCAGCTCTAATCCTCAAATTGGATATGCTGACAATTGTATTAGCGGTATGCTTGATAGCTCTTGCTCATTTGGAGTCTGTGCAATTAATGATTTGTATATACACAAATCTTCAATTGAAATTGAATATGAACAAGCTCACCTCTTTAAACGTGTAGAATTTTTAACTCATTCCCTTTATGAAAAGTCCTATCAAGCTTTGAATGTCAACAATGTCACACTCTACTACAAAGTCAGAAAAGAAGATCCTTGGATTTTATTGACCACCCTTAATAATGTCAAAACTCATCCTAAATTGAATGTTTTACAATTTCCACAAACTGAAGAATATGATGGAACTATAAATGATGGGGTTAAAGCAAGATATTGGAAATTAGAAAGAGGAAATGGACAAAATATTGTCCTTGGTATGTTTAGATTGTATGCTCTAGCTCCATACACTCCAATAGAGACCAAGTATAAGACCATCATTCAAGAAAATGAAAAACTAGATGAGCAATCAATTCTAGGAGACGAAAAGAGTCTAATTGATTATTATAACAAGTTTATTGAGCAAAATCATAAGGAAGTGATTGATAAGCCAATTCAAACTCCAAAACCAATTGATCCATCCACATTGAAAGTTTATTCAGATTCTGGTGATAGTGATATTCGTTTGAGAATTCCAAGTTTGGCACGTCTTTCTGATAGACATGAATTCTTTTGCCTCCTCCAAAACATTCACAGTCAACGTACGGTTGGAAATGAACCATCTTTCGAATGTAACTTTACTCTAACAAAAGTTTACTTTGTTAATTCTTCAAGCACACCTCTCTCTGTAACCAAAATTATGGTTGAGTATAAGGACTCCAACGGAAATTGGGTAGCCATGGATGGTACACAAGCAGGTTACAATGATGGTGTTTTAGTTTTAAAGGAAGATCCATTTTCATTCAAAATCATTGCCGTGAAAGACTATAATCAAGTTAATGAAGTGTTCTTGGACACTTTCAATATTGGTGCAGGTGCCACTTTGGAGTACTTTGTGACTTCTGAATTGCCATGCAAAGGACTTTCCGCTCGTATGAAACCAGCTGATAGATATCTTCCAACATGTTATCCTAATCCTCTCCAAGTTCGTTTAAGCATTGAAGACTCGAAGGGAAAGAAGAGAGAATTGGAAATGACCTATGTTGTTCCTTACTCCAATGATTTGCCTCTACACACTGAAGAATCATTTAATAATGTGGAATTGAATGGTTTGAATGATAGATCTGTTTGTATGGTCTATGACACAGTCAATAGGGTTCAAGCTTTTGCCTATCAATGCATGAATAATCAGAGAAAATTCCTATCTTTGGGAATGGCAGGCCCAAAGGGATTCTTACCACCAAAGAGAATTACTATGCAAGAAATCAAGTACAATTACGAAGTTCAACAACAGGAAAGTGTTTTGATTCATTCTGAGGAGATTTTACCTACCTTTAAGGTTACTTTCAATTTATTGTGCGATAAGGATAACGGTTACAGAGCATATGCTACACATGTGATTGTTAGTTCACTCACTGGAAGAAGTGAAAAATTCTTCCCTATTCGTAACTTGATGAATAAGATTGTTCCACTTGATAATGATACAACAAGAACTTTCTAATAAACACAATTTATTAGTTTTTAGGTTGAGTTTGGTTAAAGTATCTAAACATTAAATCACCTCTCAATGGTTCTTATATTTTATCCCAATTATCTCTAAAGGTATTTGTATTTTGAAATTATTTAGTAAATGCAGGATAATAGAACATCCTAATTACTATTATAAGACAACACCTTAAAACTTTTTGCTGGTCAACCCAAAATTTGCCGACACCAGGGATCGAACCAGGGACCTTAAGATCTTCAGTCTTACGCTCTCCCAACTGAGCTATGTCGGCTTCTCATATGTTTCATAACGTTTGAACATTTTGTTGTTGAATTCATTATCTAACAACACCAAACTTTCTTAATATGAATCCCACTGTTTATATGTACATATTGAAAGTTTTATTTTTTACAAATAGATCTTACAGCTCATTAATATGAAGTTATTCTATTTGAATGAAACATACCTTTTACTAAATTAAACTATTTTCCATATGAATCAAATTCATGTGGTTCACAACGATAATAAGCATTCCACACAATATTTAATAACTTCTCAAAATGTTCATTCAACATTTTAACACATTCAACCACTTCAAGTACATGCCATTCGAATCAACAAATCCAGTTTTGATTGGAATTGATAAAACATTTGGTGGCGGTGTTATTTTTTTGCTTGAGTGCGTGGTTCTTTGGGAAATCTTTTATTAGAGCAAGAAAAGTCCCTCAAAAAAACAACATCACGCTGCGCAACGCAATTATTGTTTTTATATTGAATAGTGTTTATTATTGACTGCGGATTTGTCGCTACCTCAAAAAGAAAATCATCATCAAACCCTCTTCATATAGAAGAAGATTTTATTATTGAATATCACACATAGTATCATCAAATATCGCTGTGTTGAAAATCTATTATTATTGTTATATTGATTATTATAATTATATTTATTGATTAAAAAAATTGTATTATGAATTTAGTCTTCCGAAATTCAAACTCATCAGCGTTTAAACATTCAAAGAATGGTGCTGGATCAGGAGCTGATCTGCTAGAAGATTCATCGACGTTGGGTTCTAATGAAGCTGAACCCCCTAACCCGTCCAAGAATAGGAGTGGAAGTACTCACTCCAATTCATCTTCTTCAAGTGATCGAAGCGTACCTTCAACTTCACCTTCATCATCACACATGGTTCATTCCCATAGCAAACAATCCACTACAACAAATACCAGTCATAAACAACCACATCACTCCCACCATCATCACAAATCTCATAACGATAAGAAGAAGAGGAGAGCTCTCAACTTTTTGAATAACATTCCAACCGAACACGTAAATAGAGATTCCCATGCCCATACACAATCATCTGGTACTATTTTAAAACCAACCATTACTGATAGCAGCAGTGGTGGTGGCGGTAGTAGAAGCCATGCAATAAGTTCCTCACCACCAAATTTGATTACAACAACAACTAAAAGTGCAATCACAAATGTGAGTCCAAGACCACGAGGATACACAGCTAGTAGTAGATTAGAGTCTCCAACAGAAGACAAATCAAACGGTGCCTATACTATTGTGGTGTCATCTACTACTGCCACCACAACCACAATATTGGAAAATTCATCCAGCAATGCAACAAAACAGCATTCTTCAAAACTTACTGTAAATATTCCAAATCCTGAACCAAAAACAATTGCAAATCCGATTGTTGATGGTTCTGAACAAAAACCAATTGAACAAAATGATCAACTAACTTCAAAAACTAAACTTCACAATAACAACAATGACAAAAAACTCCCGGATCATCACCATCATCATCGTTATAATCAGTTGCATCATCCTCATCCCAAACACCATCATCATGCACACAAAACAAAAACAAAAGCTCTTGATTTCCTTTCTAATATTCCAATGAAGAAAGTAGAAAGTTTAGAGAATGTTCAAGAAAGTCAACAAAAGAATGTAACTCAGTTTACTTTGAAAACAAGTAATGGTAATACAAGCACCATACCAAAAACTCTGCCAAAGTTCTTGAAGCAAATTAACACAATGGATGAAGTATTTGATTCAACCAATGAATCTCCAGATATTGAAAACCAAAAAGAAGTTGATGAATCAAATGAAGATGATTATATACGTCGTTTACACTTGATGCAAAAGAATTCATCCATTCCATTTTTGGTTTGTTCTTTCATTAAACCAAAGAAAAATCCAAGTACTTTTCCAAATTCATCTACAGGTAGTACTCCACTTCCAACTTCTGCTACAAGTATTCCAACTCTTTGTTCTCCTGTAGTGGATCATACATTGGTTGATGTCACATTAACCAGTGAGGAATTGATTAGTAAGCAAATGGAATTAGAGGCAATTACTGTTAGCAAAAAACCAACAAGTTATAGATCATATATTTTGGAACCTTTGAAGTGTGAAGCCTATGATCCACTCTTCTTAGATGATCCAAATATTAGAACTGCAAGTAAGAGAAAAGTTATGACTTTCCCTGGTCTTATGACTTCTACCATTCCTTTCCTTAAATCAAAAGCTTTAAAGAAGGATTTGAATGAACAATTTAGACAACAACATGAACATTGCTTGCTAAGTCTTTCAAAAATTAGAAAACTTAAAAGAAGGATACTTAAGGTCATTTTGAAACAAAAACCTGACGAATTGACCATTGCAGCATTAGCTTATGTTTATTTAGAAAAAATGATTCTTAAGAATTTAGTTCACAAAACAAATAGAAAGAGAATTGCAGCTGCTTGTTTATTCTTAGCTTTCAAAATGACTCTGGAAAGTACTCATGAGCAAAGAAAAGAGATGATTTCTGATTTCCTTGACGAAATTGAAAGTGTATTTGAGGTAGGAAGAAAGAAGGTTGTTCAAACAGAATTCTTTGTAATGTCAGAAGGTTTACATTTTAACATGAATACAGACATTAGAGATATTCAACCTCATTTGCAAAGATTATTAGATGAAGATCAAGATAGACAAGTGCTTTTTAACAGATCCCTTAACCGTGTTTGAGAATAGTGTTGTTATTTGTACAAACAATAAATTACGTGAATCTACAAATTTATATTTAATCTAACATTTTTAGCATTGACTGAACTTGTAACAGTGATCTAGAATCTACAAAATCATAAATTAATCGCAAATAAACAGCATACAATACTTCAACAATAACTGCCTTAGATGAAGTTTGTTTTGAACCAAATAAATCTTGTGGAGCATATTGTTGGGATAACTTGTCCAAACTTTGGGAGGTATGTTTGAGAACGGCAAGTGTTTCATTGATAAAGCTCTCAGAGAGAGGAATTCTTCTTGCATTGACTGGCTCATTTGTGGATTCGTTAGATTCCACATCTCCATAATGTTCAGAATACATTGTTATTAAATCAAGTTGAGTGAGATATTCGTGATAGTACATTTTCTTCTTCTTATCTTTCTTTGGTGTTGGAGTTTCAATATCAAGTTGAATTTCAGTTTCACTAATTGAACTAGTGAATTCTGATGTACCAGCTGATTGAGATTCATGAGTAGTATCTTCTCTGATAACTTTCAAACTTTCTTCCATAATTTTCTTGGCTTGTTCATTTCTAGTTCTAATAATTTCAACTTGTTCCATTGTAGGAATTCTGTATGGTACTTTTTGTGAAACTAATTTTTGAACAACTCTCATAAATGTGAAAATTGACCCTAATGACAAAACATCCAATCTCTTTGAAAATGTTTGGCAAACAACTCCTAAAACCTTATCATTAATTTCAGTTGCAAGTGGGAGAGAACTTTCGTGATCTCTGAAAAATAATGGATAGAGAGATTCTTGATTTTTCATGAGTTCACTTCTAACATAGAGTGTTTTAGATGAAATACCAGTGTAAAAATCTTCATTGGCATGAGACGAACCCAATAATAAACTTGTGGAAAGAGTTGGATCCGACTTTGATGGTGTTATAGTTGCATTAATCTTTTCAGTATTATTATATCTTGTTTTAATACCATTAATTTGACTTGCAATAAAAGTCAAGGTCTTTTCATTATCAGGTGTTTCACGTCTCTTAACACCTTCATTATTGTAGATCAGTAAGAGTACAGATTCAATTTTAGAGAGGAATAATTGTTGAGTTTCATCAAGTTTGGAATTGTTTTTAGTTTGGAAATAAACATAGAGACAAATAGGAACATGTTGTAATAATATTAAATCAAAATTATTCTTTGTGCTTTCTCTACTACTCAACAAGTATAAATAATAGGCAACTCTAATATAATTTTCATACAATTCGTAATCAGAATTTGTTGATTGTGTACTCTTTTCACTTGTGAATAAATCTAACAAGAACAAATCAACTTTTTTACAAACATCCTCATTCGATAATAATTTACCAACAATATCTGAAAATTCCTTCTCCAAATCAGCAAACACAATCTTATTAATTGGATTATTTGCTTTATCCTCCGATGATGATGCTTCTAATGATGTAGGTACATTGAGACTCGATAATTTGCTAGCAAAAAATTTCAACAATTGATCTTCACCACCAGAAACAGCCGATGTTGAGGAGGATGTTGTTGTAGTTGTGGTGGTAGTAGTATTGGCTTGTTGTTGTTGCTGAGGTGGTGTTGATGGAGTTGCCAACATTTTTTTTTAATATTTTTTTAATTTTTTAAATTTCTATTTTGAATTGGGAAATGGAAGACGATACTAGTTGACTATTAGCTTGATAATTTGCATTGAAAGTGCAATGAAATGATACAGAATGGTAATGTATCGTTAGGAGTATGAATTTTATGTAAAAAAATTAAACACTTTCTTATTGAAATGATAGAGAAATTGAACAAACAAGTTGAACAATTTTCCTTGTTGTTTCTGTAAATTTTCTTTGATTGGAAATAAAGTGAAAAATTTCACTCTCAACATTTGAGTCAATTATCATGATTCTTACAAATGTCATTCTCCTATCCAAATCCAATTTCGTTCCTCAAAACTTGTTTTGCCTGAGTTCTACCTGACCACTCTATGACAACATATTCCAAACACAACAAATGACAGTCGTCAATGTCAATCACCATTTTCAAAAAAAAATACACGATTGTCTTCTTGGATCAAAACAACTACTACTTTGTTTTGTTAATTGGACCATCCTGTGTGTTTCTTCTGTATAAATAACTCATCATCCATACTAGTAGGTAAATTAATTTTTTACTTTGAGGAGAAGAAAATTAGAAAGTTAACGAATGTCCGTAAGAAGAAAATTTGAAAAAGTTTGGGGTGGTAAAGAAGGAAAAGGGAGTGAAATTCAACAAGATATCCTCTCTAAACAAACTCCACGTATTTCCTTTGAATTAGTCAAGATCAACCGTAGAGGAGCTCGTCAAAAGAGAGAATTAGTTTTTTCTGATGATGGTATTTCAAATATGAAGGGTAAATCAAGACAGTGGTATTTTCATATAACAGATTTATTTGGAATTGAACCAGGACCACTAAATAATGCTTCCAATTCATCTTCTCAAGTTTCAACACCAACAACAAATTTGTCATCAAGTCAATCTTTATCAAATACCAATTCTAATAATAATGGTGGTGGTAAACCAACTCTGTTTTTAAAAGTTATTAAGAAATATCAATTTGAATGTGAATCTGATGAACAATTGGATAGGATTACAAAGGTATTTTATCAATTGTACAGTGATAGATTACCAATTAATAATGCACAACAATACAATGGATATGGAGCATATATTGGTGATTATGTTTCACAAATGAATATGGCTTCTACTTTCAATCCACCATCCAATTCTTCTCCTTCAGGTCACATTACTCCTACAGCCACAGCCATTTCCACAATAACAACAAAAGGAATCGATCAACAATATACTAGTACCTCTACTTCTACTACTATTGGTAATAGTAGTAGTAGTACTACAAATGTCAGTAGTGGTGGTAATTCTTCTACTTCCTCTTCTTCTACTGGTCAATTTGGTGGTCAAGATCATGAAGCTCCAACTTTGCATCAACAACAACAATTGGCTGCTTTTATGGGTAAAAAGATTGGAATTCACAGTTTTGAATTGTTAAAAGTTATTGGTGAAGGAAGTTTTTCAAAGGTTTGTCTTGTGAGAAAGAAGGACACTCGTCAAATTTATGCACTCAAAGTTTTGGATAAATCTGAAATTAAACGAAGAAATCAAGTTGAACACACAATTACAGAGAAGAGAGTTTTATCAAATCATAGACATCCTTTCATTATCAAAATGTATCATTCATTCCAAGCTGAAGACAAATTGTACAGTAAGTAGATATTGAGATTTTTAGTGTGATTTGAAACTTGAACTTCTTTCCCATTCATGTTGAAATTTTAATATTGATAACAATAGTGTGTTTACAATTTATTCCTGGAGGTGAATTGTTCGGCCATTTGAGAAGAGTTCATCGTTTCCCATTGGAATTGACCAAATTTTACTTGTGTGAAGTTATTCTTGCTATTGAATATCTTCATAGTAATGATATTATATACAGAGATTTGAAACCTGAGAATATTTTGTTGAATTCTGACGGTCACATCAAATTGACAGATTTTGGTCTTGCTAAAGAAGGAATTACCAGTGTTGGTGGTAATTCTTCAGGTACAAAAACTAGAACTTTCTGTGGTACTCCTGATTATCTTAGTGTAAGTAGTTATTATCTTTTCTCATGTATTTATTATTTATTTATTATTTAAATATTATTAATATATATTTATATATTTTTAAATATAACTGTTTTTTTTGAATTTAATAATATATTTTGAAACAGCCTGAAATTATCAAAGGAATGCCACATGGTAAAGCAGTTGATTATTGGTCAATGGGTGTTTTGTTATTTGAATTTTTGACAGGTAGATCACCATTCCGTGGTAGCAATAGAAAAGAATTGTACGAACAAATTATTCATACACATCCAGTTTATCCAAAGGAAATTACAGAAGCCACTTCGAGGACTATCACTGTTTATGATGATCCAATCAAGGGTGTAAAATATGCTCAACCAGTTGAAAGAAGTGTTGTGGTTGATTTATTGGACAGATTACTTGTAAAGAAACCAGAAGAAAGATTAGGTGCTAATGGAATTGAAGAAATCAAATCACATCCATTCTTTGATGATATTGATTGGGATTTAATGTTACAAAAACAAATTCCTCCTCCATTTAAACCACCACTTTCTGATAATCCAAATGAAAATCTTCAAAAGATTTTGGGTAATAACATTTCTGAAAATGGAACACTCGTAGCTGATAATTTACTTAATGCTAAGGAACAAGGAATGATTATGCCAAAAACTCCTTTCAAAGCATCTCAATCTCCATCATTTTCTGGATTCTCTTATAATGATCCAGGTGATGCTGGTTACTTGTCGAGTGTTATAGATTCAAATCCTAACAATTCAGATCTTTAAAATTTGTAGATTATAAATTATTATTATTTCAATAATTTTCTTTCCGAATTTCCTCACTTAACCAATTTTTAAAGAGCTAATGATTTGTATTGGAATAATTTAATTTTCAAGATATTTACATAAATAACATTCCATTTCTTTGGGAAAGGGTAAATTCAAATGTGAAACTATATTCTATCGTTTAGAGAAGGTATATTCGATTCCTCTTACAACAATTTTCAATTCCAATTGATTACCCTTCCTCAAGGCAACCACTGATTGATATTCGTCAAGTGGAATCTCCTCACATTTCCAATACTGTTCAGGTCCTGATATTAGAGATTTAAACACAGATTTCTTATGGCACACCATACCAATTCTATTATCTCCATTCAACTGAATTATTCCTGATAACACATCAAGTTTCGATCTTCCTTCTTCCTTCAATAAGCTCCACTCTACAATCTCAAAATTAAACAACCCACCATGTAGTTCAGAGCTAACTATCGATAGAGCAATTCTTCTCTCTCCCCTTGAATTCATATCATGATTGTTCTTATTTACACTATCACTATTACCACCATATTGCACTAAATATTGTCCTTGCAAAATTGATTGCATGGACAATGATCGGCTCTTATTATTGGTTGCAGTAATTATCACATTATCCATAATATTACTACTATCATTGTTACTGCTATCACTATTATAATACATCGTAGTAGGAGTACCATTATTATCCAGTATTATTGTCTGTTGTGTTGTTGTCTTTTTCTTCTTATTGGATGGAGAATATTCAAAAGCATTTCCTTCTTCCGATGATGATGAATAATTATTATTGCAGGTATTGTTATTAGTGCAGCATTGATACATCAAATTCCCATGCTCATATTCTTCATATTCATTCAGAGTTTCAAAACTTTCATAAAATTGCGAAAAGCCTCGTTTCATTTTTTTTCTATTATTTGATCGAAATATTTTGTTTTTTTCCAGGTTACAAAAATAGATCTTAGAATGAACGTGAAGTTTGTGAATACGAAAGAACGAAAATTTTAGTTTTCATTCCAAAAACTGTAAATGTTCAAAAATCTAAATGTTACTTCTATTGAGGAATAACAACACATGTTATTGGATTAATCTATTAAGAAAACAATTGGGAGACTTTTCTGCCACTTTCGAATAGTGTGATGTTTACAATGCGAGTGGAAGAATTGGTATTGGTCCGTGTTGCCAAGTTGACTGAAAACAACAAACTCCACCAAAATTGGCACGATAGCAAATACCAGAGGAACATTTTGGTTTCACACTCCTGCAAATCAAACAGAAAAAAAGCTTCACATCACCTATCCTAATCAATCACATGATTATTCGAAAGTCTCGTTTGCTGCATTTATCCTTCCTTTTACTTGTATTGTTTCTTCATGCTAAATTACAAGTTATTTCTGCCTACGCAACCAAGGACATGACAATTCGTGGAGTAGCCATTCATCAACCACCTTTCGTATTTATTAACAGAAACGAAACTTCTCAAGATGGAAGATATTATGGATTTCTCATTGATATATTCAGAGAAATTACATCACGATTACACAACGTATCACTCGAGCTCTATGAAGTAGAAGATGGTTTATTCGGAAGTAGACAACAAGTCAAAACTTCTGATGGCACTTTACAATATGTTTGGAATGGAATGATTGGAGATTTGATAAGTGGAAAGGCACATGTTGCTGTTGGACCACTTTCAGTTTCATCTGTGAGATATCCTGTGATACAATTCACACCAAGTTATCTGGATACTGGTTTATCAATTTTGGTACCTAAAGCTGACGAATCTGATAATCCATTCTCATTTCTGAAACCATTTTCGTATGAAGTTTGGATTCTAATATTGGTTTCAGTCTTTCTCATTGGCATATTTTCATGGATTTTTGATAGATTATCACCATTTGGTTATTCTAAACTTGAATCTGAAGATAATGACAAGAGTAACTTGACCATATCTTCAAGTTTTCTCAATTCCATGTCAACAATCACAGGAATTTCAGGAGGTGAAACTGGCAGAAGTTGGAGCACGCGTATCATGATGATTGGTTACTTTATCTTTGCCATGATTTGCTTGGCAACTTACACTGCAAATTTGGCAGCTTTTTTAACAACCAAAATTCAGGTAACAAAAATTACTTCACTCTCCGATTTGAGAAAGTATGGATTTAAATTTGGAGTTCCAGCTAATTCTGACCCTGCTGAGTATATTAAAACATCGAATGAAATGGCAGATATTAGAAAGAATATGATTCTTTATCCTGATTTGGATGGTTGTGTGAATGCATTGAGGAAGAATGAGATTGAGGCAATTATTTGGGATAATACAATCGTGGAGTATGTGGCCAATCAGGCTCCTTGTGATACACTCAAAGTTGGTGAGCTATTCGATCAAAAGAATATGGCTTTGGCAATTTCTAGAAATATGACAGCTAGTCCAGATCAGAAATTAATGGAAGATATTTCTGTAATTTTATTGGAATTAAGGGAGAGTGGAGTTGTGAATCGATTGTTTCAATCGTGGTGGGTTGATAAGGGAAGTTGTCATTCTGGAGAGGAAGAAGTCACAATTTCGTCTGGAATTACAATTCATGATTTTTGGGGAATTTTCTTATTATTGATTATTTTCTTTGTGTTGGCTTGGTTGGTTTTGTTCTTTGAGATGATTTTCATTAAAGTGTTTAGAAAGACTGCCAATATTCGAAAGGTCAATAAGGTTATGGGATCTTTAAATGATTGTCTTGGAGGAACTAATTTGGAATCGGATAAAAAAGAAGAAAAACCAACTTTTGGAAATAGGGAAATGAATGTTTCATTAATGAATGATGGGTTTTAATATTTAAAAAAATTATTATTATTATTCCTTAAAAAATTAATATTATTATAATATTAAAGATTAAATAATATAATATTATAATTATTTAAATTAATATATTAAAAAAATATGCAAAATGCAAACAAGCCACAACAACATCAAGTAAAATACTTTGCACGACGAAGGAAATCATCTTCTTCCGATCCTACATTGGAAAATAACAATATTAAATACACTATTGAATATTTAAAGGATGAATTTAAAAGAATTGAACAACATTTCCACGAAGATGATCGGGAATGCTTAACTCTGATAGGGAGAATTAATTTCCTGATGAGAAAATTACCAACCGAATTGATGAATATTTTCTGGTATTATGGAAAGTGTTTTGAGAGGATGGGACAATATGAACAAGCCTTTCGATGTTTTGTTCTTAATTCACACTTGTATCCGACAAATTTGAATAATATTCAATCATTGCAGAGTTGTATTATTGAAGGAAGTCAAGTGAGAGATTTTGAGAGTGGACAATTGGCTAGAAAGACAAATATTGAGGAAAATAGGTCACTAAAGGAATTACAATTAAGACAATTGATGGTTAATCCATCAGATTTTGAATTGAGGGTATTCTTTTTGAGGAAATTAATTGACAAATATTTAGGAGCCACTAAAAGAGATGAAAAGAGAGAATTAGAGTCCCAAATATACAAATTTGTGTTGGACTATTTCAATAGAAAATACATTTCAAAAATTGTAAATATTCAAGCAAATTATTCCATGCTAAATATGGAACAAGTTCAAGAATTTAAAATGATAATCGAGATGTTACAACAAAACAAATTGGAAAGGTACGCTTTGGAGTTGAATAGACTTGTTATCAAGTTGGCTCCATCACTAGATCCGCAATTATTCTTGAGCCAGTATGATTTATATTTGAAATTTGATGACTATTTGAATGCCTTCAAGAGCTATTCTCATTTCATGTATCTGACAGGAAACAATAGTATCGAGAGCTATGCTATCTGTGGAGAATGTCTTGAAAAAGCAGGATATTACCACAAGGCGATTATTGCTTTTTGGCAATGTCACTTGTTACAACAACAAGAATTGATGACATATAGACAACAGGAGCAACCAAAAGATTTCGATTCAGAAATAGATGAAACAACGACAACACCAATCTCTAACAATTCTTCTACAGAAGAAAAAATAGCTCAATACGATAAGAAATCACTAAAATATCTATTTCATATCAAACAGAGCATTGTGCCAAAATTGAAAAGCTCGACAATCCCTCTCACCACAGAACAACAAGAAATAGTGGAACGAATAATACAAATAACAGAATTGGAAAATGATTATTCAATAAATAACTAAGCAGCTGTACACAAAACTTTGGTAGACTTATAAGTCGTTATTCTTGATAAATCTATTTCCTTCACTGTGTTTACCAGTATACACATGTCTAGTATATCCAAAATATGAGTGTGTTTTTTCCTTATCATAATAATCCTTTGCAGCAAGATAATCAACTTTAGGACTATCGTCAGCAGTATCATCCGATTGTTGTTGCAATTGAGAATAATCTGGAGTGACTACTTTACAGAATTTACCTCTTCTAGCTGCTTCTTTTCTTTCTTCATCTGTTACTTGTCGGGAATCCAAAAACTTCAAATTTGGCATTCTATAAAGTACATAAAGTCTGTAATGTTGATAGTCATCAGTATCATTTCCAGTAAATTCATTTGGACAAGCTGGGTTTTTCAGTAAACTCAAGTAAATAAGTTTAGGGAATTTTTGAAGACAAGCTTCAATAGTAGCATCCAAATCATAAATACTATTGTTATTCATCCATAATGTTTCCAGATTTGACAAACTTGGGAAATGTTTAACATCATCAATAGAATTATTATCAAGTACGAGAGATTTCAAGGCTGTAAATCTATTTAAATTTTCCACTCTCTTCAAATTATTAAAACTAAAATCCAATGATTCAATAGAAGCACCAAATCTACTAAACAAGGCCGAAGGAATTATCGAAATGTCCTTTCCTACAAGGGATAAATGTTTTCCACTATTTGTTAATTGGCATCCTTCCAAAGGATCTTGTTCGGCGACGTTTTGTTGTTGTTCTAAAGACATTGTGACTCTGTTGGCTTTGTACAAAATTTATAATAATGATTATTTAATTTAACTGAAAAACACTCTAACAACAAGAATCCTAGCACAGCCTGTTCTCCGATTTTTTTTAAACTCCTAATGGAAGCGGTACCTGGATTTTTTCAAAACTGGTCGCACGATTTAGAGAATTGAACAAATACAATCATTTTACAAACAACTTGAGTTTCTTGGAATTATTACTCACTTTCAATTTTGAACTGATGGTATTTAGCATTGTCTGGATTATGGATTTACCACACTTTGTCGTGTTAATTTTCTTGAAATCTAACAATACTGTGGACTGTAAGATAATATTACTCATTACATGAATTGGATATGGGTCATTAGTACAGAGTATTTGAGGAATCATAGATTTTGATAAGTTTGATTAATGTTTGTAATTCAACTCGTGCCTTTTTCTGATTCGGTTGGACCTGTAATAGTGAAATGAAATGTTGAAAGAAAGTGTGAGATTTGAGTAATGGATCACTTCTAGATTCCTCAAAAGTTTTGAGTCTGAATACAAGGTCTTTGAGTTGTTTTTGAGGGATTTTTTGTTGATTCAAGCAAAGGCGAAGGGAAAGTGAGCTGATTTTTGAAAGTGGGTGTTGCTGGATTTGTTCATGGTAGAATGAGTCAATATCAAGACATAGTCTTTCGTATTTCTCTAGCACAGTCTTATAAGGGGCTTGGAAGAGTGGATTAATTTCTCTAATTGTTTGGGTGATATCAAAATTGGAAAGAACCGCACACTCAAGAAGGTGTTGGTCAATCTTGTCAGAATTAATAAGTGATCTAGGTGGATTTTCAATTACAACAGAATCAAGAACCTCACTGCTAGGATAATTCTTATTTGTTAGATTGAGTATTTTGATATGGTGATGAACAGGGCACTTCATTTCAAAAGCTCTATATTCATGATAATTAATTGTTGAATGATTTTCAAGAGAAATAAATAGCAATCCCTCATAAATTTCAGGATTAAGCTCTATTACAGTTTGAGAAAGAGAGGACATCCATTCATTTTGTTCTTTCATTGATAGGAGTGAACATTTTTCCAAATCCAAGGATGCAACTCTTTCTATCACCTCCCAATTCAAATTCTTTCCAGTTTCTTCATATTCAAATACATTCTCTACATAGGTCTCATTTTTAATGCTACCAACAAACATAATGCTATTTCTGGTCGTATTCCAACAAAACATAAAAGTACTGGTTCTATCGGTAGGATTTTTCATTCCTAGATCATTAAAGCAGTCCCAAAAATCTTTCCTCCAACATGTATCTTTCCTCCTCAAATAGATTGTATCTTTCCAGTCATTAAAATCCAAATCTGGGGAAGCTAGTACCCAGTTATCAGATGCAAAAAACATATTTACATTCTTTCCAAATGGTTTTTTGAAGCATCTGTAGTATTTGACCGAATTGAATAAGAATGCGTTGATCTTTTCTTGCTCTACAGATCCAACCCTCTTTTCAAACTCTCTCACATCAAGTAATTGAGGTCTCGGAAGGCAAATAGCTCTGTTCGTTCCTTCCATTTGTTCCACAACCAATCCGTTACATTGTCGAATATCTTCTCTTTTGAAATATAGGAGAGGATTTTCAGATCTATGAATGCGAGGATCTAGTGAAAACTCGAATGTGGTTTTAAGTGAGTCAAATGGGTGAACCCTTAATGAGAATAATCTTGAAGAGCTACTTGTTCCTCTGTACAGAAAATCTAAAGAGTTTACAGCAACACTTCTATTATCCGTGTTGGATATATGTAAAAACTCATCGGTGATTTGTTTTGATTCCCTTAAAAAGGATAGTATAGCTAGTTCTGAGCTATTTCCAACAAGTAAGGACTCAGCCTTATCCAAAATAAAATTACAAAGAGATTCAAATTTTTCTTCAAGGTCATCATAAAATTTCTGATATTCTTGTTCATATTCCTTCCAAGAGGTATAATTTTGCGTCTTGACAAACACTTGCTGGTAAAAGTCATTGGTTTCTGAAAAGTCAGATACACTTCCATGAATCAGGATTTGGTGAGCAAACTATAAAGTTTAAATATGACTATCTTCAATGAAACATACCCTCAACAATCTGTAACCGTGACAGATATTCTTCTTGACTTTTTTCAATGAAGTCTCATCCGTTTGTGAGCTCTCAATGTATGAATTCCAAAATCTAAAAGATTTGTTCATGGAATAATTTAACTCGTGAATGAAGGCATATTTCAGCCTTGGAATTCTTAGAAAATAATTTCCAAATTCTCTTCTCCACCTTCTCATTGAATCCTCTTCGTAAATGACAAATCTTTCGTCTAATTTCTCCTCACAAATAAGTTGCAACAGCACAGGTTGATGATAGTTCACAAATGAAATAAAGTATTTAGTATTAACCAAAGACACTTCAAATTCCACTTCCAACTCTTTTCCATCAAAAGTTTTAATTGGTAAATCAAAATATAATTTAAATTGCAAATCAGCAGCCAATCCACCTTCACTAAAATTCCTAGAAACCATCTCATCACACACTATTATTAAATCAAAATCGGAATCATCCAAATATTCCAATATTTCATCATCTTTTGTTTGAAACTTTAACTTGGAATAAGTTTCATCTAATACTCCATGTTTCCTACAAAAGTAAACCTGTGAGCCGAACAAATAAATACCTCTTATCAATTCTCTATTGAATATCACTTGATTTTCTTCTTCAAATCCTTCTAGTGCCTTCTCCACCGATCCGACAATCGGATCAAACAATGATTGTAGAGTTGGCAACATTTTTTTCTCTTCATCTTTTAATCATTTCGAAATTGCACCACAACACATTGAGAATACTTTTTCTTTTGCGAATAGCCAAATTGATATTTTTCTGTAGCCATGAATCGGCGCCACACTTTTTGCAATTCTTGCCAACACTCGAACCGAGCCAATTTTCACAATATTTTAAAAATCGAACCGTTTCAATTTAAAAATTCATCAAAAAAAAGCGCGCCACTTGTTGTGATCAAAAAACACTCTGCCGCTCAGAACACAAGAACAACAAGCCTTCTTCTTTTTCTCTCATCACAACAAGGAATAATATTTCATTGTAGCGCTCTATATTAAACACGAGTCAACAAAATGTTTCCGTCCTTTTCGTTAGATTTTGATAATGACAAACTAGTAACCCCAACACCAACACGTGCAATCAATATGGATTTGTTTGGTATTGACGATGAAGAAGTTATTGTAGAGGAGGATAGCAAAACCCGACTTGATCTCGAGTCAGGCTGGTTTGGTATTAAACAAACAACAATAACTCCTCACAATATGATTTTATCTAGTAATTCTCTGAATGATTCAACATTTGGTATTACTTCCGAGCTTAAGACAAAATGTTCATTGACCGATGAAAATGAAATTCCAAAATCCAACATGCAAAAGAGAAAGAGAAATTTTGCTAATGATGATAGAGAACCACTTAGAAATATTTCTAACAATTATTCATCTTCATCATCATGTGATATGGCTCCAAAAACTAAAAAGAAGAAAATTGTAGCAATAGATTTGGATGATAGGAGAGCAGGAAAAAGAACTTTATACGTTTCCAATGAGCCTTCTCATTATCATTCTATTGAGGCAGCATTAGCCAATGCTTTACCTTATGATACTATTCAAGTAAGTCCGGGCATACATAAGGTATCTAGTACCATAACAGTAAATGTCGAAGGTGTACATATTACAGGAGAAAATCCAGCAAATGTGAAAATTATTTGTACACAACCTGTTCCCCTAATGTCTGTAGTGGAAAATTACGTGACACTTTCTAACTTGGCCTTTTATCATGACTGTAGCTCAGAGATTGATCCAGCAACAAGCAGTAGAAATACTGGATTGTTAGAAGTAGACGGTCCTAGAGTTGAAAATTCATTCCAGACCCAGATCCTTAATTGTTACATAATGTCAAGTGTAGAACATGGTTTATACTTGACTGGCTTTGCAGAGCCAATTATTGCTAATTGTTCCATTATGGATTGTACAAAGATTGGTATTTTATTTTGCAAGAATGCTAGTGGTATTATCAAAAACAACAAAATATTAAGAAACAATTATGAGGGTGTTACTTGTAGAGGAAAGTCTCATCCAATACTTAAGAATAATGATATTTCTGATGGCAAATCTGGAGGAATATTCATTCGTGATAACTCTCATCCACATATTATTTCGAATATTATTTCTAACAACAAAAGATCTGGCATATTTGTATCACATAAGGCCAAACCATTTATTTCGAGAAATGAAATCCACAACTGCAAGGAGAATGGTATAGTTCTCAAAATGGATGCTGGTGGAAAGATAGAGGAAAACGACATTTATCAAAATGCCTATCCAAATGTATATATTACCGAGGATTCTGATGCTGAAATTGTTAATAACAAGATTAGGGATGGTCTTTCTTTTGGAATTTGGGCCAAAGGAAAATGCTCATCAGAAATTAAGAATAATTCTATTTATGATAACTTTGGAAAGAATGTTTTGGTATCTGAGTTTGCCAAGCCAAGCTTCCATTCTAACACTATTTATTTTACAGGCACAAAGAAACAAAATGAAGAATTACGAGGTATTGTGCTTAAGGATCTTTGTAAACCAATATTCGAGTACGATCACATTTATGGACACACATCATCTGGGGTTGATGTTGGAGGAAGAGCAGGACCAATTTTGTGTTCATGTGACATTCATGACAATACAAAGAATGGAATTCTTGTTAGAGGTTATGCAAGTGCTACAGTCAAAGATTGTTCAATTTACCAAAACAATAATCCAAATATTTTATCAGTTGACACATCCGAAGCAAAAATAGAGAATTGTAAAGTATATAATGGAAAGCAAACTGGCATTTCAGCCAAAGGTAATGGTACTCTTAAATTACAAGACACTGAAATTTACAGCAATCAATTTACAAACATCAAACTGGGAGGTAGTTCAACAGCTACCATTTTTGGTTGTAAAATCAGCTCAGGAAGACAAAGTGGTATTTGGGTGAAGGATGATTCACGTGGTAGTATTGATAGATGTACTTTTAGTGGAAATAGAAGAGAAAATATTCTTATGGAAATATCAGGCAACATGAATATTGGTTCACATAATGTTTATGATAAATAACTTATTGTTTTTCTAATAATATAACTTTTTCTTCTAAAGAGTCTATTCTTGATAAGAGAGTTGGTATTAAGGATGCATAATCAACTGGTGGTGGTTTTGATATTTCTTCCAGCTTCTTCTCGAATGATTTCATTTGGTCACCCACTCCTTCTTTGAGTTTGTTTAATATTTGTACTGGGTCTTTCTCTTCTTCGTCTATCTCTTCCATTCCCATTCTCTGTTTGATGACAAACAGTTCTGAATCCATGTTCGATAAGGCTTCCTCCTGCGAGCTTTCGAGATGTTCTTGCATCTTTGCCAATGATATCTTCATTTTCGATTCCAAGTTTGCAAAATCCTTCTCCTTATTTATCTTTGCTTGATTAATGAAATTTTCAAACTCTTCCAAAATCTTCTTCTCCGTCTCTCCAACTTTCTTCATTGAGAGTTCATTTTGATTAGTGAATAATGTTACAGTTTCTCCTAGTTTTTTGTAAATATCTACATTTGAGATTTCCATCTCAGACACTTTGTGATCCATATCATCGAGTCTTTCATGTGTTTGGAAAGCTATATTTGAAATCTCTTCCTCTATTTCAATTAACTTGGTGTCATAATCGCTTTGATTTCTCTTCTCCAAATCGCTTCTAATGTCTTTAAGCTCTAAAGACAGGGTTGCCACTTTTTCAGAAAATTGTTGAATAATTTGATCCATTCTCTTATTTAAATTCTTATTTAAATCCCCTAATTCTGATGATGATGGAAGAGTTTTCATTGATTTGAAATGAAGTAAATAACCCTCTTCAAGGATTTGTAATTTGGCCATGATCATAATCTTAAAATCCCTAAATTGTTCCCTTATTCTTTCAATATCTTCGGCAGAGTCCTCTGTTAATCTAATATTTTGTGATAGAATTGGATCCGATTGTTCATTTTGTCTTGGGGGTGTTATTGTACTAGGTGATGGAGTTGGTAGACGAGGAGTGGAAGGAGGCGATAGTACAGTATTTGGTTTTATGGGGGTGTTAGGATTTGATTGTTTTCTTGGCGATAGTCCAACCATATTATCAATGATTTTCATCCTCTCCTTGTTGAAGTCTTCTTCTGATAAGAATCCTCCATCTTTCATACCTTTGATTACCCTTAATCTTGCAATTTGAAACTTTTCAGGTGATGTAAGGGTTCGGCTCTCTTGTTGCATTTTTTTTGGATTGTGTGGCGCTATTATCTTACCGTATAATTGTACAACAATCCTCACAGCACCAATTCACTGGATTGTGACATACAGCTTTGCTGACAATCATTTTAGTCAATTGAATACAGAAATTCTAAAAATACAACATCAAAACACTTGTTATCCATATAACAGACCTTATGGCCTCTTTCTTTTATTGTTCTGATCAGTTTTAAGGTTATTTCTTAGAAAATCAAACTGGTCACAATCAATGATAGCTTGATAGATATGATAGGGAACTAGAACTTTGCCCTCCTTTTCTTTAAATGTTTCATGTGTTGATTGTTCCTTATAAATTGAGACGGAGTGAGAAAGTAGGTTGGAAGCAAACTTTTTAAACAATCCATTAAATAGATTTTCACAATCCTTATCCTGAAGTTTAAATCCACATTCATCTAAAATTGAAGTTATTCCAATATCTTCGCTAAAATCCACTTGTTGACCACTTTGTGAGGATAAGCAAATATTACATGGTGTATGAGAATCTTCTCTACTTAGGATTTCCTCTAGCGAGTGAGTACACGAGTTGGCTAAATGGTTTGTAGATGAAGGTATTTTCATTCTCTTTCTACATCTGTCTTGAAGATGATCGAAATCATTTTGTTGATGATGAGAGCCACAATATTTACAAAACCTAGGGCTCTCAATCACTTGATCCTTTTCATTTAAATCTATTTCGGTTTGATTATTTACAATTGGTGATAGACCAGTACATCTACATAATTTAAAAATATTGGAGGTTGTCAAGGAGAAATTCGAATCTTTTTCCAAAAGGTATCGTTTAACATGTAGAGCTCGTAATTTTTCAGCTGCTAACCTTTTCCCTAAGGTCCATTTGGTAAATGTTGATTCGGTTGCTGATAAATAAGGAAGTTCCATATTCGACTCTTTGATGATCGGAAACATTTGGCAGGTCTCTCTGACTTGAATTTCCTCTATTGTCAAACTCTTAAACAATGTCGTTGGATAGGCTTAACATTTATAAATATTACTATTGATGATGGCGAAAACTTACTGAGTACATCAGGATCAGAACTAATTGGAGGAAAGGGTGTATCTGGTATAAAGAAATTATAAGATGATAATATTTCATTATTGATCTAGTTCTACACAAATATATCAAATAAACCTTGAATTACTACTTACAGAATTTTCATCAACTGCCTCTGCTCCAGTTGATCGTTTCTTCTTTTTTGAAGGTGGTTTTGTTTTGGCTTTGACATGAACAACTTCATCATCAGCAAATTCATCATCAGAGTTGATAGTAAGCCTTTGTTTAACTTTTTTTTCTTGAGCCTCAGTGAAAGTGTCTGTTTCGGCTAAAGCTTGTTTATCCAATTCAATATCAGCAATAGTTTCAGTAGCATTCACAATTTTACCAGTCTTGGCTTTATCTAAACGTAAGTTATGTACAATTTCCAAAGGTTTGTTAATATCAGTATTTCCTTTAAAATGAAGTTGAATAATAACTTGAAACTCTCCATAACCTCTTCTTGACAAGTGAAAAGGAGGATGATGTACATCAATTACATCATTTGGAGCAAATGAAGGGTCAATAGTTATTCTAGCCTTTTTTACGAAACTACTAATATCTGGTTCTTCTTTCGAACCTCTCACATAAACTGTCCATTTGTGTGTATAATCATCACCTCTAAATTTTTGTGGAATAAATTGAGATGTATTTCCAATGACAATCCTCTTACGAACATAATTAGCCTCCTTGTAAATTAATTTTGAATTTAGAAAATTAGAAAATAAAATCATTTGATCAGTGTTGACTATCATCATTATTACCATCGGAACAAGATAATCAAGTAAACAACTTACAAGTGCCCCAAACTTTCTTCACAACTTCTAATTTTGTTGAAGCTTCCTTTAATCTTTCATTGATCAATTGTTCTTCCGCAATTTTTTCCTTCAGGGTTTCGTCGTAGTCAACAACTTGTATCTCCACCTCTTCATCAGACATTTTTTATTCTTCTTTCAACACCAACATTCCCGCATAATAATTTACAGTTCGGCCAATAACAAAAAAAATGAGCCAAAGTACTTCGAGAGGTGTATCACCTAACTCTCCTTCACCAAAATCTCCAAGCACACCATCTTCTAGAAGAGGTGTTGCTTCTACTTTTGTCTCCTCGGATCATACACCAACAAAAACAAAGAATACTCCCTTAACGCCTAAAGATAAAGAAGCTGTTCAAAAAATTAAGGTACAAAAAAATATTCCTTCGGGATTGATATTAGCTGCAAGTTATACTTCAGCAGAAGAGCTAATTGAAAAAAACTTACTTGAGGTGGATGAAGAACAGAAAATATCCTTGACATATGAGGATATTAAGGATCTGTTTAGAGCAAAGTGTGCAGACCAAAATTTACAGTATATTCAAGAAAGAGAGGATAGATTTGTTGATTTGATTCAAAAGAATTGTAGTGGATTACTATTCTCCTTGAAGGAGCATGGACTGGGTGACGAGGCAGCAAAATCACTCACAAAAATTCTGTCCAAAAACAACACCTACACAATTGTGGATTTATGTGGTAATAGATTGAGAGATACTGGATGTATTGAACTTGCACCCCTTCTGGAAAATAATACATCCATTGTTAGATTAGATTTAAGATCTAATGATGTTGGAGGAAAAGGAGCAAAGGCCTTATTCAATGCTCTTTTATTCAATCAAACATTAACAAGTCTGGATTTATCTGGCTTGAGTGGTATCAACAGAAATCACATCAGCACCAAAGGTGCTAAGCACTTAAGCGAGTTACTTCAACAAAATCAAACATTGTGCCAACTTAATTTGGCAAGTAATGGTATGGGAAGCGATGGTATAAGAATTCTTTGTAGAGGATTAGTGGATAATTTTTCTTTAACTGAATTAGATATCTCCTCCAACAATATTGGAAGTGCTGGTTGTGAATTTTTGGCAAAAGTTCTTGATAGCACCAACCTGCAAAAGTTGATTATGGAGAGGAATCAAATTGGTGACAAGGGTGTTTCCATAATGTGTGATAAGATGAAAAACATGTTAACCCCCACGCTTACCTATTGGGATTTGACAGAAAATAAGATTTCTCATGAAGGTGTTCTTTCGATATGTGAAATGTTAAAAATTGACAAATGCTTGAAAACTTTAAAAATTGAGTGCAATGAGTTTGGTGATAAGGGAGCCGAAGAGTTTGCACAATTATTGGAAATTAACAAAACTTTGAAGAAGCTCTTCCTAGGAGAGAATGCTATTGGAGATGAAGGAGCAAAAGAAATCGGAAAGGTTATGGCTTTAAACAAAACTCTTAAAACTCTTTTCCTGAACAATAACCTTATCAAAGACTCTGGTACAAAGAGAATTATGATAGGTCTCACTGATGGAACAAAACTGAAACACTTGGATTTGTCATTCAATCGTATTGGAGATAGGGCAGGAGTAGAAATTGCAAGAGTGTTGGCAACAAACCGATCACTAAAAACCTTGAATTTGAAACAAAATGAGTTGAAGGAATCTGGAGAGCAAATTGCAGAAGCAATGAGAAAGAATTTTAGTTTGACCTCAATGGACTTTTCTTTCAATGACTTTAGTTACAAGAGCTTTAGTTTCATTTCAGAGGCACTAAAGAGAAATGACAAGCTCCTAAAATCATCTGAGGTTGACAGACTAAAGAAAAAGATTGAGGAGCTTCAAGATACAGAACAAAGATTAATCGAGGTAAATGACAGCCTCACTCAAGAAAAAGAGGAGGAAGTTGTATTGTACAAAGAATTGGAAGAGTCTGAGACGTCTCTTTCCAGGGTAAGACATAACAGTCAAGCACATTTAGAAAGCTTGCAAGATGAGCTAGAATCCAAAAAAGCAGAAACCTTTGAAACAGAAAAAAAGTACCGTTTCCTAGTTGAACGATTTGGAGACGAAGAAGACTTGTTTGTCGAACAACTTAGAGAAATGGACGAGAAAACAGAATCAGAAAGAAGAAAGGTGGAAGATTTGAGAAGAACAAAAATTGCTCTTGATAAGGAAGTGACCGATCAATTGAAATTATTGTCTAACGAAACCGCACCACTTTTAGAACAATTACAACAAGAGGAGAATAACTATAATAAGGAAAAACAAAAAAGTGCTTCCTCAGAAAAGGAGTTATACTCTCTAGTAAGAAGAATCCAACGATTAACTGAAGAATTGAATCCTGAACCAAGCACTGCAAGAAGTAATTCAACGTCAACAGGAGCACCATCCTCAACAAGAACCACAAGAAGGCCTAGCGTAAATTCAACAACCTCAACAAGACCAAGGCAGGCATCAGCTCCAGTTAGACCACAAACATCATCTTCTTCTAGACCACAGTCAACAAATAAATAGAAGAATTTTTGTACGTAAGCGATTATTTCATTTCGACAACATTGAAACAGTATTTTAATTAAAGCCAGTGATTGTTGGAAATGGATATTAAGAAGAATTTCAAAGTGAATGTAAGCCGTCATAGCTCAGTTGGATAGAGCACAGGACTTCTAATCCTGGGGTCGTGGGTTCGAGCCCCATTGTCGGTAATTGTTTTGTTGTTTTCTTTGGAATACGTAACATTATTAGCTAATTTGAAGAAAGATTGTTTCAATGATATTTTATTCCTTGATTTTTACAAGTTGGAAAGAATTTTCATAAGACTTATTGGAAGCTCATAAAATATTCCTTACTCGATAATCAATTCCAGACGCAGTTAATCAGAATATTAAAAACACCACTCTCCGCTTGTGGCAGTCACAGTTGAGATTTGTTCAACTTGGCCCAAGCGCTTAAATATAGTTGTTGAAATGTGCGTTAAAAGGACGCTACAATTAATGCTTCAATCTCTTGGCGCTCATTTGATGAGCCTTGAAAAAGGTGGACAATTAAATCATAAAACTCCAACAACTTCTTTAAAAAAAGAATAACAACATCAATTCAATCGGAAACAATACACTTGGTATTTTGCATAGAGACACTACCATCAATACACATTGTTTCATCTCCTATTTTTATTGCTTTTAAATTCATCTTCATCAATAACTAAAATTGTATATACAACAAGAATAACAAGAATGGCTAAGGAAGAAACACAAGCTTTTATACCCACAAAAACAATTGATTGTTCCTTTTCGGATGTTCTTGCAGTTATTTGCATATTGAGCATTCTTTTCCTATTTACTGTAGCAGGTATCATTGTTGGTTCATTCTCAGCAAAGAATAATGACTCTTGCTCGAAAACTCTTCCATACGGAGACACTCAGAGTTTTACTCTCCAATACAATACTAGTACACTGAGTACAATTTATATAACTGGTGACACCAAGACATCAATCTACTTTGATCCATCTTTAAAGAACAAAATTGAAGTCACCTTTGAAAGAACCTCACTTTTAGATAAGACCTATACTAATATTAATAATTCAGTGTATCTTACAACAAATGGTTCCGATTATATTACAATCTCATCAAAGATTCCATCTACTGATTTTACAAATTGTTACTTTGTTTCGAGAATTATTAGAATTCCAGCTACTTTGACAACAATTAGTATGCAAGCTAGCGTTTATGCCAACAATTTTTATATCGGTCCAGATCCAAGCTTAACAAATTCTACAATGTTATCAATTAAGGCATTGACTATTATGGGAGGAACTAATCTCTTGAATATGACACAAATCCAAGCAGGTCAATTTGTTGTCAGTGGAAGAAAAGGTCAAATTTACTTATCAAATATCTTTGCTGCTATCTTTGTCACTTCAACAACAGGTGATATTTATTACAAGGATTTGAGCTCTGCTGTTTCTTTGAAATTATATACTTCTAAGGGAGCTTTGGAAGGTTCAAATATTCAAATGTTGGGCTCTTCAGGAAATGTCACACTTATTGCTAACAAGAAGAAGCAAGTTCACAATGGTATCAAGGGTGCTAAGGTTCTTGAAGTTGGTACTGTGGAATCAGATATTGATGTTACATTAGGAAAGGATGATTTTGTAGGAGAACTTCAAATTCAATCACCAAACTTGGATACCAGTGCCATCAGTCAAACATATCACACTGTTACCCAATATTCTTCACTCACTTCTAGAAAGAATTATCCAACCTCATTTGGTGGAGATGCTGCTGAAATATTTACACCAACCTATGCTGGTTACATTGGTGATGAATCTAATTCTTACTCTCGTCTTTTGAAACTTCGTTTCAAAACATCTGGTAAACTCATCAAGTTGTCTGTGTAAATAAATTTCAAACCATAAATTCAAAAAGATTTTTTGTTTAGATAATATGATTTTTTGCTTAAACTATAGGCACAGTTATATGGTAAATGGCTGGACAGCTTGCTTAAATCAGAGAGCACGTAGAAGTAAGTGTACTCTGATAACCTGTCTATGTAGCCTTTAGAAATCTTCTTAATCATTTGAAGGATTTAAGCGGTAGGGTATCAAAGTTGACGATACTACTACCTGAACGAGTCCCTCACAAACTTTTTTCATTATTTGGAGTTTGGGTAACGAATTTCATTGTTTATTCATCAAAATATTCTGTACTTTCATCCGATGTATGGTAGGAATCACTCTCCTCTGAACCAATAGGAGAAGCTGCTGGAGATGCCATATATTCTGGAATGTCATTATCGTGAATCTGGTTCTCTTGCTCAGCTGGTTGAAAACTAGAAGTGATTTCTACAGTTGGTGGAAGTTGGAGAAGAGCTCTGAATGCAACATCCTTACTTCCAACATTATCTGGCAATTGTGAAATAGTCTCTGGATTATGAATCAACTGTCTAAATAAATGGCAATACTGAAACAGTGTCATACAAATGGCTAACGAGCTTGAGCTTGTTTTCTTGATTTCTAGAATGCTCTCAGAAGTAAAGGAAGGTATATCATTGTGATAGTAATTACAAATGGATGACGGCTCTCCACAACTGAATGCCCTTCTCACAACCTTTTCATTGAGTAAGAGCTTTCTATCCAGGTCCAATCCTGCTGTGGTCGATGAAGATTGAAGGAAGGTTGAAGCATTCTTACCATGCCACACATAGACACAATATGAAAATCCGTTCAAGCTCTCCCCAAGAAGTGTAAGTTTTTCTCTAAATCCAATATTAGAACATTTCGAAAAGAAGAAATTCTGCAAATCATTCACACAAAACCTATTTTCCAATCCAGGGAGAGTCAAATTAACTGTGGATGCTGCTAACTGAAGAAGTGAATGACTTGTTAATTTGATGGCCTTTCTTTGATTATCCTGATTCTGAAATTCTTCACCCTTATTAAATGTATGTAAAACAACATAGCAATGATGAGGATTGAAAGATGAAAATTCCATAGTAAAATTGAGAGGACTCACAACACACTGATCAGATGATGATTCCTCAAACTTCCAAATTTTGATATTAGAAGAGAAGAAGTTTTGTTCCCTGTAGGGATAGTCCTTAAACAAGTCCTCTATTGTTTGTGGTTTCTCATCTATTGAAACATGATTTCCCATTTCCGATTCCTCTCTTTAAATAATATACAATTTGATTTTTAACTAGTTGTGATGATGTTATTCAACACCCTTCTTAGATGATTTTTTTCGATTAAACTTAAGAAAAAATTGAAAGTTTTCCTTACTCTAGACTATTACCCATTCCTCAAAGGTCTCAAAAACCCTTATTGTTCAATCTCTCAATTAGCCGTTGTCGAATTTCCTGTACGGACAGCTTTTTGATGAGAGTGAAACAAATACGGAGCAAGAGAACAAAAACGTTACGTGGATCATTTAAAAATCACCCAACAATTTTATTTTTAAAAAAATACATCTAAACCTTCATCATCACACCATGCAAGGATTTTTGAACAAGACCAAGCAGCTTGCTAATGCTGGTCTGAATAGAATGGAAGATGCTGTAGAAAAAGTTCGTCATCACGCTGTTTCCAATTTACCAACATCAGCATTAAATTTTGGAGAGGATTTAGTTGAAGATAGTGGAGTTTTTTCTAATTTGCCTGTTGATGTTCCAAAGACAATTGAAATTAACGGAGAAACCTATAAAATTACCAAATTATTGGGAGAAGGTGGTTTTTCCTTTGTTTTTATAGTGAAGAATATTCAAACCGGAGTTGACTATGCTCTCAAGCGTTTATTAATCCAAGATTCTTCACAAAGTGTACAAGCAAAGAAGGAAATTGACGTAATGAAGAAATTGAACAATCACGAAAATGTTGTCAAACTCATTGGCGTCAAGGAAATTCAAAACAATAGAACTAACGAAATTTATATTCTTATGGAACTTGCTGATTCCGAAGTTGTCGGTATGATGGAAGAAAGACTTAACCAAAGATCCAAATTCTCGGAACAAGAAATTTTGAACATCTTCTTTGATGTTTGTAAAGGTGTTGCTCACATGCACTCCCAAAATCCACCAATGATTCACAGAGACTTGGTAAGTAATTATATTTTACTGTTGCAATTTCTAATAGTAATTGTTAGAAAGTTGAAAATATTTTGTGTACAAACGGAACCTACAAGATTTGCGACTTTGGATCAACAACCACAAGAATTTATACACTCTCATCAAGAGCTGAAAAACAAGAAGCTGAAGAGGACATTCAAAAGAATACAACTTTGGCCTACAGAGCTCCAGAAATGGCTGATCTTTATAGTGGTGATCCAATCACTGAAAAGGCTGACGTCTGGGCCTTGGGTTGTGTCTTGTTCAAGTTGTGTTTCTTCAAGGGACCTTTCGAAGATGCCGAAAGTTCAATTTCTGTCATTAATGCCAAGTACAAAATTCCACCATCTCCTGTTTACTCACAACCAATTATTGATTTAATTAAGAGTATGCTTGTTCCAGCTGTTAAGGATAGACCATCTGTTTTTGATATCACTGAAAAAGTTGGTAAATTGCTCGGAAAAGAAATTTCAATGCCAAGACCAACACAAAGACCAATTTTGACTCAAAACACTCAATCAAAGAGCTCACCAGTTTTGACAAAGCCAACCACTCCAAAACCTCAATCTGGAGGTGCTGGTGGTGGTGATTTGTTCTCCCAACTCGACTGGTTCAGTAATGATGGACATGCTCCTTCCCAACAACCAACTCAACCTGTTGTTACTCAACAAATTCAACAACAACCAAAATCTCAATTCATTGCAAGAAAGACCACTACTCCACAATCACCTGCTGTTGTCAAGAAACCAGTTTTCCAACAACCTGAAAGTTTCCAAAATTCATTTGGAGATGACAATTGGGATGCTGATTTCTCTGATTTTGAGGCTCCATCGAGCACTCCGCCTGTCCAACAACCATCTACCCCAAAGGTTCAACCACAAAAAGTCCAAAAGTTATTAACACCAATTCAAACTCAACCAGTTTCTCAAAAACCACCACAACCTTCTGGAGGTGGAGATTTATTCTCTCAACTTGATTGGCAAGAAGCCAGCTCACCTGTACCACAAGCCAAGCCTCCTACTTTGATGACTCCTCAACCACAAAAAGTTCTCCAACTTCAAAATGCCAATATTCACAAACGTAGCTTGAGTGAAAACTTCTCTGATTTGGCACTTTCTCCAACCACTCAAACTCCTCAAAGACCAGCCACAACTTCTCCTCTTTTACCTCAATCTTCTTTGAATAGTGAAGGACGTAGAATGGTAGTAATGAGATCGACCACTATTGCTCCAAGACAATCTAGACCAAGTCAAATTTCAATGATTTGTAACGAAATTTTCAATAGAGGTGATGAAAACACCTTGATTGAATACTTGGTATACATTAGAGAAAGACCAATCTTTGTTGATCCAAATATTGCTGTTAAGGCCATGATCTTACTTCATCATATTGCTCAATCATTACCAGATAAGGTTGATCCTATCGAAATTAAGAGCCTTGTTCAAGATCTGAAAGAAGTATGGAAACCAAAGAATCAATTGATTGCCAAATTCGTTGTTGAATATGGTACCTGGTTGGAAAAGAGATGTGACATTTTGCAAAATCTCAAGAATAGCGTTAGCAGTAACTTTGCTCTTAAAGCAAATATTGAATCGCAAGATGTTTCTGAATTGATTGATCTTTTGGACGGTTTAATGCAATTGCAAAAGTCAATCTTGATTGAAAAGACTCCATCTGCAAAGATGGGCTCCATCATTCCTGTAACTTGTGATGCCTATGATTTGTATTTGTCAGCAACCCACAGCCTTCAAAAGTGTAGTGAAGCCAACAAATTCTCTGATGACATTAAGAAGATTAGCTTGAAGTACAATCAAGTTTACACAAACTTGTCCAGATTTGTTTCTCAAGTTGGTCAATTCAAGCTCCAAGCTGGTAATGTGAGGTCAATCCCTACTCTTCAATCCACTCCACCATCATTCTTTGGACTCCAAAAGTCTTATGTTCAACCACCATCTTCTCCAACTGCTCCTGTTTTGATTAATCCTAATTTCGAATATGTTGAACCTGATGAAGCTTTTACCTACAGAAGTTTGAGCATTCCATCCACTCCAATTTCAAATAATGAAGATGTTCTCAAAAAAGATGGTAACAATTGTTGTGCTGATTGTTCCTCAACCCAAGTCCAATGGGCTCACTTAGGTTATGGTACAGTTTTGTGTACTCAATGTAGATTGGCTCACTTTACCTTAAAGACTGGTAGACTCGAAAGCTTGACAGTTGGTGGTGCTAAACTTTCTAAAGAACAACTCACATTCCTGTACGCTATTGGCAACAAGACTGCCAATGAACATTTCGAATTGAGCCTTCCTCCAAACACTAAACCAAACAGTAATATCAATCAACCAGCCTTACAAACCTATGTCAGAAATAAGTATCTCAGCAAGATGTACTGCCGATCAGGTAACTCCCCAACCACTCACATTAGAGTTCCAAGTGGTGGTATCGATTCTCTCAGTGCTCAACAATTCTACATGTAAAATTATAAAACAATCTCCTTTAAAACTCTTTTCCTTACTATTATTTCTTTCTTCATAGTCCAATTCTTTAAATGTCCTCGCAGTATTCGTATCATACTCGAAAAGTTGAGGTGGAGTTATTTTAAGAATAATAATCGGAAGCACAAAATACATAAAAAATGTCCCAACAACCTTCTTCTGTAACAGATGATCAAGTAGAATCATCACAATCATCATCTGCAATGGATAATTTAAAAGAGACAATGGTGGAGGAACAAATTGATACAATAGAAAAAAACAATTCAACAATGGTGGAAGAGATGACTCCTTCGATTGAATATAAAGCAACGGAAACAAGTGAGAAAAATACTCAATCAAAACATAATGATCTATATGTTTTAATTCATGGACTGCATGGTAATCAGAAGGATTTTCAGTTTATTGCAGAAAAATTAAAAGAGTTGTATAATTCCGATGAAACACCAGAACATGCCATTGTAAGTAACTTGTCACTAACTTGATAATTGAAATTATTTCAGATTATTGATTGTGCTTGTAATGAAGGTAAAACACATGATGGTATTGAATCATTGGGAACCAATGTATTGAAAGAAGTGTTGAAAATTATTTATGAAAGAAAGGTTTCACTTTCGAATGGTAAGAAATTGAAATTAAGTGTCATTGGGCATTCATTAGGAGGATTAATTGCCAGATATTTCGTTAAACTAGTATATGACTTACCAAGTGGTGATATTGAAATTTCCAAAGATGAAGAATTCCAAGAACATCGAAAATATTTTGTAGATAATGTATTTCCACATTTGGTTCCATGTGTAAGTGGGATTTTTAATATCAATAATTATTTTAATCTGTATTAGAATTTTACAACAATATCAACTCCACATTTAGGATCGAGAAGACCTGGTGGTACCTATTTCAAATCAATTTACAGATTTGCAGCGCATACATTTATTTCACTTCTTGGATTGACAGGAAAAGAGTTGAAATTGGATGATGGCAATTCCATTGAAGAATCATTATTGTACAGAATGAGTTTGCCAGAATCAGATTTTGTAAAAGTTTTGAAAAAGTTTCCACAAAGAACCTTAATATCATCATGTAATTTGGATTCAACTGTTCCTTTTCCATCTTCATCAATTCGTTCATTTAATCCGTATCCACTCAATGAACATGCAGAACCATCAGTTAAAATTGGAGGAGCTAGCAGTGAATTTCTCACCTCAAATGCATATGTTAACTTGTTGAATGAATTCTTTACACCTTACGGGAAGGAGACTGTATCAACAGAGAGAATTGACCATCTTTTGAAAGCTAGCTGGAAAGGTACCGAACATGAACCATTTGTGGGAGACTTGAACGACAAGTGCAAAAAACTCTATAGAGACAATAATTGTGAAGTGGAATTTGAGGAAACCATTTTGAAAAATCTTCAGGATATCAAGTGGAGAAGAATTGATTTGGACTTTACAGTTTCGTCATCTTTACAAGCTCGAGAAATTCATGTGGTAGTTGTGAGAAAAAAGAGACCAATACGTTTCGGAAATGGAAGTGAACAAATGGATGGTTGTGGTGAGAGATGTGTCAACCTTATTTCCGCCCTAAGCAAGTTTGATTCAGATAATCTTGTAGTAAATTAATAAACCAGTTTAAAGTATTGAATCATTATCCAAATAATTATTTAACAGAAACTGAACTGCTTGCCAGAGATATAATTTGATGACAGGTCAGAAATTTAACAAAGTCAATAAAAAAATAACCAAATCTTGAAATTAATTTTTTTGGTTTTATGATGGTAATTTACTTCTTCAACTTGAGGCTTTGAGCAATTCTGTCCATGTCTTGTCTTCCTTGGGAGGTGACTCTTCTACCAGAGTGTGGATTCTTAGCTTGTTCTTCAGAAGCCAAAACACCGATTCTTTCCAATTCTTGCATACACTTTCTTTGGACAGTTCTAGAGGCTCTTTCGTGATGATATGGAGCATAACCACCATTCTTGGCCATACCGTATCTCTTTCTCAAACCTTGGACACCAGTTCCAGGTCTCAAGTAAATGTTTCTGGCAACAGCAGCGCAGTGAACGTAGAACCAATCTGGATTCATTGGTGGCAATTCCTTGTGGACGGCAGTCTTAGCAATATCGACCCATTTTGGCAAAACAATCTTACCTTGCTTCTTCAAGTGTTCAGCGTAAGCAACGACCCATTGTTGTGGGTTAACGTCCTTCAAAGTGGCTTGTCTATTGACCATTCTGTCTTTAAAATTTGTTGGATGAATAAACGATAGTTCGTGCAGCAACTTACATTTTGAATTTTTTTTGGAAACAGTTTTTAATTTTTTCGTTGCCTATTAGTTTTTACAATGAAAATTTTGGCAGGCATTTTTAACAAAGCAACACAAAGAAGAAAATGCTCAACAACATGACATTGCTGAATAGACTCAAAGCTCTTCCTATCAGCAATACAGGATCATCTTCTCAACTCTTAAAATCCTTCATTGGTACAATGAATAGAAGAAATTTCTCAACTCAATCCCTCCTCCGAAATGATGTACCAACAGAACAAAACAAACCAAAAACAGCCTTTGAATCCAAACAAGATAAACGTATGAAGGAATTGGAAGAACGTTTGTTGAAAGGAAAGGCTGGAGTTTTAATCACCAACAGGAGGGAGAAGGAAATTGTAGTCTCGGGTGCTATTCTCACTTTTGCTCTTTTCTTTGTTTCTCTCTTATTTACTATTTACAGAGTTTATGATACCTATTTGCAAAAGCAAATTAGATGTATGTTTTTCATCCATTCTTGAGGATATATATTCATCTTATTTAATTGGATTTATTTACATATTCTTTATTTATACAATTAATAGTTTTACCATCTCCGTTCGTAAAACTTGAAGAAAATCATATTGATTGTGTAGACTTCTTTGGTCATCACTATTATCACATGCCAAAGGGGAGTCTCACTATCGAAGAAATTGAGGAATTGGAAAAGAAGTCTATTAGATAATTCTTGTTGATATTTAACAGAAAATATAGAGCACAGGAAAGAATTCTTTCATCATTTGTGCATACTTGGATAATCATCATCACAACATCTTCAAAGGGATAATTCTCTCAAATATTTGCAGCACTATTTAGAGCCAGTGTTTGGGAGTCAATGGTAGAGACAAATCTTTGATATTTTGAAAGCATTTGTGGAATTGATTTAAACACATCTTCTAATTTACTCTTTTCAATGTTCTTCTTTTTCACAGAGGCCCACTCAATATTATTGATCGATTGATGTACAATATCCATCGTTCTGGCAATACTCTTCAACAAATTGGCAAAATGTGGTTGATATTCACGATTAATTTTGACAAGCTTTTGTGAGGTGTCAAGAGTTGGAGCTTGAATCTTGTTCAAAATCTTTGACTTGTTAACTGAGAACCTTTCCAAATTATCACACAATTCATTCAATAACATCAATCGCTCCGACAATCTTTCATCATTGAGCAAATCGTACGTCTTGTTATATTCCATCATTAATTCGTACTTTTCATGGAGTTGAAAAATTCTATCTTGAATATTCATAGATTCCGATAATAGGTTAGTTAAATCCATTTCATTGTCTTGTTGTTGAGAATTGAATTCATCCTCATTATAGCATCCACATCTATCGGCCAGTCGAAGAAGATTTGAAGCCATTCTTTTTTTATTGTTGAAATGATGAAACAGATTTTGGAGGGAAGTACAATGTTGAAAATATGTTGAACTTTTCAAAAATATGAATCGCCCACCGTGGGGGTCGAACCCACGACCACAAGGTTAAGAGCCTTGCGCTCTACCGACTGAGCTAGACGGGCTACGAGTGAGCTTTTAAGCTCCAATTTTCTCAGTTTGCCACCAAACTGTTCACAAACGGGACAAGATGCAAGAATCATAAAAATGGGACGTAGCAGCTCTTCCGATAGAACACACCCAATCTCAATTACTAGAAACTCAACACCATCAAACTTTGATCCCCTTTCTCAACAAACACAATTAACAAAAAGCAAGGATTGTGACTATTTTATAAATATCGTGCTCTTAGGTTGTATTGGTGTTGGAAAAACCGTATTGTTGCGCAAGTGGTCAATTTTTTATGGGTTCTTTGTCAACTATGGTTTGATTTCCGAAAAAAATTGTTTACAATTAGTTTAGATGAATAGGGTGATAATGTAATTATCAAGATGAATACAGCTGGACAACCCCAAACCCAATTGATAATTCAACAAGTTTCAAGATTTATAGGAAGAATAATTTCATAATAATTGACAATATTGGGGCAAGTAAGCAGTTGGAATTTTATTTTAATGGTGGAGAAAGTGCAATGAATGGATTCATTGGTGATTGCAAACAAATATATTCGAATTCATGGTTTAAAGAGAATGATTACAAAATTGTTGATCCCTCATCGATCTATAAGAAGGTTTGTCTAAATTTAAAGATTAAACCTGATATCCGTCTTGTGTCTATATTTGAAATGATTGATGAGGGCAATGATTCTTTGAATTTAAGAGAAACAATATTTCATTTTGATTTCTTACAGAGATGATCAATATTTAATTCTATAATATGGATTTATTCATTGAAAATTATTGATTTAGGGTATAATAACTTGACAGGTCGAGATGTAAAAGAATTTTGTACTGCCATTCATCATATGAATAATATAGAAGAAATTTATTTGAATGGAAATCAAGGTATCACACAAATGGGATTCAGAGATAACAATGTCAAGAAATTGGTACTCAGCGGATGTAACATTGACACTAGTACAGGTATTTCACTTATTTCATTCATACCAGAATCGAGTATTGAAATTTTGGATTTTTCAGCATGTAATTTAGAAATTTTATTTATTGATAAGTTGATTCAACTCTATAGAGATATCGAATCAAATAGTTTTCATTTAACAGAATTGAGGATACCATCAAATCAAACCTAAACGTCAAGCAATCAATCCCAATTCAACGAGCACTGATCTGATCAAAGGAAGATATCGTATTGAAAAGTTCATCAAAAGTGGTGGCTGTGGAAAGGTCTATTTGTGCACAGATACTTTTGATCAAGCTGATTCACCAAGACAATTAGCTCTCAAGATGGTTAGATTTTACAATGTTATTGAGCTTGAAAGTCAAATCAAGGAAATATCTCATCAAAACATTATCAAGAATGATGAGTTAATAGTACCATTACTTGCAATTGAAATTGATATAACAGAGAGCAAAATCTATCTCGTCATGCCTTACTTTGCTCTTGGGGATTTGAGTGGAACTATATATAATAACTTTATGAAAAATCAACCTTTTTCTGAAAGAATGGTTATCCAATTCCTAACAAAGGCCAGTCTTGCTCTCAGCTATTTACTTTCCAACAATATTGTTCACAGAGATGTGAAAAGCTCGAATTTTCTAGTAACCAAGCACACCCATGATGAATTGGATTGTGTTTTATCCGATTTTGGATTTGCTACCTCAGTTTCTAATATTCAAATGGTAATTGATGATAGCTCATGTACAATGAAATATGCTTCTCCAGAACTAATTGAAACAGAAATGAGTACATTTAAGGGAGATGTTTTCTCATTGGGATGTACATTGTTTGAAATGATGTCTTTTGATTTTAATACCATGCTATGGAAAGTTATCGAACAAGATGAAATCAAAGCAAAACTCTTCATCAAGGAAAGAATTCACAAAAATTTCTCAGAGTATAGCACTGCATGTGTTGATCTTGTTTTGTCCATGCTAGAAAAAGATCCAAACAATAGACCAGACTACGAGAGCATTATCAAAATAGCAAAAGAACACTATTGCTAACATCTCATTATTAAACATTAAAAGTTGACAGTCTGTCAATAGGACACACCAAAGTATGATTTAAAGGCTTTTTCCTTGTTATCTTCTGTTCAGATATTGTTCCACTCAACATATTTAAGAATGGTCAGTGTACACTTGTTTTATAAACAATGCATTTGTCACAATATTCATTAATCCTCAATAAATATTTATTGATTATTTGATTCATCATTATTCTCATTATTAATTGAATCGAGTGATGAATCTGTACTGTTGCTTTTTACCATTTTACTGGCCCTTTCGTATGCAACTTGAGATTCCTTTTCCCAATTAATTCTGAATATGATATAGAGCAGTAATGAACCTGCAACGAGAATTAAACTAATTGTCAAACCAGTCCACAAACCAAATAGTTGCCAATCAGCAATAAAAGCCAAAACCATTCCAATTGGAATGCTAATAACGTAATAGGCAATAATATTGGCAACCATTGATACCATTTGACAAGATGCTCCACGCAATACACCAGAAGCAGTACCTTGAATACCATCTGTTACAGCAAATAGAGAAACCAGAGGGAAAATAGAAGCTGCCATATCAATGACTGGTTGTTCATTTGTGTAAATTCTAGGAATCAATGTAGAGAAGGCTCCAATGACAATAGCATTGATAATCATGAACAATCCAGAGCTAGTCAGGCACAGGTAGGCAGAGTATTTGGCTTCTTGAGGATTTCTGGCACCAAGTCTTTGGCCTACCATGACAGCAGCAGCACTAGACAAGGCCAAAGGAACCATGAATGATAATGAAGTGACATTTAACACAATTGAGTGAGCAGCCACATGAGTAGGTGACATGTAAGCAGCAATCAAAGTTGTCATTTCAAAGGCCCACACCTCACAACATGTTGCGATTGTACCTGGAATTGCTTGTTTCAAATATTCAACAAAACCAGAAATTTGAAATACTTCCTTCCATTGCATAGCTCCATAAATACATTCCTTAAACTTTTCACGATGGTGATATAGCACATAGACATAACACATTAAACTGAAAAGTCTTGAAAGGGATGTAGCAATGGCTGCTCCTAAAAATCCAATTCCTTTAAATCCAATTCCAAATACAAACAACCAATTCAATCCAAAGTTTACAAAAATAGCAGCAATTGGAATAATAGTATTGGGCAGTCTCACATCAACAGAAACTAAAAATCTGGCCACCGATCTATTCAAAGCAAATGGTAAAAGTCCAGGTAATAAATATCTAACAAATTGACCAGATAAATGAGCAATACTCTCCTCAACACCTATCGTTGTTAAGCAAAATTCCAAAAAGAAGAGCACAATAAATACAGGTATCAAAAATGTCACCAACAAGGTAATACTTCTCAGCATCCAAACTCCAACAAGTGGCTTATTCTTAGCACCAAAAGCTTGTGCAACAAATGTATCTTGTCCATTAATAAGACCAACTGAAATAAAACTCAAACAAAAGAAAATAGCATTAGCCAAGGCAGCAGATGCCATATATTCCTCACTGCCCAATCTTCCAATAAATGCCATATCTTCCACTCCCAAAATCTTATTAGAAATATTCATCAAAATTGTTGGAAAAGCAATTTCCACCATGTTCTTAAATTGTCCTCTCATATTCACAAGTAAATGTTTAAATTTTTCCCATCTCGTCAATTGATTATAGTCTCTTTCTTGTATAGGAGAATCATCACTGCCTCCATTATTATTGCCTTCCTCATCATTATTCAACAGCAATTCTTCATTCTTTTCTAATTGAACGTCCTCCTCGAGAGAATTCGACGATGTATAATGTTGCATGGTCATTAATTCGTGGTTTTCTAGTCCATTCCGATCCTCCACATGGTCGTCATCCTTTCCATTCATCATGATTTTGAAAATGTGTTCTTTAAAAATTGCAAAATCTTTCTTGAGGATCCGCCTAGGCAGTTGTTGTTTGAGGTATTTTTTTAGGTTGTGTGGAGTTTCAAGTGAGGACCTGCAGAAAATTCGATTTTAGAGAAGTCGGACACAATGTTTAAGGATATGTTACTGGAAATAGTTTTATAATGATTAGTATTATTGGTGGTTCTTGAATTTGAAGTGCTTCTTGAGTTTGAAGTGGTTACAAAAGTGCTCTCCAAATGGCTGTGTTTTAGATTTTGTTAAGACTTCAATTATCTACTATTGTAAATTTACTTTCCACCTAGTTTCATCCCATACAAACTTGTAATAATATTACTTCATCATTTCTCTGTATTTGATAAAGTCTCTAATAATCTCCATGAATACATTGAATTTCTTTTGATGATACAATTGTAATTCATTTTCTGGCATGACATCTCTTTCCCTGTTTAGATGACACATACTTCTCATTGCATGATACATGTCACTGTAAGCTCCACAAGCCACAGAAGAAAGTACACCACACCCCAACAGCATGGAATCTTGATCCATTCTATAAATTGGTTTTTCAGTAATATTTGCATGTTGTTTTACGAATAGTTCATTATTGGAAAGGCCACCACACATGAAAATTCTATCAATGGTATGGCCACTCTTTATCATTTCTTGCATAATATGTTTGGTTCCGTACGCTAAAGCTTGAATCATGGCCAAATACAACACAGCCAATTGTTCAAAATCACTATCGTCTGAAGTAATTGGAGAAGAATGTTGTGTCAATAGGTTTTCAATTTTCTTGTTGGTATTTAGAGGGGTTACTGAGAGGCCAGTAATTACTCCTCTAAATTCAGGATCTGCAAGTGGTGATCTGCATCCATTCCAATATGGACAAATGTGAACATCTGAAGTGAGCATGTCAATGTGTTCGAGCTGTCTCTGCTCTTTCATTTGTTCCAGAATTGATTCTAATTTTTTGATGGCCATTAATTTGAGTGCTGATACTGAAGTAGTGCTATCAATTTTGTGTTGATTTGATACACTTTGAATAAGATTAAAGTATTGTGGATGAGATTCAACAATATAATCCAAAGCAGCTCCACAAAATGTCTGGCCTCCTTCACTCAAATGCATATCCAAGGTCATGCTGTTATAAAATGGTCCCCACACTCCTTCAATAAATACAGGTTCTTCAGACACAATCATGTGACAACTTGATGTTCCAGCTATCAACACCAAGGTTTTTGTAATATCCTGTTTGGTATGCTTTTCATCCATATTCAAAACAGCACCAACCATTCCTAATCCTCCTGCATGGGCATCAATAACTGGTACACCCACTAAAACATTCTCAGATAATCCTAGCTGAGCAGCTGCTGATGGTGCTATTTTAAATTGTACATTGGATCCAATTTTACATATGCTTGATCCAATTAGATTGATAGGAGTTAGAATTCCATCCAATTTCACATTTTCCAAAAACTTTACATTCCATCCTCCACAAATAATATCGGAATCAGCACTTGTTTGGTCAAAAACATATCCCCACTTGCAAGTTGTTGTGCATTGTGATCTGAATTGTGAATTTCCAGTACACATGAAGGTGAGCCAATCTGCCAAATCAAAGAATTGTATTCCCTTATTTTCTTCCAAATCAAAAACTCCATTCTCTAATAGGAATTTAATTTTTGGCAACTCCATCTCAGGAGAAATCTTTCCTCCAACATATTTTAACACTTTCTCAAATTTAGTGTCATTAATTTGAGATGCAAAGTGTTTTGATCTATGATCAGCCCATAGGATTACATTTCTCTGATTGAATTCATCTTGATGCTGACGATCTTCAGAAAGGACAACAGAAACTGGCTTATTCAAATCAACATCCCAAACAACCAGTGAACAAGTAGCATCAAAGCAAACTCCAACTACTTGTTCAGGGCTAGTTTTTGAGGCCATCATTGATTTTCTACTCGATTCACAAATCTGATTCCAAATATTCATTGATGATTGTTCCATAAATACCTCATCGGAGAGATTACACTTTTTCTTTGTATGATAACTCCAAATATTAATTTGAAATTGAGTGATGAGAGAATTTTCCTTCATGGATCCATTTTCCAGACTAATGAGAGCCGTTCTCACTGAATTTGTTCCTACATCACATGAGAGAACAAATTTCCCATTCCAATCATTTTCATGTTCAGCCATTTTTTATTGTTTGAATTAAATTATTATATCTGATTGGATCAATGCTCCATCAAATTATTGACCTTTGTTAACTGAGGTTATTAGATGTTTATCATTAATTAATTGCTGGACAATCACATCTCAAATCAGTCCAATTAAGAATGTAAGCATGACATCCACTGCAAACAAACAATTCATTAGCCTCATCATAGTTCACCCTTTCCACCATGTTTTTAAAACCTCCCCCTACTGGAGCATTCTCCAGACGAATGAAAGCACAACTGTTGCCAACAACATTCGAAATAAGTGTTGGAGTTTTAGCAGCATAAGCACCCATATTAGGACAACTTTGAATGGCCTCCATGTGAAATACATTTTCATTATGTCTAATTAATCTAACTGTTGTCTTACCATTCAATACTGCCAATTGGTTGGTGAAGAATTTGTAGCTTAAAGCACTAATATCTATTGGTTGTCCAATAGCCATTAATCCTTCTGCAATGCCATAGATAAAGTTATTGGACTTTCTTCTTGCGTAGGCAACGAATGGTTGGGGCTTTTGAAGTTCTTGCAATTTGAGTTGTTGAATGCGATTAATCTTATTCTCAACCATAGAACCTTGGGCTTGAACATAGGAATCATAAACTGCTTTCATATTGTTTCGTTTTGGACCTTCTGGAAAAACTTGCCAAATTGGAATTGTATCAAATCTAATTGGTACTGGATTTAGGTGGAAGGTTTCAACTCTTCTTGGAATATTATCAATTTCTGGATTACCACCTGCAATGTCTAATTCAGATATTTTGTGGTATTTTACCCAACCAACAGGAACATCAGCATCATATCCCTGAATGATTCCAGATAATTGAGTTTTAACATAGTTTTCCATATTTGGATCAGAATAGCAACCACGAACAGAAACAGTTGAATCCACAACTCCACCAAAATTAACAAGAGTCATGACAGAATCTCCAAAGAATTCAATAATTTTCTCATACATTTCTTGGTTCATTTCATTTGGCAAAATTTCCACAATTCTGGAAAATCCACTCGTAATATCCATTGCATTAGTAACAGATGTTTGATGAGTTGTGTATTGTTGTTGAGCATTCAATACATTCAATTTTCCTTCAAAGAATTTTGTAAATATTTCATCAGCTCCACCATTATGTGTATACAACCCATTGTAAAATGTTGATTGCTGACCAGAAATTGGATAAACTTGTGAATAGAATTGACGAGCATCAGTCATTGTTACTGAAATTGAGTTCACACTTGGGCTAGACAAGACATTGACAGTATTGGAATTCAAAATCTGAGGTTTAACAGTGTGTGCATAAGAGTCATAACCCATTCCAGCAAACAACAAATCCAAAGTTGATGATGGTGTAAATCTCTTCTTGCCAATATTTTCAGGACATTGAACTCCTTTCAAACCAGCCAAACAGCTCTTTGAGACAACTTGATCAATGGCTACATCAAGTTTCATCATTGGAGTTGCAGAAAAGCGTTCCGATCCCTTCATATATAACTTAGATGCATTGATTCCAATAGACAGCATCATTAGAGCCATCATCACGCAAGCCATTAAAAACGACAACAAATTTGCCTTATGGTTGCGTCGCCTTAAAGCCATGATGAATCTTTTTTTTTAGTAAATTTTGTTATTATTATAAAAACTCCATACCAATACTGTGTATTACTGTGGTTTTACTGTGGCTAAGTGAGTTTTCAAAGGAACCATTGGCAAATATGATGAATTGCATTGATATCAAACTGTTGGATGGAAACACATAGTAAATATTTTCTGAATCTAGTCCAGAATTTTTTAATATAATTACATTCTCTTAATTCGAGTACGTCCAATAAATTAAGTTTGATTAATAGGGAGCTATTTTAAAGAACTAGGGAGATTTATTCTGAAGTACGAGTATCAGTATTACGATTAAAAGTCAATTCGACCTTACAACCTTCTGGCAGCTTTTTGTGTTTGGTGTCTCGGTAAATTTTGTCCAATTCGTGTTTTTCAAACGAAACCCTGAATAAATTATCATCCTCAGAGTCCTTTTCTACGAAATGAGTATTGATCCAAAAATGGAAGAATTTCACGAATTTTCCTCTCTTTTTCTTTTTCACAACAATTTTAGCATCACCATTGACTGGTACATTAATATTTACAGTCAAAGAGTTGTCAGATGTTTTGTAAGTGACACCATTTCTCTCGTAATCCTTATGGTCGTATCTATTAAGATAATTTAGGTCAATTATAAAATTGAAAAACAAGAATACTTACAAAACTGCAAAATCTCCGTCAAGTACTTCAAAATTAAGAATACCACCAATTACAGGGGCTGGTGTTATCGAAATAGTTTTGAGTCTTAGAGAAGGAGTAGCATTTGGGAATACAATATCAGAATCGTCTAGTTTGGACATGACATCAATGTATGATTTCTTCTTTGGTTCTTCTGTTGTAGGTGTTGGTGTTGGTGTACTGACAGGAGAGTCAATATCGGATGATGATGGCTCAGCAGAGTGTGGTTTTTTCACAGAGCTACTCTCAACTACATTATCACCATTATTGCTCTGTATACTATCACTGCTTTTAGTTTCAACTACTTCAATTGAACTGAGACGTCTCTTTGTATTTTCTACGAATGCTGTCTCCAAATAATGTACATATCTTCTTTGACTTGGAATTGTGACACCTTTGTGATTTTTTGTTCTTGCTTTACCATAAAAATCTAAACTTGCTTTAGCACTTGGTTGAAGTTGAGCATACATGAGATAACAACTGATACAAACACCTGTTCTTCCTTTTCCTGCTTTACAGTGAATGACAGCAACATTTTCTGGATCTTGACTCAACCATTCATGAACATTTTTACAAAATGGAATTAAAATTTCAAACTTTGGAGCTTCATGATCATAGAATTGATAACTATCTTCAACACGACCATGGAAACATGTCTTATCGTAGGATCTTTCAGCACACAAATTCCACAACTTGTACTTGTCTTTGTGTTTAGTTTCCAAAAATCGTTGAACTTCCTCCATTGGATTACGATAAATCTTTTCAAAATTAGGAGATGGATATCCCATGGCAATAATATTCGGAGTTATGTCTGAATTTTTTGACAATTGATGTTAATTGAACAACAATAGAAGTAGCAGCAGCAATTAATGATATTTTGATATTATGATAAACACTTACAAGCAAGATCTAAATCAAATCCATTCTCTGGATCTTCATATCTTTTCTTCTTCTTTGAAACTAATCTTCTTAGTATTTTCATTGTGTTTTAATAATTTAAATAAATATGAATTGCCTAATCAAAAAAAGGGCGATAATATACAATCTAATATCTTCAATAATAACAATATATAGCTAATATATTGTTACAAATATAGAGTAATATTCAAAATTTGCCAAAATGATGATGAATAAATATACAACGGAAAGAGAGAGGGAGGGGAATTTTGTTTGATGATGATGTTGGAGGTGGTTGAGAAAAAAGCGGAGTTAACTCTTGGGTGATGATACAATATTTGATGAGAGAATGTATAAATATTTTCTTCCACAACAACCAAAAAACAAAGAAGAAAATCTGCAAGTTGCTTTTCTAATTAAAATTGGACCAACGAATACGGTGGACTTGTTTGGAGTTTTACGAAATTGGCGCGAAAAGAATGTATTTTCAAAGTGAACCTTTGGTTGTTTTGTGGACAGCAAGAATGGAAACGTATCCTAGGACACAAATGAAAGTGGTTTTTGGGTAGGATGGAATGGTTTCCACGAGTGGCTGGGTTATGCTGTTGAAAACTTTTTTTTGATTATTGACAGGACTTGTTGCGAAAAAACGTCAACGTCAATGCAGGAAGAAAAAGTAACGACCCAACAAAAAGACAGCTGAAATTCTCGAAATTCATTCAATATAGTTTTGAATGAGCGATGATCTTTTCTGGTTGTTATGTTTGTTTTTCTAGGTATTGCTTTCAAAGAAGATCGATCCTCTCAATATCCAACGCAACGAATACTTGTCTTCAATTGACCTTCGTTGGAATTATATCTTTTTGAAATCAATTCAAAGTTGTTCGTTTGCACATTTTACAACAATTTCCTTTCCAAAATTAATTTGTAAAGCTTGCCTAATTTCGGAATGCCTGTAAAAAAGGTCTAAGGAAAATTTGAGAATCTCTTTTATTGTTGTGGATAATAGATTTTTGATTCTCCGTTGAGTAAGACTACAGTAAATTGGCCATTAGTTACTGTTTCACAATCATTGTTACCCCAGAAAATATCACACAATACTGTTCCATCAGAATAGGGATGATAAGTAATGGTATATTGCAATCGACCATAACTGGAACCAACATTTGTTGTGGCAACAAAGACATTTCCTCTTGAGAATGCATAAAAGTTATTAGCCACATATCTCTCAACTTGTAATGGATTATTTAAAAATTCTTGGAAGTGAGTATTTCTAAAATTCATAATCTTTTGGACGAAAGTGAAGAGATAGGAATTTTGGTTAAAGCTGGTTGGCCATAATGGTTCTCTATTGAAAGGATCTGCACCACCATTGAACCCTTGTTCTGTACCATAGTAAAAGATTGGAATTCCCTCTGAGGTCAATACATAGGTCAATGCATTTTGATATAATTTGTAATCACTTTCATAATTCAAAAATCTTGGATTATCATGATTATCAATAAATACTCCAAGAAGAGATGTATCCTTAACGAGAGATCGTGCACTGTTGATGGTATTTCTGATTTGATACATGCTTCCACCTTGTGAAAAGATGCTCTTTAAAACAAAATACATTGGATAGTGGAGAGTTGCACCCAAAATATTTGCATATGGAGCTACATAATTCATATCTCCATTTAACACTTCTCCAATTGAGTAAATATCTCCATACTTTGGAGCCAAAATGTTGGTTTTCAAATCACTCCAGAAAGTCTTGGAAATTTCAGGTACTGTATCAATTCTAATACCATCAAATCCAAAAGTATTTAAAACAAAATCAGTAATCCAATTTGACAATGTCTTGTAAACAAAATTATTACTTTGATCCAAATCAGGTAAATCAGCCAATCTACAATATTCCACTTCTGTTTGATTAGACCAGTTATTAATTTGACAATAAGGATGATAATGAGTTGATGAATTGAATGGTGAAATTTCTGAAAAATCAAAACCAACAGGTCCCTAATTTAATTTGTAAACGAAACTCATCGAAAAAACTTACAACATGATTGAAAACTACATCTACCATAACCCAAATATCCATACTATGAGCTGTTTTAACCAAATTAATCAAATCAGCTTGAGTTCCAAAATGTGGATTAACAGCAAACCAATCCTGAGCCCAATAACCTTTACAAAATTAATTTTCAACCATCTGGTCAACTTGTCAATAATTCCACAACTTACCATGATATCCACCAGGTAAATTCAACACAATTGGACTAATCCAAATAGCATTAAATCCCAAACTTTTCACATAGTTCAAATGTGAAGTAATTCCCTGAAAAGTACCTCCACAATAAGTATAGAGGAGAGGACACGATTTTCCACTTCCACTCTCAGAAGGACTAAATCTATCAGTAATAATTTGATAAATACTTCGGGAACGCCACTCTGCACTACTTTTTCCAATATTGTTTACTTTTCCCTTCTTGATAGGATTTGAATTTTGATGATGATGATGATGAATTGGTAACATTGTTTTGGATGGGTGTTGTTGTTGTTTGGTTGGAATTTTGATAGAAATTGATTGAACATGATGAATGTTTAGTAACATCATGATGATGAAACCAATCATCATCATCATGAATAAATAAATTAGTGTTTGTTGTTGAGGTCTCATCTCGGAATTGGTGATGATCAAAGGAGAGTGTCAATAACTATCTATTACTGTGATCTATTCAAATATGAGGAAGAAACAATGTTGTGATTTTTTTTGTCCTATGAAAAGATTTTAATTTTTTAACGTTATCGTACAATCCACAACAATCTCTTTTGTAAAGTTTGTTTCAGTTATTGAAGAGTTGCATGTTCAAAAGGGTTTTAGGAGTTTGATTCGTTCCCATTCTCTCCGAGTAAAACTCGAACATTTTCCTTGTGTTTACAAAAGAGATAGTGTTTTATTTGAAACGCCAAGAATTGTTGAAATCAAACCTGAGCTCAATATTCAAATTAATCTTTATGATTCTAAGAATCTTCAGTTGACCAATATTGTAAAAACCAATCTTACTGGAAAGTTGGTTAAAAAAATGCCGCAACACATTCAGCTGATTGATTTTGTTCCACACAGTTCCAAAAAGAATAATCTTGTTGTTGATGATGGTTCGGAGCAACTTTTTACCAAAGCTGCAACAAAAATTCAGGGAAAAACATTTAGCACCATTCTCCAATAATTTTAATTTAATTTCTACAATTGATTGTAGGCAATATTTTGAGGAAACTTTTGAGCCTCTCTATGATGTTAAACTATCAAAGCAATGCTCTTGTTTAATAGCATTGACGAGATATAGTTTTATGATAATTGACCAAGTAACAAATTACAAAAGTTACATCATTTCACATGGAAAGAAGGTTTCTTGTTTTACAATTGAGGAAAATTATAATGGACGAGGATTTGATGCACTGATAAACAATCATTCACAACACATTGTAAAATACGATTTAAGGGAATTTATTGAAACGAAGGGGAAGTGCAATCCATTATGGAAAGTTGAGGGTTATCATTCAGATAAGGGAATTAATGTTTTAATGCTTGAAGGAAAGAGAGTAGTTTCAGTGGATTCTAATTCCGTAAGGTTTTATGATGCAACAACTGGAAGCTCTCTTACCAAATATGATATGAGTCCTCAATGGTTGAGTGGTTCTATATGTGTGGATCGTTTGGCTGAGAATTCATTTTTCGTAATGATTGACAGGAATATTGAACGATTCGAATATGTGAATGGAGAATGGAAACAAGAAATAATTTTTGAACAACCTGGATCATTAGTGGATTTCATTGATATGGATAGACTATCTGGATTGATATATTTCATTATTAATCCTGCATTTGGTAAATTCAAGGCATTTGTTATTGATAGAGATGGAAAGTTAATTTTGAAAAAGAAATTACCCCATGGCTCGTCAGGTCTTTGTCTTGATAGATTTACTGGAAGATTGTTTGTTGCTCATGATACTTTCATTTACGTTTATGAATGACCCCATGAAAAACCTAGAGGAATTAGAAGTATTTTACAACTTGGAAAAAGCCTCAAAAAAAGGAACACAACCAAAGCTATACAACTCTGTCAACAAATTCAAAGTAGACAACTAGTAGCCAATATAGCTTAATCCTTATCAGTTTAAATTAGCTCCTTAAAGTATAACATACATTGAATGATATCAGATTGAATTTAATTCAGTATTCAATAAAATTTCTAACGTTAATACAATATTTAATCTCAGAGGTGAGGAAAACAAATAACGACAGGTAAATAAGGTGGAAAGAGTTTTATTGAAATGATTTTTTCCAACAATTAGTTCTAATTATTTATTACTTTCACTTTCCACGGGCTGTTCAACTCCAACACGAGTAATCAAGCCAAATCCTATTACCTTCCTCAAATCTCTGAAATAAAATCTACAAAACACATCCTTATCCAAATAACAAGCTTTGTCTAATTCACACTCAACCACTCCAAATTCATTTCTCTTAATAAAGCGTGGTGAATTTTCAATCAAAACCCCTTGTGGAGTTGTGGTTTTCTTAATAGTAACCAATTTACAAGTAGCTTGAGTAGCCTGTACTTGAATTGTAGGCTTGTAATTTGGATGAATGTTGTTTGGATGGCCAATATTTAAAATACAGGCTTCAAAGAAGCGAGTTACAATACCAGTAGATTTCCCCCCCTCTAATATTACATCTCCTGATTTGATTGAGCTGTGGAAGACATTACGCAAGTTGATAGCCACCAGTTGACCAGATTTTGCTTCTTCCAATCGCTTTCCAAATGATTCAATAGCTTCAATTCTTGCATTTTCAATATTAGAATTAGCCAATACTATTTTTGACCCCATTTTTAGTATTCCTGCTACAACTTTTCCATAAACAACTGTTCCAACTCCACTTATTTTTTTAACATCCAAAATTGGAATTCTTAAACTTTGTTCCAGATTATTTGCAGTTGGTTTCAATGAATTCAAAGCATCCAATAGACATTTACCCTCATACCATGGTGTTTTATCAGATATTTCCACAATATTATCTCCACAATAACCAGAAATTGGAATGATATCTACTGGAGACCTACATCCTATTCTTTTCAAGATGTTTGAAAGTTCACTAACTGTTTTCACAAAGACTTGCTCTGAATAATTAACTTCTGGATGATCCATTAAATTGACACAACAAATAATTTGTGAATTGGAAACTCTGGAAGAAAACATGTACTGTCTCAATATTCCATCAAATCGATTGATGCTCCTTTCGAATTCGACTTCTCTCGGATCAATTACTGCAATAACTGTATTCGAAATTGCCAATGCACGAATTGTTTTCTTCATATAAACTGCCATTCCTTTCAATATTCCAAAAATGTTTCAATAAATTCAAATAAGAATTCCTACCTGGTGTGTCAATTAAATTACAGAAATAATTTTTAGTTTCCACTTGTCTAAACGATAATTGACTACTTGATGCACATTCCCTCTCCTTTCTGGTTGTGTTGACCAGGAAGGAATATTTACAATTTGGTTTTCCTAATTGATCAGCAGTTTTTGAAATTTCTTCTAATTGTTCATCGAAAACATATCCCATCCTATACAATAGTTGACCTAAAAGTGTTGATTTACCACTGCCTTTTTGCCCGATCAGTGAAATGGTGTGGGTTGGCTTTTCGAGCATTTTTTTTGGTTTTGTACATTTTGGAAACGAATGGAATCTTTGTAAGTTACAATTTTTTATTCACTTTCGAGTAGTAGTTTACCATCATTTGGGATGAGAATGGAGGAGCAAAAGAAATTGAAATTAGAGAATGGAAAAAAAGACAACTGAGCTTGTGTACCCACTTCACAGCAATCGAGTACGCAAACCCATAAGTTGCCTTTTGTCCTTTGATTATTGGTATGATTGCTATGGAGTCATGTAATGCTGATCTCTATGTATTCAATTTATTTAAATTCTATTATTATAATTGTGGTTAAAATTTTTAAAAAAGATTGAAGCAATATTGAACTTTCAATATGTTCTATCTGAAATGAAGACTGCCTATGAAGCTAAACAGTTGAAAGGCAATCCTCAATGTTTTTTGATATTACAAATTTTTAAAAATAAAAAGACTACAGCACCACAGGTTCCCAAGTTGTCTCCAACCTCAGTACTGATGTGGCTCGACGATGCTTAACTTCTCAAATCGGACGGGATGAGGTGCATTCATCATGATATGGCCGTAGCCATTCATTATCTTAAATTGTGAAACATGAATCAGTTCAAACCTCCTCTGAAATTGAGTGTATGTAGCTCCATTAGAAAGTTACAAATGACTTGTTTTTGGATGTTGATTATAAATTTTACTCATGTTCACTATTCAATAATTTATTGACAATAATTGAGAGAATCTATGATATTTTGCTAACTTAACCACCTCTCAATCTCAATACTAAATGCACAGTTGAATCCTTTTGAAGATTGTAATCACCAATAGTTCTTCCATCTTCCAATTGCTTACCGGCATAAATCAATCGTTGTTGATCTGAAGGAATACCTTCCTTATCAAATATCTTTTGTTTCATATTCTCAACAGTATCATTCGATTCCATTTCAATAGTGATTGTCTTTCCAGTTAAAGTTTTTACAAAAAGTTGCATTCCTCCTCTTAATCTCAACACCAAATGAAGAGTTGAATCTTTTTGAATGTTGTAATCATTAATAGTTCTGCCATCTTCCAATTGTTTTCCAGCAAAGATGAGTCTTTGTTGATCTGGTGAAATTCCTTCCTTATCTTGTACTTTTCTTTTCACATTTTCAATTGAATCATTAGATTCAACCTCCAAAGTGATAGTTCTTCCAGTGAGTGTCTTGACAAATAATTGCATTATGTTTGTTGTCTTGTTTTTCTTATTGTTTTTCTTGAATTCAAAACAGTTCCCTGCTTTTTAAACTATATAGTTATATATATTTTTAGAAAGTAGTTCTTCGGCAAAGAAATTCTTTCGATGAACCGATTTTTGTTTATGGACACAAAATTGGTTCATGTTTAGTAAGTATGTGCTGCAGCTGTACATGCAATAATGAATTTTAACTTGTCGTTCGTGAATTGAATGCAATTTGACTCTTAATGGTTTTGAATTAAAAGGTGATTATTGGAAAAATTTAATACTTGTAAAATGGTTTGGGTACAGCTATTCATTACTCAAAATCAATGTTTAACTCTATGAAACGATATACCGTAGCCATTTATTGCCTTAATACAATGAATAATAAATAAATTGAAATAGGTATTGTTCATCCAATATGATCGTCTAAAATTACAAAATGAATTAACCATTGAAAGACAACAAAATCTTATTTACTTGAAATCTTTAACTTATTCCTTCATTTTTATAGTTATCAATACTTTGGAAGCTCTAGAGAAATTTCAATTATTAATTTTGGACGGGAAGCCTGCCAGGAATATGGCGACTATCCCGCTACAGTCTTTGACTGTATGAACAGTGAAGGCAAGAGTTCTGGACGAATCTTGTTGTGTTCAAATAACAGGTTGTTGAAGAAATTGAAAAGGTTGATCACCCTTCTATTTATTGAACTTTTGCCATGTAAATTGCTTGATCCAAATTTTGGTTTCTCATATTCTGATCAATTCGAAATTGAAACTTCATATATTTACAATTTACTGAATTATTTACAAGTTACAATTTTACATCTTTTTCGATTTAGTAATCTTCTTAGTTGTGGTGTTTGATTGTTTAGCTCTCTTTTCAATTGAATTTTTCGATGATCTTTTCACATTTGTTTACCATTTAAATTTGCATGATGATAATCAATATTATTACGATGTCTAGTTCCACTTATTATATTTGAAGTATCAATATCAAATAATGGTAATCTTTTAGTTAAATCAATTGGTTTAGATCTTGTCCATTCTGTTTTTGTTGGAATTCTATCTTCGGAAGAATTTGATGAAGTATTTCTAGCTGGCATTTTGCTCTTAGTTTTTGTTATTTAGTTTTGTTTTGTTGTGGAAATATCATCTGATACCAGATCTGTTTATTTCCGTGATGATTTCCACTAATTTTGTGATTCCGATTTTTAGTGGATTTTCCACTCATCACAAGAAATTTGAATTTTTCTATTAATATTTTGATGAAAGGAAAATTAATGAAAATCAACAAAAGAAAATAACAAAATAACAATAAGAAAATGGTCTCAACAAGAAGAAATATGTATAATTCCTCCAATAATACTTCACAATTTAATTCCGAAATTTCTCTGGATAACATTGTTGGTGGTACAAGAAGAAGAAATTTAATTGATTACAAAACATTGAATTCTATTGGAAGTGAAACAAGCAAAACTTTCAAATCTCAATCACATAACACCTTAGAAATGAGAAACAAACAATTCAAAAAGTGGTAATCTCCATTTAACTCAAAATTTTGTAAACCAAGGCAAATCATTGTAAATAAAACCTAAATCATTCACACATTATTTTCAATAGTTCATAATGTTATTTATAACCTCTCAAGCTCAATACGCACAGTCGTAATCCTGTTGATTTATCTAAGATTAAAAAGACTACAGCACCACAGGTTCCCAAGTTGTCTCCAACCTCAGTACTGATGTGGCTCGACGATGCTTAACTTCTCAAATCGGACGGGATGAGGTGCATGCATCGTGATATGGCCGTAGCCAATCATTTACTCAAAATGTGAATCATAAACATCTCAACTTCAGGAGCAACCTCATTTCAAAACAATTTAAAAAATGGTTTTAAATTTGTAATTCACACTATTTCGAATAAATTCATTTTCATTGAAAGGCACAAAGTTCATACGTAAATTATCAATTTTAGGATTTTTGCTTAATAATATTGTTTCAAATATGTATAGTAATTAAGTTTTTTTATATTGCTTTATTTCTTCCAGGACTGTCAATTCTATTATTATTTTCCTTCACTTGATGTTTCTTATAATAATTATGAAGAGCTGGATAGTAAGCAGATGGACAAATCATTCTGTAAGCATGATGATCATCGTGATACTTGACTACATGAATATTGTATCCGAAAGTGTAATGCAAAATAGTATCAATAGTGATTGGCAAATTCAATCTTTCTTCCAAATCGAATAAAATTGTTTCCAAATCAATCTTGTGGACAAGTTGAGTAAAGGAAGCAAAAATGTAACTCTTTGCAAATCTTGAACTCAAAAAGATAATCAAGAAGGAATTACCCAAAATCTTGTACATTGTCAATAAAATCACCAATTTAACGAGCATGATTGAAACACTTCTTAAAATTTGCATCTTTTCTGAAGATTTCTCCCATAAATAGCAGAAAATGTAATATTCAGAAAAGAATGAGGAATAAATAAAGAGGAGAATTGGATTTTCAGTCTTGAAGAAGAAGTGATCCAAATCCTTTTCAGTTCCAGTGTAATTGTGATGTGTGTCATGACCAAATTTAGCAATGGAAGGAGTGAATAAACCAAAATATGGAATTCCAATAAGAATGTCAGTAAGCAAATCATAGTTTTGATTGGAATCGACACATGTCTTGGCATGGAGAAGGGAATGCAGAGAAAGTGTCCATATAATTGTTAAGTATTGTTGAATTAATACTGCCCAGAATGGTGACAGAAGGTCATTATGTACCAAAACCATGAGAATGACTGGACAAATGTTTAAGAGGTGGTTGTGTACCAACTCGAATTTTGTGACCATGTATTTGTAGAAAGGTTCTGTGGTTCCAAATCTATCAGAGAACTTGATATATTTCTTCTTATTCGAATCTGATTCATCGTTGGATGTAGAAATTGCAGGATCGAGATTAAGTTTGTTCAACTTTAAAGCTTGAATAGAGTGCATTGTTATTTGTTATTAATTGTTTTTTTCTTGGTTGGAAAAACAGTTGGTTATTAAAACAGTTGCATTTATAGGGTATAGAATAGGTAAAGAACTTTAGTTTGGATAAGCCATTTCGCTTACTCACGGAAATACAATTCAATTTAAGGCAAGGATATGGTACGAATACAGTGTAACGTTGATAAGCATGACGAAAAGAGAGTACTGTTATTAAGCATCAAAATATTTTCGTCATGAATCTCAACAATCAGTTCTCTATTGAAATTTTGGCATCTTTTTCAATAATCTTCATCATATAAGTTGGTGATTGAGGAAATGAATGTTGGTTCGGTAATTCCAATAAACAATAACGTATTATTAATGATATTTTAAATGATCCGCTTACAGGTTTTTTTTATTGGGTTTGATAATCACATTTTTAGGAATAAAAGTCAAAAATGGAGAAAATCTTTGTAAAAGTTGATTAAAATCTTGATTTGAACTATGATACAGTACTAAAGATTCGATAAGTGACAAGAAGTAAATTACGACACCAGACTTCAAAAATTTTAAATAAATAGTTTTATATGTTACAAATTACCTCTTGTAGGTTTGAGCAGCGTTTGTAAGAATTTGATAACAATTGTCACAAACTCTAACTGGTTCATCAAAACCAAAACGAAGAAGAGTAATTCTTTTACCAGTACAACTTCCACAGAAAATACCACCACAATATCTGCAATGGTGTCTTCTTCTGAGGAATGTAAACTTTGACTTGCAACTCATACAATCATCAGCATCCTTATCAGGAACCCATTGGTGAGCACAAACAGCAGCACTACTACTGCCACCAGCTCCCAATCCACGAACATTCTTATCGTCAAAGAAATTAATTCTTACAGGAACACGTTGATCTGATTCATTACCATTACCAAGTCTACCATAAGTACCAGCTCCCCAACCGTAAACAGATCCATCTTCCATAAGAACAAGTACGTGATTAACACCACATACAAGTTGTTTGGCTTTCAGTTTACCAAACTTGACTCTCATTGGTGTTAAAGCGTGAGTATTAGTATTGTTACCAATTTGGCCATAAATACCACTTCCCCACATGTAAACAGCTCCATCTCCTTCTGTGATACAACCACTGTGTGCACTACCAGCAGCAATTTGTTTAACTGGCATATTTCTAAATGTTTCTACAAATGTTGGTAAAAGATACTCTTCAGTATTATTGTGA